ATTTATTTACTCTTTTAATTTTAGGTTTATTGTTTTTTCATTGCATGAAAGTATACATTACATAGTCAGAACTGTTGATTAATTGCTTATGCTTCTATTGCACAAAAATTTATCTCTTTCTACAAATGAGATACGTATGCTATTTTATTTTTTTCCAGTTTTTAAATACTACTTGTTTTTCAGATATTGAGAATTAATCATAGTATATGATGTGGATATGTTTTTCTCCACATTGATACTCAGTTTTTTGACAACATTTTTTAAAAATAGATTTTTCTCCACTTATAAGAGCTTTTTAGATTTGATCATTATTTTGGTATGTCTAGTCTCATGTTTTGCTTTGATTTAAAAAAATATGCTTAACAAAAACTATTTTAACCATTTAAAGTATACTATTCAGTGGCATTAAGTGCATTCACAGTGTCAGCTATCACCATTATCCTCCCTTTACTGGATATATTTCTACTTAAACCTGAAACATGATTGTTATTATTCTCAGGTAAATTGTTTAAATCTCTGAATCCCAGTTGCCCTGTCCATAGAATAAGGATGATGCTCATAGATCCCCGTTAGAATAGATCAGTTATTATTGAATAGCAATACTTGAAGCAGTCATTTAAAAGCCATTAGAAGAGGATATTTTGCTTTTTGTTTTCATTCTTTAAGGGCATGCACATACTTATTTAAAGGTATCATGGTAAACATTTGCTAATTCTTTTTTTTTAATGCTACTGTTCACTTGAAATTTGCTGAGACAGATTTTTAAAATATATTTATTGATTTTTTTTACCGAGAGGAAGGGAGAGGGATAGAGAGTTAGAAACATTGATGAGAGAAACATCAATCAGCTGCCTCCTGCATACCCTCTACTGGAGATGTGCCCGCAACCAAGGTACATGCCCTTGACCTGAATCGAACCTGGGACCCTTCAGTCCGCAGCTTCTGTCCACTGGGCCAAACCAGTTAGGGCTGTTAATTATTTCTTATAAATTCTGAAGCAATCCAGAATTTTATTAATTTTTATATTAATAAAAATCTCAAGTGATTATAAGTGACTTTTTTAATACTTCTTAAGGCTACAATTTATAACTATTATTGCTGAGATATATTTAATTTTTGGAGGGATACTATTGATTTTTTCCAGGGAAACTTCTGTAGCCTTTGGTGTACTCTGAAAATATATATAAGGTTCTGGAAGGGGTAAGAAATAGACTTCTAAAATACAGTGTAGATATGATCAAATTTATGAGCTACCTGTTCAATTTAAAACTGTATCCAAGCTATTCAGTTAACTATTGAAAATCTCTGTGCACACTTAGCCACATGCAAGTTTTCCTGCTAGGGTATATAATCAGACTGTTTTGCTCTATTTAGACACTTCTCTTGGTGTTACAATTAAAATTGATATATACTATGTTTTCACTGGGGGGGGGGAAATCAACCTTTATACTGTGCTTTAAAATATTTATATACCTAATTTTAAATTCCCCTTTCTCTGTTTAAGAGCTATAATAACATATTGAAGTAACCCAAGTTCCTGCCTGTGGCCATTTACAACTAAAGGGTAATTTTAGCTTAATACTTTAATATTTTTATGGTGAACTTGGTACAAAGAAGAAATTATGTGGTTAGAATCTTATTAGAATTTTGAAATAAAATATTTGATATTAATTATTGCCCTTCTAATTTCTCAGGATTAAAAATTATGGCTGTCATATTACAAAATGATCCTGCTTTTATTTATGAGCACATGAAGTCACAATATTTAAAATTATGTGACCTTTTTGAATCAAACCAAAGTTCTTATTTTTTCATGTCAGCATTGGCAGGCAGGGAAATACTATTTCTGTTCTCAATTGCAGATTTCCCCAGATTTTTAACAATGAAGGCATATAGATACTAACACACTCCAAAAAAAAGTGATAAAATAATTGTATGTAGAAACAGTTCTAGAAATTGAAACTAGAAAATTATGAAAAGATATTACTGTCCAAATACCTTATAGAGGTGCTCAAAATAAAAAAATTAATTCAGAGCGTGTTTTGTAATTTCATCGGCTGTTTGGCTAAGTTGTAATTATATTAATTTACATTACATTAAGAATCCACTTTCCCCTTCTATGTCAAGCCATCATATTAAACTCTAAATCTACTACATGGAAATGAGAATACTAAGATTTGTATTGTAATTCCGTACTTTTTGTTATTGTCAAATACTGGATCACTTTGTCTGTGTTATATAACACTTTCATCTGGTTGCTAGTAAACTCGGCTTTTGATTGTAAGCATGTGCCACTGTAGAAAATGGTGTGAGATGTTAACATTAAAAGTTTTAGCACATTGGTTAATGCTAGGAATGTGGTAAATACTTGAATTCTTGTATTTAGTATGTTTTTATGTTTAAGGTCTTTTAAATTATAAATTTTTGGAAGGAAGGAAGAATACTGTATTGATGGAAAGTAATATCTTAGATTCATGTTGTGATGGAATTATGTGAAAGGTAATTTTTAGGGATGGAAACAACAAAGGATCCTTCTTTTCATAGAAGAAATTATAGAGGTAGAAATGAATATCTTCCAGTTGTGCCCTTAAAGAATGTTTTCTTACAATTTACCATAGAGTTTACCTCAAGAAAAAAAGAAAGCTAATCCATTATTAAATTTCATTATAAAATCACAGTAATGTTAGCATATATCTAGAAAGCAAAATTCAAGATTTTAACATTTAGTTTTGTCTGGCTTGAAAATTTATTTCCCCACTACGTGTCATATAAATATTTCTTGCCATATAAATATTTCTTGCCATATAAAGCCCATAACCCATTTTGATTAGTAAAAAATCTATGTTCTTTAATGTTCATATTTTTAAAATAAACTAGTTTTTGTGTTTAAAAACAAAATTAAAGTAAATGCTTTTTGGTATCCTTTTTAAAATAAAACAAAACAATTTTCCTTATCTTCTTACCCAGAGGTAGGTTTTAAAACACTTCCCCTATGAGAATGAATATCCCCTACCTTTCTCTTGCCGAGAATCTACTAACTAGAGATTGCAGTTATTACAGCTAAGTAAAACATGGAATACTATCACTTTCTTTTAAAATTCAACAAATGAGGTATTAAAGCCATAACATTTTCCTAATGATTTGGTCCTATTTTGCTCTTAAGGGATCAATTCATAGATGTACATTATGTTCATTTAAGCAATATTAAAATCACATAAAGACATTTCCATTTAAAACTAAGATATAAGTTGGCGAAACATAAAAATGTTTCATCTTTCATAATTATGAGTCATTTTCACGTCACATTGATTATGCTGTTGTGGATAGAGCAAAACAAGTGCAGGGAAGATAGCACCTGTGAGCTTTAGTTACTGTGCACCGTTAATTCTGCAGCAGTAGTTACCTACGTCAGGAAGTACGAGAACTAAGCTTTTGAGGCTTTGTGTATGAGCTACACGTGAGTGCATTGAGCATCCTCTGCTTCTGACCTTTAAACTTTTTTTCTTTTTTGACATTCTAGATCAGGGTAGGGAGTAAAGCTGTGTAGAGTTAGACATTATTGAAATCTGTCTAGCTTACACGTGTTTTTCTCTCCTTTTCCCATTCCGGAGTGTGGTTCTGAAAGTGTCTTGTATAGAGCAATAGAAGTGGAATGCTGATATATTGGCATAACTGAAGTTTTTCATTTCCCTTTTCATGTTATTTATCTATTTTCATTACTTCTGCAGTAAGGTTCTATACTTGTTTTAGCTTTTTTTATATATCAAGTTGGTTACAGTGGTTGCTAGAAGTGAAAAGAGGTTTGACCTTAATTAAAAGCATAAGCAATCACATCTGTTTCAGAGCAGTGCTAGTTTCGTTTTTGTTAAATTGTAATGAAGTTTTTCTTTTATATAATGTATTTAAGTTTTCTAATGTCTACCTGTCTCTCTTGCCAGAAGGGCATAATAAGTTGTTTTTACCAGTAAATGTGGGGTTTGTTAGTTTGAAAATCAAACCAGGAAAATAGAAAGGGAGAAAGAAAGAAAAAACAATGGATATCCTTATAGTTTTTAAAATAAAAGAGGATGTTCTATTTTTCTTTGTTAGTTTAAAAATCAGGACAAGAAGAGCAGGATCTAAGGAGATAAAGATTTTCCTTAAATTATTAACTAGACGTATATTTAGTGGAGCTCATTGTTTCAAACTAAACCCGGCCAGGTCACAGTTGTTTGGAATGTCATCTTATACACCAAAAAGTGGCCGATTCAATTCTAGGTTACAGGTTCCATCCCTGGTCAGGGCGCATACGGGAGGCAACCAATTGATGTTTTTCTCTCACATCCCTGTTTCTCTCTTCTCCCTTCCTCTCTAAAATCAATAAAAACATATCCTCAGGTGAGGATTAAAAAGATAAATAAAATTTACATGATTATTTTTCCTTAATTCTAAAATTCAAAGTTTTACTTATTTGCATTATTAAAGTGGATCCAGAGAATTTCGTTTTCCTTTATATTAATTATATATACAGATGGTTGTGAATGCATTTACTTTATATTATAATCTGTTATATTTAAAGTGATTCGGTGTGTCTGTGGTAACATTATATAAATGTTCCACAGGAGACCAGGTTAGATGTTATCCTAACTTACCGATTTGCTAGGCTAGTTTTTATCATTAAAATATGTAACTCTAATCCTAAAAAAAACTGTCCTAGTTAAAAGCACATTATAAAATGTTTAATACATTAGGCACTATAGTAACCATGTTTTAAATACAGCAGAAGCAGTTTCACGTGTTGGCTTTTGCAAGATATTATAAAAATCATTGCGTATACCTATGTTGACTTGGTGTAGCATGTCAGTTTTGAAAAGCCATGTGCAAGTTTGAGATTTTGAGATTAGAACTCACGTGGAAAGCTTGGGGTAGCAAAATATTTTTTAAAAAAATTATTCTCTGATGGCCTGAATGATAATGCCTTAAGAGTACATAAAGCTTTGAATCCTCCTCTTTTTACACAGACTGTGAAGACTGCTGAAAGACGCTTGCGATCCAGTCACATAAGTGGAATAAAGAAATATTGGTCCTCATGGAAGAAGAACAAGACTTACCGGAGCAACCAGTAAGTATTTCCTTTAACAATTTAAAGTTGATTGTAGAAAAGCTAATCTTAAGAGATTTTAAATATTATTCAACTTCCAAATTAAAAATAAAAATAAGGAAAAGACCTCTTAATACTACTAAGTAAAAAAAAATTATATGATCTCAAATGCATATTTTCTGAACAGTGCTAATGAGTGTGCTTAGAAAATTTAGCATTACAAAGTTAGTATTGTACTTGGGAGTGTCATTTAAAAAATACAATCATGGATATTTCCTTTTGTAGAACCCTTTTGCTTGGTCTGATCTGTTGCCCGGGTAGCTAGCTGTCAGGGAAGGGCAGAGCAATTAGCCATCGTGGTGGGTTGAGGTGGCAGCAGGATGTGCTGTGAGTCTCAATCAGTTGTGGGACAGACCAGAAAAAGAAAAGAAAAGAAAAAACAATGGATATTCTTACAGTTTTTAAAATAAAAGAGAACATCTATTTATCAAACAGTATACACCACTTCTGATGGAAAATTTACTTAAATTTTCCTAACTGACCTAATTTTTTAAGAAGTTGTAGTAGTTGAAGAAAGTGTAATGTGACCACTAGCTAATTTTTTAAAAGATAAGATCCTAGAGACTAGGTTGAATTCTTAATTTCTTTTAAATATTTAATATAAATAAAATGATTTTAAATGTCTGCAAGTGATAAGAATTTATTGCCTTGCCCTGGCTTCTATTTGTTTGTGTGTGTTTTTTTTTGTCTGTTTTTGATCCTCCTCATTTAAAAAAGGAGAGCAATAATCATTCTCAAGATACTTTTATGTTAAAGAATCTTTTCCTTTTGTCTTGAGTTTCACTTTCTAAAGTTAAGTACTTATTCAATTTGCTATCCTGAGAGAGCCTCATGTACTTAATATTAAAAGAGAATATAGAGTGGTGCATGCTTACCTTTCTTTATGAAATCAAACATAGAAAGTTTTGAATGTTGAAAGCAGGTAATAAGATATGTTTTCATGTACTAGATGTATTCTTTACATTACAGAAGCTTTACATTACAAGCTTCCATTTAGTTAATAAAGTTCTTTAATATGTTTTTAATATTTTTCTTTAGGTCGAGACATGTATACTGATGATTACTTTGCTATTATATTTTTAGCCCTCTCACAGTAAACATAAAATTAGGATGTCATAAGCAATTGTTAAAAAAAAACCTTTTGAAACATTTGGAATGTCATTCCTTTCACTGGTAGGACATTAATAATCAGGGAAATAGTGTTAAAAGTAATCCTCACCGTTGTATCTAGGAGATACTGTATTTGTATAAGAACAAATAGCTGAATTAGAGACATTAAATGTACCAACGAAAATGAGTTTTTAATTTAGTAAAAGGTCTATTCATAGTTTCAAAAGACTTATATAAGTTGTTGAAATAGGTATTGTTAGTTACTCCTTATCTATTTAAGGTCATGAGAATTGTGAGACTGACCTGCTAGTAGGTCATCTTTTCTACTCTGCTTTATTTCCTTGCTGTTCTTATTCAATTTCTATAACATAACGTATTAAACTCGATTGTTACTTCAGAGGAAGGTAAGAAATTAAACCACTTTAAAAACTAATTTTCTGTTGACTTGAAATGGTGATTGCCTTGGGGCATCGTTTTCCTATTGATTTGTGCCTGGGTTTAATTTATAAAGGTGACAGAGTGACCACACTGAGAGGTCAGTGCCATTTGCAAGAAAAGTTTAATGTTACAGTTCCCTTAGAATTAGAGGCATGGCATGTCACACAGGATCCCTGGCGGTTGTGGGACAGGGTGAGGGGGAACCACCAATTTTGATCAGGAGGCAGAAAGGAGCTAGGGGGATGAATAGGCCATAGCCTTTATTGGGGCTAACACAGACAAGGTGAGCGAGGCAAGGCAAGACAAGGCAGGGTAAACGGTTTAGGATTGTTCCCAGGAGGTTTGGGGCATTGGGGGTGTCACTAGGTGTCTGGTGTCCGTCCGGCCCTGAGTTGATTGAGAGCAGGGAAGTGCGGACTTGGTGTGTGTGAGTTAGATGAAGGAGGTGGTTCAGAGTATGGCTCTGGGTTGTAGAGGAGATATAAACAATTTTGGCTCCATGATTAATGGATATCAAAAAATATGGAATCTAAGAAAACACAGAACACTTATTGACTGTTAAGAATAATTACAATAGGAGAGTAAATGCCAGACTTAGAGGAGAAAAATAAGTTTTCACAAGCTATAATGGAGATAGGAAATTTGAATGGAAAGAATAGTCCTATCCCAGGTTGATGATGATAAAACTAAGATTTTTAACCCTACTGTTTATCTCTATATAGAGGAAATGTTACTGATGGGCATTGTCATTGGAGATATTTTAATTCTATCATCTCTCATCTTGTCCTCTCTCGTTTCTCTACTTCTTACTTGCTCTGTTTTAAAATTTAAGATTTGTTCGGGTCATTGTTAACCAGGCAACATAAATCCTAGCCACAGGATTTTCTTTCACCTTCCCTTTTGCCAGTCAGCCCTCTGCAGTGAAAAATGGTTTTCTCTGTAGTCACCATTTATGTATGTGACTCAGTCTTCTTCCGGTCTTCATCTTTTTCTTCTACTTTTAAAAAAGAGTGAAAGGGAGCATTAACCAGACTCAGTTTGGGATGAGAGGTATAATCCAAGACTATTTCTGGTGAACTAGAAGCACTTAACTCCTTTATGGATATCAGGAGTGGTCTCTGAACTAAAGTTTGAAAAGGCATTTATACACATAGGAAAAAATTTTAGAATGTACGTATCAAACTCAATACTCATTGTTTTAATTATCATTTTTTTAATCCTCACCTGAGGATACTTTTCTATTGATTTTAAGAGAGAGTGAAAGACAGAGAGAAATATTGATATGAGAGAAACACATCGATTGGTTGCCTCCTGCACATGCCTAGACCAGGGCCCAGGCCAGGGTGGAGCTGCAGCCGAGGCGTGTGCCCTTTACTGGATTTAAACCCGGACCCTTCGGATCTGCAGGCCACACTCTGTCCACTAAGCCAAACCAGCCAGGGTTATTTATCATTATTTTATTTATCCATCATCTGTTCATGGATCCTGGGATTGTTTTCACTTTTTTTGTATGGACATGCTTTCTTTTCTCTTGGTTACGTAGCCAGGAGCGGAATTGCGGGGTCATATGGTAACTCTGTTTAACCTTTTGAGGAACCTGTACTAAAGTAATTGTACTATTTGCATTCTGTCAGTTTCTGGATTATATTGTTTGAACCCGTGCTTTTGTAATTCAGTGGAATATGTCTATTCTTTGAGTTAGTTTAACTGCCTCTGGTGCCAGGGAAGTACACCCTTCTCATTCCTGACTTACGGGAGGACATAATTGCCCAAATTAAGGTGAACAGTATCTGAAATGTTAAATCTTATCATATTAAATAGCTGTATTCCCACTTCTTATATTTGTTTAAAATTATTTAGCAGAATTTTGCCTTTTGTTAGCTTGAAATACTTCTAAGTATTCATAATTTGTATAGCTAAGCATACTAAGCATGTTTCTACTATAACTAGTTATTCCAACCAGAGAGTTCTAAAATCAGATTCTTTTGTAATATGAAAGCAGTGATCATGAGCAGCGTTAAACATTTTTCATTTCTGGACTAAACTGTTTCAATGTAAATGCTTTTACCTTGGAAGGAATTAAGAAAAGATGAAAATCTGGAGGGAAAATCAAAATGGTGTGAATAATATTTTTTAAATTACTAGTAACCTAGTAAGAAACTGTCTTTATTTTTGGCATGTAGGTAATTTAAATATACCAATAAATACATTTCTGTTAGTCATGGGTGATGTAGTACAGTAGTCAGAATGTTGGCCTGTGTTGACTGCGCTCACCAACGTGTGTCAGGTTCGATTCAATTCCTGGTCGAGGGCATGTACCTGGATTGTAGGTTAGATCCTGGCCCTGATGGAGGGCATGTGCAGGAGGCAACCAGTCCATGTCTCTCTCACATCAATGTTTCTCTCTTTCCTTCTCTTTCTTTCTCTCTCTCTCCCCTCCTTCCTTCCACTCTCTTTAGAAATCAGTGTAAAAAATATCCTCAGATGAGGTTTAACAAAAAAAAGAAAAAGACATTTCTGTTAAAGAAATTTTTTTTTGGTTTTTTTGTTGTTGTTGTTTGTTTTAAATATATTCTATTGATATTCTACAGACAGGAAGGGAGAGAGAGAGAGAGAGCCAGAAACGTCGATGAGAGAGAAACATCGACCAGCTGCCTCCTGCACACCCCCCACTGGGGATGTGCCCACAACCAAGGCACATGCCCCCGACCGGAACCGAACCCAGGACCCCTCAGTCCGCAGATCAACGCTCCACCACTGAGCCAAACCGGTTTCGGCTGTTAAAGAAATTTTGAATAGATGATAACAAGAGTTTAATATTTACTGTTTAATGATATCATTATGCATCTGTTAAAATTTAAAACCAACAAATTTGTATCCAAGTTTAGATATTTCATCCTAAATATTTTATCTTGGAATAAAAATCTTGATACAAAATTTTTTACATTTTACCTTGAATCTGATAAACACTTCATTTAAAAAAAAGGGGGGGGGGTGGAAAGGAGACATCTGTAATACTTTCAGCAATAAAGATAAATTTTAAAAATAGAAAAAAAAAAGATCTCCATGTGAAAAACAAAGAAGTTCATCTCTAAAAAATATAAGGGTTAATAAATAAATCTAAGCAAGACAAGACAGTTACCCTGAAATTTATTAGTTAATGTTAGTCTGACATTTGAATAGCCAGATTATTTAAGAAATAGATCACTACATTATTCTTTTGTTTATTTATTTTTACAGGTTAAAAAAGCCAAGATGCAGGAATCGGGAGAGCAAACTTTAAGGTATACTAAAGTTGAATTTCTTTTTAATGATCTACTTACAATTTTTTTCACATGCTGATGATGGACATGACTTAGGTTGACTGCCTTCTTTTTGTTTTTTTTAAAGTCAGTCTTCACATTTTGAAATTATTTGGTTTAAAATGAAAATACCCTCCAAAAGTTTGTTTTTAAAACACATAAGTGCTAATATATTTATTTTATTCATTCATTATTTTTTTCAACAATATGTAGCAAACTCATGTTATCTATCAGAGCATATGCTATATGGAGGGGACACATTGGTCAGTTAGATGTATACAGAATACGAAATAAAGGCAAGTTATTTGGTATTAATTACCAAATGGATATGGGATGCCTCAGTCATTAGCCTCCCTGCCCTTAGAGGAGAGAGGCAGCTTCTATGCACCCCATGCTTTAGTTTTCCATAGTTTTTATCAATCCTGTCGTTTGTCCGCCAACCATATGAACCAGTAACTTCATCACCTCTAACATCTTAATTTCTGGGATCCTCCTCTTTTGCTACCATACATTACATTCCAGATCATTTATTTTACTGCCACACTAATCCATATGTCTTATTATCCATGTTCAATGAAATTAACTATCAGCTCAACCGTTGGCCCTTATCTCAAAAAGGACTTCAGTATCTTTCTTATGTTGCTTAAATTATAAGATCTCTTATTTTAATCAGTCCTTTACGAATAGTCTTAACCTCCTTCCCCTTTCCTCTATGTTGTACTTCCCTAGCAAAATCACAATCCTGGTTAAACTCATCTTTCTACCGACTCCATATTAATTTCCAATCACCTGAACATTGTGAGAGAAAAACATAAAATTATGCTTACGGGTCTCAGTTTTCATTCATGATTACATCTCAATCAGCCACTTAAACACTGTTGTTGGCCCAACTGTCTTTCCTGATGTATTTTATTTCCAAGTCTCTAAAATTATCTTTCCTTTTTTCCTTTCTCTCATCTAAGGAAAAATTGTTTGAACACTTAGAATATAGCAAGTATGAGGGCATGGAACTTCATTGATATTATGCTTGAATACAAGAAGTTTGCTCAGAAACTATATGAGAGCTTTAAGAATTTTGGTGCTAGATATTTTTTAATAAAAATAGCATTTTTATTTTATTTTTATTTTTTGGCCCTAGCTGGTTTGGTCCAGTGGATAGAGCTTCAGCCTATGGACCAGAGTGTCCCAGGTTCAATTCCAGTCAAGGGCATGTATCTTGGTTGCAGGCTCCTCCCTCACCCAGGCTCTGGTCTGGGGCTCATGCAGGAGGCAACCAATCGATATGTTTCTCTCTGTCTTTCCTTCTCTCTTCCACTCTCTAAAAATCAATGGAAAAATATCCTTGGGTGAGGATTAACAAAACAAATTTTTTTTTTTCTGTGTAGAAACTACTTTGTCAGCATACCTCTTTCCAGATATCTGGGTCCTCCGGTACAGTGTCCTCCATTTTTCCTAGAATGTAGAACAGCAGCAGATTTCTTTTCTTTTTTTTTAAGTGCAGATTATAGTCTTTACTCTCAGTTTTTAAAATATTTATAACTTAGAGTAGAAAACATTTTAAAAAGTATTTCAAAATATCTTTACTTTTTTTTTTGTAATATCAATTATCCATATACATATTTTTGTACTAAGCATTTAACTTAGGTAGAATGTACTGGTATACATATTCAAGTAAACTGTGTTAGATTAAAGTCATTTGCCTCAAATATTAGCCTTACTAGATTGGGGCTGTCGTGGCACATCCAAATGTAAAATTCTGCAGATCTGAATATCTGTGCAGACATAGACTGAAAACTGTTGTGCCTACCTTGCCACTAATAAGTTGTGGGAAATGTAAATAAAGTGATAGTTTTCCTCCAGAATTTAAGGGAGTTGAAAATGCTAATAATTATAATAAACAGTATATGTATACAACACATACAGAATAACACATACCTGGTTTATGTCTCTAAAGTAAATACTTACTAGCACTTGAAATAAAAAGTAATTAACTCTACTAAAGATAGGAAAATCCATGGTGGTCTTTTACTCCTCTTTATTGCTTTTACTCCTCTTTTTAGCATTATCTATACTCCTCTATTAATTTCTGTAAATTACAGTTGCTGTCAAACCAATCCAGCCACAAAGCAGATTTCTTTTTAGGAACATGGATGTGGGAAAGATGCCTGGACTAGGGAGAAGTAGTAATATACTATTAAGTAATAGTATTTACTTTGTTCTAGTCTCTGCTCTAAGTACTTTTTATATGTTAACTCATCTCTATAACAACTCTGTGAGGTAGGATCTGTTATTACTCTTTATTGACAGTTGAAGAACCAAGGCACAAAAGGAGTTCAGTGACTTGCCTAAAGTCATAAAGCTAGCTTTGGCAGAATGGAATATGTACTCAAGCAGTCTGACTCAAGAATCTGTACTCCTGAGGATTATGCTATACTGGTAATTGAGGGAATATTGGAGAGTGGAAAGTCTGGTAGGAGGAAGAGGAAGGACATTGTGATGAAAGTTAGTATAATTTCCATTTCAGAATTCCATTGAGAATCTTCCCAACACTAAAGTGTCTAATATAATGACTTGTCCTTCCAGTTTTTATGATTTACCTTTCGTAATTTCTCTTAATTTTCTTTATAAGTTAAATAAGAAAAGTTGTTGCTCAGTCTTGGGAATAGTAGCAAATAAAAAATTTTTTTTTTTTTTTTTTTTTTTTTAATTGGAGGAGTAGAAGAATACAATGGAATGAGCCATTTTAAGGTTCAGAATACCTTCTTGGAAGCAAGCATGTATATATAACTTGAAAAAAAAATCTCAAGTTATTCTGAGAACAATTGCCTTAAAGCATTTTTAGGTGTTGTGGAATTTTTCTTTTACAACATTGTCTTCAGAGAATATCTAACTTACTTGTGACTTAGCTGGAATTTCTGAGTGATATAAAAACTGAAGGGGTCTACAGATAGGAGAAAGAACAGTAGAATGCTATGAGTTCTAACCATGGCCATAGCTCTTCAAGTAGCTGCTAGAAACCTAGAATAAGGATATCATGAAGAATTACTTCTTATAGAGCCTCAGAAGAGATGGGTTTGATTTAATAACTTAGAGCAATGGGACATGTCAATCTGGGGCTAATATATTCATTTTGGTTCTCCCAGTCAAGTAAGCAACCCCGAAGTCAGTGATCAGAAACCTGAAACTTCAAGCCTTGCTTCAAACCTTACCATGTCAGAGGAAAGTAAGTACGAAATTCTCTGCATGACCTAAGTGGCATTCCTATAAACCAGGTGATGCTGTTCTTTTATAATTGTTCTTCACTGATTGCCTTGTTTGTCCTGGATATACAGAAGACTTTCCTTTCTCTCTCTCTCTGTGTGTGTGTGTGTGTGTGTGTGTGTGTGTGTGTGTGTTTTCATATTCACACACTTGTGCTTTCCTATAAGCCTTATTGACATATTAGCTGAGGAGCAAAATCACTAGGAATTCACTCACCTAAGGAGTCACACTTTGATGATTTTATTTTTGCTTCAATGTTGGATGTTTTGAGGGTTTTTTGTTGTGTGTGTGTGTGTGGTTTTGTGTGTGTGTTTTTTTTATTTTTATTATTATTTTTTTTTTATGTTGGATGTTTTAAAGGGAAGAGTGCCTTACTCAAAAATCAGAAAAGTTTGTGGGTCAACCTCTGATGGCTACTCTGAAGGACTTGCTATTTTTTTTTTACCTTTCTCAACCAAATGATACTACCTCTCCATCCAGGCCAGAAAAGAAAAGTAATTCCCTGAGAGCCCAAGATTGATACTGGGCCCTGAGGGAGATTCAGTTTAAGATATGCCCTCCACTTACCAACATTCACTCTCCTGTAGAATAATTATATTCATGCACTACACAAAAATGCATAATGTTTTGTTTCTTAGTTTTTTCTTGTAGAGACAGGACCTAAGCTTTCTCTAACATACCCACTTCCACAAATTGTCTTTATTGGGCAAATAGTCCTCCTTGAAACTAAATGGCTATGCCCTGTTCTTTATTTTTCTACACACTTTAAAATAATAAATTTGTGTAAGACACTTTAAAAAAAAGACACTTTGGGATATTTCTTCTCAAGATGATTGTGCTTAATTTGACATACTTCCCATGTATTAAAAAATAGCATGACTTAAAAAACACACACAAGTGTGTCTTGAATTCTACATAGTACTCTCTCAAAGATACTATTTTAGTTCTCAGACTTTTAACTACCAAGAATCATCTGGAGTGTCGGTATGTAAAATAGAATTCCAGCCTAATCTTCAGAGATTATCATTCAGTAGATCTAATGTGGATGGGAATCTGTATTTTCAAGAAGATAGTTACAGTTAAGTGATTCTGATGGGAAACTGCTCTAATAAATGAAATGTCTCCTCTTTATTGATTTGAGAGAGAGAGAAATTCGTTGTTCCATTTACTTATGCATTCATTGGTTGGTTCTTATATGTGCCTTGACCAGGGATCAAACCCAAAATGTTGGCATATTGGAACGGTGCTCTAACCAACTGAGCCTCCCAGCCATGACTCTCCTCTAGTTTTCTGAATGTCCAATTCATCCTCAAGAAAAGACCATACATTCCTTACCATACTTTAGGGCCAAAATGTAAATTAAGTCTTTTTGCTCCTTTCAAATCATTTCTCTCTTTTCCTTCAAAAACTCTAGTTCTTTGAAGTCTACATTTATGCCTCCCCTTACCTTTGTTTTTACCTCAGATTGAACTCGTAGTCATTTTGCTCTTTAAAATCTAGATCTTCTTTGTTTTCTTCCCCATTAAACTCTTATTATTCTTGGTGATTTCAACAGCCATGTAGATGACCTGTCCAGTACTCATCATATCCCTCTTGTCTTCATGACCCTTTTTACTCAGCATAGATTTTATGGTTCTTTATTATAAGTACTTCCTTACAAATAGTTTCAATAAACTTGACTCTTGTATATTCCTTGCTAAACCCTAGTTGTAATTTAATCCAACTTTCTAACTTCTCTGTAAGTACATTCAAATAGCCAAACACTATAGAATAATATTTATATACCTAGCTGACTACTCAAGTAAGCACCTAACATGTTTGAAAATTTTGCTACATTTCCCTAATGAGGTTTACCTTTTAATAGTTCACACTACTTCTTTTCCCTTCAAAGTACCCATAATCATTTTTATGGTTATTTCTCATTTTTAACTGATGACTCTTTCTCAATTAGAAGCTGTGAGACAGGAAACTCATTTATTATCCCACCATCACCAAATATTTAAGCCTACCTGTGTTTGTATTCATGTTTTCTTGCATCATTTTTGTCAGAATGGAAATATTATACTTGTTCCTGTCAGAAGTAAGGCCTTTATTTATGCTCCATATCCTATCCCTGCTCACCTTCCCCTAGGACCTTGGTACTGTAGTTATCCTAACACTACTCCTATACCATCATATCTTTCTTCTCTTTTTAATCCTTTCTTTCAGTAAAGAGATGTGATCTGATATCTACCATCTTAATACAAACAAACCCTCCATTGGCTTCATCTCCCCCACCTCCTCTTTGTTCCTTGACTCATTGGAACCTTTGAAAAGAATTGCTCTTGTTTTGGTTTCTCACCTCCCATTCACTGATCAACCTCTCAAATTTAGTTTCTATTACCACTCTTCCAATGAAATTGCTCTTGTCAGGGTCATCAGTATTTTCAGTAACTGCAAGTACTAGTCCAGTGGACATTTCTTTTTTCATATCCTGCTTCTCACTACTTTCCCCCCACCTTTCTCTTTTGCTGACCCTTCCTTGGCTCTCTGGACTCTGACTGTTGGTGGGCCCTTGGGATTTGTTTCTGGTCTTTTCTCTTTCTGCATCCTCTCATGCATTAGTATATTTCCAGTCTAACTTCTCCCCTGATTTCATCTGTGTTTTCCTTTTTTTTTTTTTTTTTTAATATTTTATTGATTTTGTACAGAGAGGAAGGGAGATAGAGAGCTAGAAACATTGATCAGCTGCCTCTTGCACAACCCCTACCGGGGATGTGCCCGCAACCAAGGTACATGCCCTTGACCAGAATCGAACCCGGGACCCTTCAGTCCCCAAGCCGACGCTCTTTCCATTGAGCCAAACTGGTCTCGGCTCATCTGTGTTTTCAACTACCTGTTTGACATCTCCACTTTGCTCTAAAAGGGAAGCCATACTTAAAATGTGTGGTAGCTTTTTATTTCCTTAGCCTCCATCAAATCTGTTCTTTTCCCAGGTTTTCCCATCTTAGGAAGTGGTTTCATTATCCCTCCAGTTGCTCAAGCTGAAAACCTAGAAATTATCCCTGTTTTCTTCATTCCTGACATACTAATCCATAAGAATGTTCTGTTAGTTTTACCTTCAGAATATACTTCAAGATTTTACCTTGTCTCCATTGTTGTTCCTCTACTATAATAGCAGATTATGCCTTGACTCTTCATAATCCTTTTATAGTTCCCAAATACTGAAAAGATCAAGGCGTATTCTTTCTCTAGAAAAATAAAAATTGGCCTAAATCTCCTAGGATATTTTGTCAGTCTCTTCTAGAATTAACTTAAATTAAAGGAAGAGAATTTTTTTTGAAATTATTTGCCATCACATAAGAAACTCTCATGCAGAATTCAAATGAACTTACATTCTTTGTGATAAATAGTAAGAACTTTAGATCTAATTGAGATTTCTGTCAAAATGATTATAAAGGAATATGATATACAAATTTCTAGTCATTATTGTTAAAGTCCTTGAACAATGGCAATGGACAAGATCTATTATGATAAACTCACAGATGTTGATTTGTCTTTACAGTTGGGCATGAATATTCCTCTCATCTGCTCTTGACCCAAGTTCCCTTTATGGGTCAGGCACTCAGGGATCCTAGCTAGACATACATTTAGTCACTTTACTTTTAGTCCCTATTTATAGTAAAGCAACCTCCTTTATAGATGTTGAAAGAAGTTCTTGAACAGTTCAGGAGCCTGATACAAGCTCTATGGTGTTTCAGTCTACCACATGGGCTGGAACAGTACCTAATGAATAGGATTTTGCTTTCTGTCAACTTGAGTTGAATATTTATAGCATTTATCTAAGATGAAATCACGAGGGCCAAGCCTTCACAGCAGCTATTTTAAATGAAGGTATGAGGGTTAAGAGGACACTAGCTGTGAAAGTGTCTTTACTTGCTAGGTTATCAGAGCATCATGTGAGTTCCTCAGGTCTGACTCTGCTTTGCCAAATTTAAAACCTTAAAACCACAAAGCTAAAAAAAAAAAATAGTAATATAGAAGCATATTTACATCTTCCCTGCTGCAGACCATACACAGTGATAGCAACAGTTTTCTAATAAAATTGGGTATTTCCCCCTAAATCTGCCTTCCTGCGAGTCAGTCATATGGCAAAATAGAGAATAAGCACCCAGATAATGAATAAGCTGAAGAAGTATAATGTGGTTTTCTAGATATGGTTCTTGCCTTATCAGTTTGCCTGTAGGCACAGCTAAGAACTTAGGGTGCTCCATCTGTGGTTTTAAATCATGAAAGGTGATGGTAAAGATCAGTTGTTATTAACCTTCAACTCTTTTCCATACCCCTCACATTCTAGCTTCTTTTATTGTCTAAAAGTCTCTAAATCTGTTATTAGAAGAGTGAGGTATTTGCTACTAGTCTTTCTAAATATCTTATGTCCAAGCTGTATACTGTAATTTAATTTGAAAGACTATACAGTGAGATACAATTTTCCCATCTCATTTTTGAAGTGTTCTAACTTTTTACCTGGTTTTCTTTCAGTAATGACATGTACCGATTACATCCCTCGCTCATCCAATGATTATACCTCACAAATGTATTCTGCAAAGTAAGTTGAATATAATTATTTCAAAATCTATATGCTTTTTCTCTAGATTAATTGCAAAACTTAACTTGATATTTAACTCAGTAAGTTGATATTTTTTTCACCTCTCTCATTCTCAATCCTTTTAACAATTTTTATTGTTGTTAATTCAAGGATATTTTTCCATTGAGTCATTTTTTTTTAAAGAGAGAGTGGAAGGTAGAGGGAGAGACAGAGAGAGAAGCATTGATGTGTCATTGATTGGTTGCCTACTGTACTTTCCCCTGACTTGGGCCTGGAATTGAACCTGCAACCAAGATATGTGGCCCTACCCGGAATCGAACCAGGACCCTTTAGTTGGAGGGCTGACACTCTATCCACTGAGCAAAACTAGCTAGGGCCTTACTCCAGTTTTTTTATTCCCTCCAAATATGGAGTATATGTAATATCTTTTTATTTATTCATTCATATATTCATTTGTTCCTTACCTGAGGTTATATTATACTTTTTATAGATTTTAGAGGGGGGTAGAGAAAGATTGATCAGTTACCTCCCATAAGCGCCCCAACTGAGGATTGAACCTGCAACCCAGGTATGTGCCCTAACCAGGAATCAAACCTGCCGCCTTTTGATGTATTGGATGATGCTCCACCCGACTGAGCCACACTAGCCAGGGCTATCATATCAGTGGATAGAGCGTCCACCTGGGGATGAAGGGTCCCGGGTTCGATTCTAGTCAAGAGCACATTTCTGGGTTGCAGGCTCCTCCCCAGTGGGGGGCGTGCAGGAGGCAACCAATCAATGATTCTTTCTCATTGTTGATGTTTTTCTCTCCCCTTCTCTCTGAAATCAATAAAAATATATTTCTTAAAAAAAATGTAGATGGTTGCCTGCAATAGATCACTGTTACCCAGGAGCTCTCTCTAAGTTAGAGGTGGGGAACATCCGGCCCACAGGCTGTATAAGGCCTACGAAATCATTTGGTCTGACCCTGCCAAGACAGGGGTGAGTTAATTAAATGCTTGACTAAATGTAGCAGGTTAATTGTTAAGGTGCTATTTTTTATATGGCCTGTGAATGATGTTATAAATATCCAAAAAACCCTTGGCATAAAAAAGATTGCCCACTCCTGCTCTAAATAAAGAGGCACTGAAAATGAAAAATACGATAGTGATCAAAGCATATTACTGATTAACCTCTGATCATTTTCTGTTTCCTTTACCTTGATAGATCAATAAAAATAGCTCAAGCTAGCCCCATACTAGGACTTCTCAACCTATTTATGTTCAGTTTCTTGTCTTAGGACTATCCTCAGAGTAAAAGTGGACTTGAAATTAGACAAGTTTAGTGGATTGAAGTTATATGAGGCAACATTTTCAGCCTTCGAGGGGTTAAGATCAGCATTTAAAATCCACCAAATTAATCATCTGACTAATTAGATGCAGAACATTGTGTATGCTTCTCTGCCAGTGTGCATTGATAATGAACCTATGTATACATGAATACATACATTTAATAAGTGTGCTTATTAAATGAGGATATATATTCTTGTGTGCTTAGATCAATGATGACTGGGGGACTGTTGTAAAAAGAAAACTGGCATTTCTCACCCCCCCCCCCTTTGTGCCCATTTGTACCTTAATTTTGCATCAGTTAAAAAATACACTAATGCCAAAACCGGTTTGGCTCAGTGGATAGAGCATCGGCCTGTGGACTGAAAGGTCCCAGGTTCAATTCCAGTCAAGGGCATGTACCTTGGTTGCAGGCACATCCCCAGTATGGGGTGTGCAGAAGGCAGCTGATCCATGTTTCTCTCTCATCAATGTTTCTAACTCTCTATCCCTCTCTTTTCCTCTCTGTAAAAAATCAATAAAATATATATATTTTTAAATACACTAATTAAAAGTTAACTCAAGGAGTTTTCCAAATTCTAATTTGGTATTAACACTAATAGCATACTTGGGCCAGTCATTTTCATGTGGTTTTCTTCTGTGAAATAACTAAACCTGTTCTCTGAAATTATTAAAAAGTTAACAAAATACTTTGAGCTGTAAAGACACTGTATTAAATAGGGTGTATCTGGAGATTACTCATTAAGAGTTTAAATAATTCCCCATATAATTTGATTAATAGCTATAACCTGAATTATTTCTTGGTCTCAGATCTGGCTAAGAAGAATAGAAATTTTCATGTTCAGTCTCTTATAATCCACTGAGATGAGAATATATTGCATATTCCAAATTCATTTACTTATTCAAAAAAGATTTGTATACCTGCTATATTCAGGATACCTTATTAGCTATGCCTACTATCTTTTTTTTAAATATTTTTATTGATTTTGAGAGAGAAGAAGGTAGAGGGATAGAGAGATGAAAACATTGATGAGAGTCATCAATTGGCTGCCTCTTGCATGCCCGTAACTGGGGATCGAGCCCGGAAACCCAGGCATGGGAATCAAACCAGTGACCTTGATGATCAGGGTTAATGTTAAACCACTGAGCAACACAGGCTTAGCATATGCCTTCTATCTTAATTCAGAGCTCCTGTATAACTTTTTTAACTGGACCTCTATTTCATTTTTCTCTCTTCTAATCCATTTACTGAGCAATGCCAAAGTAATCTTTATTAAGGAGCAACTCTGATCTTGTCACTCTGCTCAACAATTTCAGTGACTCCTACTTGTTTCAGATTTGTCTGAACTCTTTTAGCCTGGTATTCAAGGTCTTGGCTATCTGTCTTTCTCTCTCTCGCTATTTCCCTTCCCTTTATATACCTCCCTTAATATAGTCTATGCTTCTTGGAACCTGAAGCCCTTGCTTTTCTTCTATGTACCTTTTTCAGACTTTTTCTATTTTCCTAGAACATGCTTCTCCCGCTCCTGCACATCCTGTATGCTCAGTTCATATACCGCTTCTTTATAGCCTCCCTTCATTCTTCTCCAAACCTGAAAAGAATCTTCTTGCCTTCTGAAACAACGCTTCCCTCCAGTATTTTGTCATTATTACTCATGGTACATGTAACACTTGTTCTTATAAGTGCAGCATAACTCACCATATAATATATCTGTTACCTAAAAATTCAGCATAAAATGTGGGATCATCTTATTGCATGAATGAAATGTGAGGTCAGTCCTAACCAGTTTGGCTCAGTGGATAGAGTGTCGGCCTGTGGACCGAAGGGTCCCAGGTTCAATTCCGGTCAAGGGCAGGTACCCCTGTTGCAGGCTCCTCCCTGGCCCGGGTGCTGGTTTGGGCTCGTCCCGGAGGCAACCAGTTGATGTGTTTCTCTCACATCAATATTTCTCTCTTCCCCTCTCTCTACAAGTCAATGGAAAAATATCCTCCGGTGAGGATTAAAACAAGTGAGAAAAAAAGAAAAAAAAGAAAAAGGAACGTGAGGTCATCTAGCTAGTGTATATTACCAGAAGTTTCACTGCTGAATTCAAATCCCTAGTTAAACCTGATGTGCTTGACACCATTTATAAGTTGTATACTCTGGCTTAAATATCAGTGGAAAAATTACAAGTCCTATCTGGGACTTCCCAGATTTTATTATCTGGCTCCTGTTTTATACACTTGATCTGGCAATATTGGCCCACTTTCCTACTCCCTTGCCTTTTCTCTACCAACCTCCCCCTCTTTTCAAAGCCCCACTTTTCCTCTTAGAACTTTACTTTGGCCCTAGCCAGTTTGGCTCAGCGTATAGAGTGTTGGCCTATGAACTGAAGGGTCCTGGGTTCAATTCCAGTCAAGGATCACATGCCCGTGTTACAGGATCAATCCCCAGTAGGGGAAGTGCAGGAGGCAGCCAATCTATGATTCTCATCATTGATGTTTCTACCCTGTTTCCCCGAAAATAAGACAGTGACTTATATTAATTTTTTCTCCCAAAGTTGCGCTAGGTCTTATTTTCGGAGGATGTCTTATTTTCGGGGAAACACGGTTTCTCTCTTACCATCTCCCTTCCTCTCTAAAATCAACAAAAATATTTTAAAAACAGTTTTAAAAAGAACTTTAGTTTGGCCCAGAGGGCTGGGTAAATAACGAGAGCCAGTTGTGAAGCCTATTTTCTATTATTTTAGTTTTATTCTACATGTAGACATAGGGCATAAACAAGTTTAATCCATCCTTTTTAAAAATATATTTTTATTTATTTTAGAGAGAAAGGGAGAGAGAGAGAGAAAGAAACATCAATGATGAGAGGGAATCATTGATTGGCTGCCTCCTGCACGCCCCCCACTGAAGGGGATTGGGCCTGAAACCTGGGCATGTGCCCTTGGCCGGATTCAAACTTGGGATCCTTTAGTCTGCAGTCCGATGCTCTTTCCACTGAGCCAAATCAGCTTGGGCTAATCCATCCTTATATTTCATATGGGACATACATATAGCATAACATGAATTTTTATAACATAGTAATTGGACCTTGGGAAGATATTTGAAAATTATAAATTTCTCATAAAATTGTTTCTTAGGTAGGTTGTAGTAGAACCTGGAAAGAAAATATTAGCTCTATTTTTTTTTTTTTTTTACCATAGTGATAGGCATTTTGTGGAAGGTTAGTTTCCTCATTATTGGTTCTTTGCATTTAGTGACATTAGCTATATCTCCTATTTTTCATTACTAAAGTAAATCACACATGCAAGTTTTTGTTTTCTTGAACTTTTCTAGACCTTATGCACATATCCTCTCAGTTCCTGTTTCGGAAACTGCTTATCCTGGGCAGACTCAGTACCAGACACTACAGCAGTCTCAACCGTATGCTGTCTACCCTCAGGCAACCCAAACATATGGACTACCTCCTTTTGGTAAGGCATCCTATTATAAGCTGTTTCTAAGAATATTGATTTTTATTCCCCCAAAAGCAAGCATAGCTGATCAGGAAGTGGAGAAATGAATGGTTCTTTGTAGAGCACCTACCCAATTACAGGTGTAATAGATGTTGGGTTTGCTAGTTTCCAAGAGCATATTTGATACAAGTAATATAAAATCATAATTTCCGTACTCATTTGTTTATCAAGGTTAGCTACCAAATTTCCAAGGTACTAACTAAGTCTTGACTGTAAAACTTGGATTTTTTAAGTATTTGTGAAAAATCCTTGAGAAATTACTATTGATTTTACTTTATAGAAAACATGGTACCTTGGTTAAGTAAGCATAATAAATGTATTTTGAGGTGACTGGTTTGCTAAAACCAGGCAATCTAAATATCCTGATAAAACATGCCTTATAATTGAGGAAATCCCCAATTTTGTACAACCTTATATGCATAGAAAATTTTGTTCTTTGGTTTTAAGCATCTTGGACATGAACTATAAATTAGAATGATTTACTACAACAGAGTTTGAGATTCTTTGTACACTTGATATTTGCTCTGATATTTTTTTCTGTGTATGTAAATTGATAGATATATTAGTGTGGTTTGTTACCTATTCCCTGTTTTTCTTGAACAGGTATGAAAAAATTGAGAGAATACTGTATTGCTTTAAAATATGCAATATGTTAATAAAATTTTACCTCTGTAGCCTCTACTGAAACTAGCTGAATTAGAAAAATCTTTCAGCAGACTGCCATAGGCTATAGATGTGTTAGTGTTGCCTGCTTCTGGTTTCTACATCGCTACTTTTCCTGGTCCATTTGGCTAATCTTTATGATAGTGACTGCCTTCTTATTTTTAGGCATTCCTTGGCTTCTGTTAACTACTAGGGGGGGTTATGTTTCATGATAGTCGTCGTTGGTAACTTCATAAGAAAAGAGAACAGAAATGCCCTTATTTCTGAGTTTGTAGTCCATGCCTATATGCCTATCAGTTTTAGCCAGTATACTAAATACTAAAATCTTACATTTGTGATATATTTAACTAGCCAAGACTGAGCAGTCGTTTTGAAAGCAGGAATCTCTGTGATTATGCTTGTGTTTATTAAAGCTGAATTTTTATTAGCTGGATAATAATAGGCTAGCAAGTATGAATTAAGTATTTTCACATTTTTTAAAACTTTTTTTAAATAAATTTTTTCCAGATTTTAAAAAATATATATTTTTGTTGATTTAAGACAGGAAGGGTGAGGGAATGAGAGAAACATCAATGATGAGAGAGAATCATTGATTGGCTGCCTCCTATATGCCTCCACTGTGCCCTGATTGGTTCGTAGATCAATGCTCAACCACTGAACCATGCCGGCCAGGCTTAACTCTCTGTTTTGATTTAAATTTATTATCAGCAAACCCTACGTTCTTTATGGTACTTTTGAACAACAGTTGATCATTCTTATTGTTCATTGTTAAATAAAACTTCTATTATACCTCTGGATTCAGGTCATGGAATACCTAACATAGTGCCATGTGCATGTAGGTCCTAGATATTATGGTGTCTTTTGTGATCGCTGCATTTTCCCTGTAGTAAAGAAAAAAAGAAAATTCTGTAAAATAGATTAATCCTTGTTAAAATCTTGAAGAAAATAGTGTTTATATTGTGAAGTAATATTTACTATTTGGGGGTGAGGAAAACTTGTTTTATAAATTCTCTAATTTAGTTTAATTTGAATTTAAGTTATATATGAGACTTAGATTAAGTTATATATGAGACTTATATATGGAGATGTAGATTGGGGTAATGTGAATTTTATATATATATATATATATATATATATATATATATATATGGCACATTCTCATATAATAATTTATAAAGGACATTACAAAGTGATATTTGGAATATTTTTAAAGTGACTTTTTAAAAACATTTTTTTATGTTTTAGCATGGCTTTTTTTAATGTGTTCACTCAACTGTAGAACACTTTATTTATTTCTTCTTGTGAAGATTTTAGAAATTCTGTCACTTCAGTATTGATTGTTAGCACTAGAGCTAGGTTAGCCAATCTGTTATTTTACTTCAGGTATAAATAGGCTTCAGAAAATTTCATTGTAATAATATCTAATATAGAGAGAGTGTTTATTATACTAAGCAGTATGAAAAGAATAAGTATTTTACACTTTACACTTTGTCTTATTTAATTCTCTGAATAGTCTGAAACAATAAGTAGTAGCATTAGCCTTTTTTATGAATAAGGAAACAGGCTTAGAAGGATTAAGTGGAATGACTGGCCTGAGGTCATACAATTAGTAAATGCCTAGGATTGGAATTGAACCCAGGTCTGTTTAACTCCAGAAGTGCTCATACCTTAGGTTAGCGATTTTCAAACAAAATTTTAGCAATTAGTTTATGTGTACCATGAGATGAAAAAGGTTGAAAATTGCTGATTTAGGTCTATATAAAAAGGATAGTCTCAGAGTTGAGTTTGAAATTTAAAAATTTCCTCTTTTTGAAGAAAGGAGAAAAGACTAAAGAAAATCTAAGGAGTCTATGAGTAATTTTTAAAAGTAAAGGCATAGTAGTCATATTCTTTTCTGAACTATGTAGAAGTGTGGTGGGGTGGCAGAAAGGATGAGAGGTTTAACTTTCAATGAGACCTGAACGTGTGAGGAAAGGGGAAATCTTCATGGGCTCATATAAAATTGCCTCAGCTGCCACTGTTCTAAATTCTTTTAAAAGAACTTTAATGTAAGATGAAGATTTGACTTATATATTAAGAGCATTAAGGATGTTCATACCATTTCCCTCAGTAATTTCACTTCAAGAAATTTATCCTATGGAATTAGAGATATCCACAAAACTTTCCTAACTATAATATTCATTGCAGCATTAGTTATCATAGCAAAAGATTGGATACAACATACATATTCAAAGGTTTGTGTTCAATTGCAGTGTATCCATAGAATTGAAAACTGTGAAGCCATTATTCTTTTTTTTCTTTAATCCTCACAGAAGAGCATGCTTAGAGAGAGGAAGGGAAGAGAGAGAGAGAGAGAGAGAGAGAGACAGAGAGAGACAGAGAGAGAGGAGAGAGAGAGAGAGGGAAACATCGATGTGAGAGAGAAACATTGATTGTATGGTTGCCTTCTCTAGCTCCCCAACTGGGGATCAAACCCACAACCCAGGTATGGGCCCTGATCAGGAATTGTACCAGCAACCTTTTGGTGTACAGGATGATGCTCAATCTACTGAGCCCCTCCAGCTTGGTGTAAGTCACAATCTTAAAGAGTATTTAGCATCTTGAGAAAACAAATTATTATTAATTGAAAAAATTGCTATGTAAAATTGAAAATCCTATATAATAACAGGCTATTATGTAAACAGACCAAATGGCAGAACAACCAAATAACTGGTCGTTGTGACGTGTGCTGACATGGCGGGCGTCAGCAGCAGGCGACAAAGTGCAGAACATGCAGGCGTCAGTCACTGTCATTGGCAAGCCTTTGGTGGTTACTGAAAATTCTTATTTTTTTTTTATTTTTTTATTGATTTTGTACAGAGAGGAAGGGAGAGAGATAGAGAGTTAGAAACATCAATGAGAGAGAGTCATTGATCAGCTGCCTCTTGCACACTCCCTACTGGGGATATGCCCGCAACCAAGGTACATACCTTGACCAGAATCGAACTCGGGACCTTTCAGTCCCCAAGTCGATGCTCTATCCATTGAGCCAAACTGGTTTCGGCGGTTACTGAAAATTCTTTGCTCCTGCATGCCGCAGTCCCACCCGGCACCTGCACCTGCTCCCGGTGCCGGCCCCACTTACACCCACTGCAGGTGCCAGAGCCACGGCTCACACCACTGCCGGTGCCCAACCCTGCCTCCAATCGTTCAACACCATGAGTAGGTGCGAGTGGCAGCTGCCAGCCCCAAGCGCCCCTGAGGGCTTCTCCACCTCCCCCTGCTCCTGAGGAGCTATCAGGAGCAGCCCCAACAGTTCAGCATGTGAGAGCAGGACTGGCAGTGGGAGTGGGGCTGCTGGTAGACGGGACAGGAGGCTATGGTGTGAGGAATCTGGCAGGGGTGCAGAGGATGGGCCTAGACCCACCCTTGTGCCCATTGCAGCCTCTTGGCCCACAGTTCCTTTCAGGGTACACGAATTCATACCTTGGACCCCTAGCACAATATCCCCAGTTAGTATATTCTTTAAACTAGGGGTGTCGAACTCAATCAGAGAAGGGGCCAAAATCTAAAATCCAGCCTAAATCGCGGGCCGAATGGTTTACTGAACAGTCATAAACTGTCATTGTGGTGGAAACACAGCGGAGTGCAGTGATGACAGCGCGGTGCGGGCCACATTGCAAGGCCTGGCGGGACGGATTTGGCCCGCAGGCCTTGTGTTTGACACATGTGCTTTAAACCCTATATGATAAAAGGGTAATATGCAAATAGACCGAATAGAAGAACAACCAAACAACCAAAGCACAATATGCAAATGATATGCTAAGGATGCTCAACTGCTCGCTATGATGTGCACTGACCACCAGGAGGCAGATGCTCCAATCAGTGGATTAGCTGCTGGGGTCCAGCAGATCAGGACTGAGCAAGATGGGATGCACATGCCCTCCCCAGCCTGATCCTGGACCAGTGGGGTTCCTCAGCCTGGTCTGCACCTTCTTGCAATCTGGGACCCCTCTGGGGATGTCAGTGAGCCGATTTCAGCTCAATCCTGCAGGCCACTCCCCTTGGGAGGGCGCCAGACACAGGGTTCATGGCTGGCAAGTGCTGCTCGGTCAGCACGAGCCTCTCCTGATCAGGACTGATTGGACGGGAGCCTACGGCAGGCACAATGGGGCCGGGATGGGCGGGAGCAGCAGGTAGGAACTGCAGGCAGTTTTGGACTGCGGGTTTTGGCCATACCCCTGCGGGCTACCCAGAGGGACCCCACCCATGCACAAATTCATGCGCCGGGCCTCTAGTATGTACATAAAGACTAATTTGGAAGAAAAAATGTGAACTTACCAGTATAGGCATTATACAGATTTGATCTCAGTTACCACAGAACCATGCAAAGGTAGAACTGCCTAATACCCTGTTTCCCCGAAAAAAAGACAGTGTCTTATATTAATTTTTTCTTCCAAAGTTGCGCGAGGTCTTATTTTCAGGTGATGTCTTATCTTTCCATGCGCTAGGTCTTACTTTCGGAGGATGTCTTATTTTCGGGGAAACACAGGTAATTTTTTGTGTGTGGCGAGACTATATGAATTTTTCCTTACACTCTATATTTCCCTAATTTTCTATAATATAATGGACATATTTTATAATTAGGATAAGTACTGAGGTTAAATTACTTGGCATTTATATCCTGTTTCCCCGAAAATAAGACATCCTCCAAAAATAAGACCTACTTACAGGTTTCCTTCTGAGTGAAATATAAGGCATTCCCCCGAAAATGAGGCCCCCGCTAGGCTGATCATGAGAGATTTGGTCCACTGATTCTGAAAGAAATGGAGTCACAAGAAATTCACGAGGAAATTCAGGAATTAGATTGTTATGATGATGTTCCAGAAGATGATGACATGATTGTCATTGAATAAATGAGTAAATTCTTGATACTGTAGGATTCACAGTTTGTCTGGTTTGTGTTGACAACTACCGTACTACCGAACCGTATACAGGTAATAAATTTCCTTTATTTTCATTTAACAATAAATGTGTACCATATTCTTCTTCATGGAAAAATAAGACATCTCCTGAAAATAAGACCTAGCACATCTTTGGGAGCAAAAATTAATATAAGACACTGTCTTATTTTCAGGGAAACAGAGTAATAGCTCATCCCAGTGAACTATTAAATCAGCAAACCAAGATAGTCTTCTATGTGTGTGTGTGTGTTTTTTCTCGCATTAACATGTACTTCAATTCCTAACCAAACTAATCTCTAAAAATTCACTACTTTGATATGTGTTACTAAAAACTGAATTGCTTAGGTTAGTTTGGTTAATGACACATATTGTGCTCAGAGACGTGGGTGAAGTTTACGATAAGACCCCAGTGTGGGGCAGCAGGAGGATGGCACTCAGAGACAGACTTCCTTTCCCATTGTTAGACCCGGCTGATGCCCACCTCTGCTTATTGTGCTTACAATCACCTGAGAGGCTTTGTAGTTGGAGGCATACAGCAGTGGGCTAGTGGCCAGGAAACCTGGGTTTTGTTTCATCATTTTCTATGGCAGTAATGCTCTCTGGTCAAGTCATACTACTATTACTTGGAATTCTCAGAAGGGTGCTTTTGAAGGAAGATGCTTATATGCTTTAACACAGGGTTACAGTAATGCTTGCAGCAGTATCCATATTGTCTTTTATTTCTCTAGTCTTCGTAAAATAATTATGTGTGAGTACTTCATGTTTCTGGTCAAAAACATTCAAAACTATTCCCTTATCTTAGACATTTTACCCTAATTTTTAACCTTATAAAAAGAACCAGTTTTTGGGCATTTTACATTTTAAAACTTTAAAAAATACAAAATAATGAGGCTAGCAAAACATTCTCGGTTTACTAATACCGTAGGATTTTTTTACTAATACGGTAGGATTTTAGTACAGTGTAATTATAAAAATGTTCACAAATCCAACACCTTTACTTCAGAACCCATTTAGGAAAAAACACATTGATCACAATAAATCTGAAAGTTATTATTATATTAAAATAGCAATTTGTTTACTAGAAATTATGAATCAAGGCACTAATACCCAAATTTCATATAATAAATGTTTTAAAAATAATATTCTTTATTGAACTTTAGCTGTGGCTAACCTGGACAAGATTTTTTTTTTTTTTTTTTTTTTTTTTTTGATTTTTCACATTGAGGAAGAGAGAAACATTGATGAGAGAGAATCATCAATCAGCTACCTCTTGCATACCCCCTACTGGGGATGTGCCCGCAACCAAGGTACATGCCCTTGACCGGAATCGAACCTGGGACCTTTCAGTCCTCAGGCTGACGCTCTATCCACTGAGCCAAACCGGTTTTGGCTGGACAAGATTTTTAAAATAATCTTGAACTTGAGGGTGCGGGAGCAATTCTCCTAATTCATGCTAGAGATCTTTATATTCTTCAGTCTCCTCAAAAAGTCATTTTATGTGTTTAATAGGTAAGAAAATAACATGGCTTTTTGTTTTTTTAATGCTTCGAGTTTGGGCCAACGCAATTACCATGTCACGCTGTCAACCTTTTAAGATTTTTTACATCTCCCTGTACTATTCTTATATTTACTTTTCAACAAATTTTACAGATCCGAGTTGCACTAAGATATCTCAGTGCCCTGGTAAAGCAGAGGTTCTTATTATTAAAGCATTATATTTCTATAAATTCTTTATCAGATTGGGAGTAAATGAAATTAGTTAATGTTGAATTTGAAACTGTGGCTGACATTGGCATTGACTTCTTACCTGGAATGTATTTGATTGATGAACCTTCTTGAACCAAATTCTCAGCTTCAACTACACTGATCCAGCAACTGTAGCTATTCAGAACACAATGAATAACCAGACAATACGTTTTTTATAAATAAACTTTTGCATAGGCCAAAATTATCACCAAGACAACTCAATAAAGGGCATCCTTAGGCTCTCCTGTAGAAGCTCTCCTTTGTTTATGGTTTCCTAGTTTACTACAAATGAAAAGAGAGATAGATACAATCAAGAGATAGGAGATTGAGCCCGGACCGATTTGGCTCAGTGGATAGAGCGTCGGCTTGGGGACTGAAGGGTCCCGGGTTCAATTCCGGTCAAGGGCATGTACCTTGGCTGCGGGCATATCCCCAGTAGGGGGTGTGCAAGAGGCAGCTGGTCGATGACTCTCTCTCATCGATGTTTCAAACTCTCTATCTCTCTCCCTTCCTCTCTGTATAAAATCAATAAAATATTTAAAAAAAAAAAAAAAAAAAGAGAGATAGGAGATTGTCAAGAAGTGAAAGATCACAGAGAAAAAAACAGTGATACAAGTATCTAAAATTATAGAACCATAATTGAGTTCTATTTAGTACTAAGTAAATGTCTTTACATATCACAATAATCTGTTTCTATAAAATATATATATCACAGCACCATATTTATCTTTGTAGAAATAATTCTGATAAAAATTGAAAGGTATGCTCACTATTTCCTCCCTGCCAAGAAGGCAGGAAGAGATAAATATATTAGAAAAATTGTCACTCAGGAGCATTGTGATAAAAATGAATAGCTGTGATGTTTATCAGTATGAGATAGATTTATATGTTCTGACATGGAATGATGTCTCTTAGAGATATGTATAAAAAGCAAATTATGAACAGTATGTATAACACCTTTTAAATTTTTATTAAGAAGAAGAAAAAAGATTAGTAAGTACATAGAGGAAACCTGAGTGACTTTTCTGCAAACTTAATAGTGGTGAAATCTGGATGATGGGATTACATATGACTTTGCTTTTTTCTAAGTTACATATTTCTGTAATGTTTTTAATTTATAAAAATAAGTAGATCTGTCTTTCTTAATCAGAAGAAACAAAGGTAACAAAATAACCAGCTTAAGAAGGCAGAGAAGTATTTAATACATTTTAGAAAAATTTGGTGCTTTTTAAATGGGTAAGTGAATTTTAAACTTATGTGGAATGTTTCCCACTTTGACAATGCAGAGAAATGATTTATTGCTGTTCGTGGACATCACACACTTTATATCAAATACTCTGGTTGGGTGTCAGTAGCTTTTTTTTTTTTTTTTAACCCTTATCAATTTTCCCCAATCACTGAAATGAAAAAATATATATATAATTATTGGGGTCTTGACAAGATTTTTGTTTCCATGGCCCCACTCCCTCGTTCTTTGAAATTGTATTTGCTTGTGGTACATTGTAAGTGGGAGAATCAATAATTTTTTTTTTTATCTTACAAGCAAATTTATTTTCTTTTAAGATTTAGATTTTAAACTACTGGCTGATATTAAAAAGCATAACCATGCTCCCCAGTCCCAATGTATTGTTTGTAATTGGTCAAATTTATCTGATTCAGGTGCATTGTGGCCAGGTATGAAACCTGAAAGTGGTTTAATTCAGACTCCATCTCCAAGTCAACACAGTGTTCTTACCTGCACTACAGGGTTAACCACAAGCCAGCCAAGCCCAGCACATTATTCTTACCCCATTCAAGGTAAATAGGCATGGTTGTGTATGTGTATGTTTTATTATTGTTGGGTTTTGTTTTTAATCTACCTGTATCTCCAGGTAATAGGAGCTTTGTCTTCTAAAAGAAAAGGGGGTGCTATGTGCCATTGTGCATGCTTTTTGTGTTAGCAAACCAGAACCTAGGAGCATGGTTTGTAAGTAGTTAACCTTTTAAAGTGAACTGCTTAGTAGAATTGAAGCCTTCCCTTTTGCATGTTGGTGTTCAGAAAACCTGTCTGTTCTCAGTGACTTTTTTTTTTTTTCTTAGTGGCTTTTTGTCCTATAAATAAGCAGAAGACTCTGGTTAGAACTTTATTGACTTCCATAGAAAATCTAAATAGAGTGGATTGTGAGATGTGCTTTGTGAGAAGTGTGCTGTTTTCTGCTGTGGTTTATCATACCATTTACAATCACTTCTTAGTGAGAGGGCTTTGGGGATTGTTTTTTTTTTTGTTTTGTTTGCTTTTTTTGCTCAAAAAGTTGTTTATATTTCATGATGAAAAGCATAGCATTAAACATCTCTGCCTTCCCATATTCTTGCTCTAAAAGGTTAGAAGTATGATAGGACTATTTATTAGGAATGAGGACAAAGAAACTCAAAAGACACGATGGAATTAATTCCCAACCCATCCAAATCAAATGCATCCAATTTATCAATGATTCAGATTGGGAATTAATGTCCATGTACCTTGCTTCTCATCTGCCTCCTTTCTCCTGGTTTCTCCCAGCTTTTAAATTTTATTACTTACAGAACGGGTGCCCAAGGGTAAGAACAGGACAGCAAAAACTGGTCTGAGGTATTCTTAAAATACAAACTTTGATGATGGAAAATGTTTTGGTGTAGATTATTTTAAAATAGTTTGACTTTTAGTTGTAACTATTTTCAATTATGTGATTAAGAACTACTTCTGCTTGGCCCATTGAGAACAGAACCGGTCACTACATTCTAAGACATTGCTCTGAGCTACCCTTACCCTCTATTATTTACCAAGTCTCCTATTACTGATTTTTTTTTCTTTCTTTGTCCCCTCCCCCTTCTTTCTTTCTTTTAAATATATATTTTTATTGATTTTTTGTACAGAGAGGAAGGAAGAGGGATAGAGAGCTAGAAACATTGATGAGAGAAACATTGACCAGTTGCCTCCTGCACACCCCCTACTGGGGATGTTCCCACAACCTAGGTACATGCCCTTGACCGGAATCCGAACCTGGGACCTTTCTGTCTGCAGGCCGACGCTCTATCCACTGAGCCAAACCAGTTTCGGCTCCCCTTCTTTCTTTCTGAACTGAGAACAAACCAGAGGGAAAAAACTCAAAGAGTATGACTTTGTTTGTCTGTCTTTCCATCAATTCCTTTTGATTTTTATGAAGTATTCTCTAGGTTGGTAGGCCTTTTGGGTCCAACTAGGTCAAGTCCCTCTAAAGGGATGTGCCATTAACCTCCAGCTATGGGGCAATGTCACCTCAGTCATGAAAGAAAAGCAGGGGGTACGCTTTTCTTTTTATATTATTAGGTCTAGTAAAAATTAATGTCGTTTTCTAATACTTTTTTAAATCGAATTTATTTAAACAATACAACAAAATTTAATCAACAATATAGTTGCCGTTGTTTTCTACTACTTGTGCCCAACGCTCAGGAAGCATTTTAATCCCTCTGTTGTAAAATTCTTGTGATTTTGATGCAAAAAATTCGGTCAATGCATTTTTGAGGCATTCTTCATTATTAAATTTTTTTCCAAGAAGAAAGTTTTGCAAAGAACGAAACAAATGGTAATCGGAAGGGGCAATATCAGGAGAATATGCAGGTTGAGGGAGAACTTCCCATTCCAACTGGCGCAGTTTTTCAGCAGTGATTCTTGCAGTATGCGGTCGTGCGTTATCGTGGTGAAGAATTACGCCCTTCCGATTAATCAGCGCAGGTTCTTTTTCTCTTAAAGCTTGGGCTAACCTTTCCAATTGGGCACTATACACTGCACTTGTAATGGTTTGGTTAGATGGTAAAAGTTCATAATGAAGAATTCCTTTAAAATTCCACCAAACACACAACATCACTTTTTTCGCATGCAAGTCAGGTTTTGGCATGGGCTGCGGAGCCTCATTTTTGTCCAACCATTGAGGCCGCCTTTTCAAATTAACATACAGCACCCATTCTTCATCTCCGGTAACAATTTGCTCTAAAAACGGCAAACGGTTTTGACGAGAGAGGAGCGACCTGCAAATTGTGACTCTTTGATTACGGTTGTTGTCGGTCAACTCATAAGGAACCCATTTTCCAAACTTTTGGACTTTGCCAAGTGCACCCAATTGATTGGAAATTGTTTTTTGTGAACAATTTAAAGTTGTCGCAAGCTCTTGTTGGGTAATTTGAGGATTTTGCACCAAAAGAGCTTGAAGAGCTTCTTGATCAAAATTGGACACACGGCCTCGACCACTCTTGTCATCTAACGAAAAATTTCCCTCGCGAAATTTCTCAAACCAACGCTGGCATTTTCTGGCGCTAACTGCATCTTGACCAAGAGAACTACAGATGTTTTTTGCAGCCTCACTTGCTTTTCTTCCTAATTGGAACTCGTAAAGCATGCAGTGCCGAATATGCTCTTCATCCGCCATCTTCTTAGCCCTAGTTTTGCAACAAAAACCAAACCAAGCACAAACTTTTTCAAGCAAAACTTGTTAATTGCACTTCACACGTTCTGTAGATACCACGTGTTTGAAGGTTATGTCAATACAAGTCAACACCAAGCAAGATTTTAAACGAATGTTTAAAAACGACATTAATTATTACTAGACCCGATACTAACCCTCTCCCAAGGTGTAGAACCACCACTTCTCCATAGTTGTATCTTAAGTTTGAGGAACCTAATAGCTATGCTTCTTATCCCTCTTTTTTAAAAAAGAGGAACCACCTTTGGAGGTCTTTTAGGGGGTCATGAAATATCCTTTAAATTCCATTAACCACTATCCTCACTTATCCGTAAGTACATTTTTCCCCCTTTTGATAGATTAACTTGATTTTCTCACATTTTGCTAATAATGATCATTGCTGGTGTTTATTAAATGCTTACTATGTTTTTAGCATTGTTTTAAACAATAGATAGGTGTTAATCATGTAATCTTCACAATATATTTGAGGAAAGTAATATTATTTATTTCATTGTAAAGAAGGGGAACAAGCTGAAACCAGTTTGGCTCAATGGATAGAGCGTCAGCTTGGGGACTGAAAGGTCCCAGGTTCGATTCCGGTCAAGGGCATGTACCTTGGTTGCGGGCATATCCCCGGTGGGGGGTGTGCAAGAGGCAGCTGATCGATGACTCTCTCTAATCGATGTTTCTAACTCTCTATCTCTCTCCCTTCCTCTCTGTACAAAATCGATTAAATATTTTTTTTTAAGGGGGGGGGGGACCAAAAGACACAGAAAAAGCAAAGTGGCTTGCCAAAGGTCACAAAGTTAGTAAATAATAAAGTGAGGGCGTTAGCTGGGCAATCTGACCACAGAGCATGAGTGATTTATGATTGAAAACGTATGATATTTAATATTGAAGTCATGGTATCAATATAAATCCTCCCATAATTAAGAATCTGTAGTGGCAAATATCTAAATTTATTTTTCATCCCTTTTTCTGGTTAATTTATTGGTTCATTGTATTATTCATTAGAACTTTGGCACAGAAATTAAGGCAGAAGTTCACCAAATTGAATGTCAACTATAATTGAAAAAAATTTATTTTATTTTTTAATCCTCACCTAAGGATATTTTCCCATTGATTTTTAGGGAGAGTGGAAGAGAGGGGGAAGATAGAGAGAAACATCAATGTGAGAAACTCATCAATTGGTTGCCTTCTGCACAAGCCCTGGCCAGGGCCTGGGTCGGGGAGGAGCTGCAACCAAGGTACCTGCCCTTGACCAAATTGAACCCATGACCCTTTGGTCCACAAGCTGATGTTCTATCCACTGAGCCAAACCTGTTAGGGCAAATTTTTTTTTTTAATGGTCAAAACAGCAACAGTATCTCCTCATTCCACCCAAAGCATTCTATCCTTGACAGCAGCCCTTCTTCCTTTGTGAAGTTGGTGAAATGATCTCAAAAACCCAGTTCCTCTCTGGCTTCCTCAGCTCTGATCAAAACCTTTATTATACCTCGGTGTTTATGAAAACCCTTTGACTAAATAGATCTGGCTTTTTTTATATTAATTTTTTCCTACACTGTTTGTTATATGGCCCAATATCTGGTTATTTTCTTCAGTTGAGATGGTTTAAATGATAATATTCAAGTGGCAAAATTAATTACAGAAATTTCAAATTTAATTTTAGCTCAATCTTGACTTTTAATGAAGGGCTCTGATGTTGTTGGTAATACATAATATCTTTCGTTGACCAGATTTGTTTTTTTTAATAGATTTTATTTTTTAGAATAGTCTTAGATTCATAGAAAAATTGAGCACATGGTATAAAGAGTTATATTTATCCCCCAACCTTGTACATAGTTTCCACCAATAATTACATCTTACATTAGAATGGAATATTTGTTACAATTAATAAATCATTATTAGTGCATTATTACTAATTAAGCCCAAATTTATTCAGGTTTCCGTAGTTTTTACCTGATATCCTTGTTCTGTTTTAGAATCCCATCCAGTATACCACATTTTCTTTAATTGTCATGTCTCCTTAGGTTACTCTTGACTATGTAGTTTTTCAGACTTCCCTTGTTTTTGATGACCTTGACATACTATACATGAATTCTACAAGGTGTACGTGTATACAACTATAAATGAATCCCACAACCACTTACTATCACTTACTGTAGACCAGGCACTTTGCTAGATATTGAATTAATGAATATCTTAAGATTCTGTTTTCATGGAGCTTACAAAATAGTCGAGGAAAACAGGCAAGTAAATAAATAGATTTTTGAAAAGTGCTCTGAAAGGAATAAAGAATAGGTTGCTATGTCTGGGAAAACAAGAAAGGAGTTAGTTTCAATAGAGGGGTCAGAGAGAGTCTCTCTGAGAAGGAGGAGCTATCATGCTGGGAGGAGGAGGGGGCCAGGCCAGGGAGAACAATCCAGGCAGAGATCCTCTTGTTTTGAGTAACTTGAAAAGGCCAGGGTGAATAAGGGTGGTGGAGAAACATATATAAAATTAAAGGGGTGGATAGAAACTAAACCTTGCAGCAACTTTGATGTGCCAGTAACCCTCCAGCTATGGGGCAATGTCACTAATTCGACGCTGCCTCTCACAGTTCTATAAGCAAAGTCTTCTGAGTAGAGCTCTCTAATTAGACCTCTAAGGGATGGGGTGAGGTGGGGGCGGGGCATGGTTCTTAGATGCTTTGTCTTTCTATGGGTTCACAGCTCCATTGTCAAAACAGGGGTGGAGACTTATCCCAAAACAGTTGGCTATGCCATTGGCATTTGGAGAGCTAAAAGGCTTTAGATATATATGAATTGGAGTTATCACTTGAGTTTTACTTGATCCTCTGAATTTGTACCTTTTATTGCATATCTTATTACTGCTGCTTTTGTTTGTAAATCTGCAACTCACAAAGAATTGGGAGATCCCATTTTTATCATCTTAATATCTACCACTAGCTCCATGGCTATGGACAAATTACTTTAATTCTTTTTTTTTTTTTAATATATTTTATTGATTTTTAACAGAGAGGAACGGAAATAGAGAGCTAGAAACGTCGATGAGAGAGAAACATTGTGCCCGCAACCAATGTACATGCCCTTGACCGGAATCGAACCCGGGACCTTTCAGTCTGCAGACCGACGCTCTACCACTGAGCCAAACCAGCTTCGGCAAATTACTTTAATTCTTCTTTGTCCAGGTTCTTCATATGAAAGCTGGCATTGAAGCATTAGCTATTGTTTATATCTAATTTACCTTAATCTCTTCTAGATTTTCTCCTAAGCAGAGTATCCTTAAGGAAAGGGATAAAAAATGTCCTTTGATTTTGATCAGTACTTGCAAATTTTGCTGCATTTCTTTACTTGCCCTATTCTTAATGGAAGTTTTTCTATTAGCTTTCCCTGTAGAGGACTTTGTTGCTAATGGGGTAGGTAGTTGGGTTTACCTGATGTTGAACCCTATGGTGTTTGTGACTGCAATGGGAACCAGGGTTAAGTGCTTATGATAAGTAAGTGAGAGGAACTAAGGACCATTACCTCAATCTCAGATACATTGTCCACCTGAAAAATAGTTTCTGTGGCAAATACTAGTCACTGAGGATTTGATTAAAATCCTGATGGAATCTGTGATAGAAAGGAATGAAAAACTTAACCCAAATTCCTTCTCAAGATAGGCACTCTAATTAATTTATAGGATACATTTTTACCTGGCCAGATATTAATTAATATTTTCTGAATTTTTCCAGAAAATCATTAAATGCCAGATTATTGTGTTTGTTGATCACAATAATTCCATTGAGTAGTGCCCAATAAGCAACTTCAAGTACCTTTGAATTTGGAGGACCATCACTCTCTCAAAGTAATTACGCTGCATCAGGAAAGGCATAATTTGGGGCAAGTGACAATAAATACTATACAAGTAGTGTAGGATTTACATGTGGATTTACCAGATCTCTTATTATTTCTACTGATAGTCAATAGACTATGTTACAGGTAAGTCATTTCCTATGCCAGAAAAGATGGGGCTACAGTCATTTGGTTTGGCTTCTGACTTTATTGGTATCATTAGTATGAACCAGTGCATTGTACTAGAATATGTATCCTTCTAGGAATAAAGACCCAAGTCAAAACAGAAAAATATTTGAACTGTTTAATCAATTCTAAGTTATGGTATACAGTGGTTGGCACTCATTAGTCAACAGAGCCAAATATCAACAGTACAATGATTGAAATTTCTTTTGAGAGCCAAATTTTTTTTAAACTTAAACTTCTTCTAATGCCACTTCAAAATAGACTCGCCCAGGGCATGGTATTTTATGGAAGAGCCACACTCAAGGGGCCAAAGAGCCGAATGTGGCTCGTGAGCCGCAGTTTGCCGACCACGGGTATAGGATATTAAAGAGCAAAACTAGTATTTGCTTCCTTTTCTAATGTTCTTTATATCTTTAGAGACCTGTTTGTTTAAGATACAGTATATTTTAAATTTCTTCTAGCTTTTCACATATCTTTTTTTAATCAATCTTTATTGTTCCACATAATATCTTTAATGTCTCTTAAAATTCTCAATCCTATAGCTTCAAGCACAAATGCCAGCCTGATATCCACTTCATCTACAATTGCCAATATTCCAGCAGCAGCAGTTTCCAGCATCTCAAACCAGGTACAGTGCTATTTTTGATTATCCTATTTGATAGGGTTCATCTAGCTAGCTCCTCCTCTCTTCTTTTCATTGTCAATTTGCCTTTTTATAAAACAACTGGTATATGCTGTGGAGAGACCCTTCTCTGGAAGCCCTGAGAACCAGTATCCTGGATGGTTTCTCAAGCCACCATCCAGTTCCTCTCATTTCTCTGCTAAGCCTCTCAATGATATGGTTCTATCTGCTCCCTTTATCTATTGTGTGTGTCTCTACCTGCTACCCTGCCCCTTTTAGAATGTAAGCTCTACTAGGGTAGGGATTTATGTCTTTTTTTTGTTCACTTACATATTTCCAGATTTCAAAAAAAAAAAAAAATGCCTGGCATATAATAAATATTTGTGGAATGAATAAATGTTGCTTCCACTTTTATTTAGCTACTCATTCCTTTGTGAGTTTTTTGTGGTTTGTTTGTTTTTAATTCTCATTCTAAGGATATTTTTTCCAATTATTTATAGAGAGAGTGGAAGGGAGGGAGGAAATGGGGTGTAAGAAAGAGAGTAAGAGCCGAAACCGGTTTGGCTCAGTGGACAGAGCATCGGCATGTGGACTGAAAGGTCCCAGGTTTGATTCCGGTCAAGGGCACGTACTTTGGTTGCGGGCACATCCCCCGTGGGGGGGTGTGCAGGAGGCAGCTGATCGATGATTCTCTCTCATCGATGTTTCTAACTCTCTGTCCCTTTCTCTCCCTCTCTGTAAGAAATCAATAAAATATATTAAATTAAAAAAAAAAAGAAAGAGTAAGAGAGAGAGAGATACACATCGACATGAGAGAGACACATCCATTGGTTGCCTGCCAGGGCTGGAGAGCATGCAACCAAGGTACATGCACTTGACCAGGAATTGAACCCAAAACCTTTTGGTCCATAGGCCAATGCTCTATCCACTGAGAAAAACTGGTCAGGGTTGTGATCTGATTTGTATCATTGTTCTGTTAACATTTTATCTTGGATCACTGATAATGTCTTTCAGTGCCTTTATTGTTTATGTTTTTATTTGTTTTTTCTCTGTAGCAATTAATATTATCAACCATTATATCCATAGATCTTTTTTTTTTTTTTTTTGGCTGCATTTAACATACTGCTATTCTGGTTCATTTTTTTTTTTTAAATATATTTTATTGATTTTTTACAGAGAGGAAGAGAGAGGGATAGAGAATTAGAAACATCAATGAGAGAGAATCATTGATCAGCTGCCTCTTGCACACCCCCTACTGGGGATGTGCCCGCAACCAAGGTACATGCCCTTGACCAGAATCGAACCTGGGACCTTTCAGTCTGCAGGCCAACGCTCTATCCACTGAGCCAAACCGGTTTCGGCGAGCCAAACCGGTTTCAGCTGGTTCATTTTTTTATGTTTGTTCCTGCATTTGTTCATCTTTTAATCCACAAATATTTATTGAGTTCCTCCTATAGGGATAAGGTGTACCTGGCACTCTTCAGGGTACATCTCTCTTCCTTTCTTAGCTTTTTTTGTATCAGGGACGGTCTGTATTTAGTTTTCCATCCCCAGGAATGTTTAACCACTTTCACAAGTTCACGTTTACTACCTCTGAAATAAAGATTCTAGTCATAACCTTATGGTATCTACAGGCTTTCTGCTTATTAGTGGGCTTTTTTTTTAATACCCTGCTATGTCCTTAAGTTTACCATATCTAAAAACAACCTTTCATTCTTCCTTTTTCCTGTCACCTGTTCTCCAACAGTAAGACCACTTTCCTTTAGGACTTCTCAATTCTTGTTAGTGAGACCATTTTTTAATAAACCTAGCCTCGACCAGTCAACAATATTTCTTCCTCACTTATTCCTAATCCAGCTTTTTCTGGAATTCTTTCTTTTTCATTTTTGCTATCATTTCCCACGTTTTGTCCTCCAGCCCCTTAATCCTGAATTACTGTATTTAACTTTTCATCTCATTTTTTGCCACGTTTGTCCATTTTCTAAACAACATCTGATTACTTTTCTCTAACTGCCACTTTTTATCCTAAACCTGCCTGCTCATTATCTGTGTGTTTTTTTGTTGGTTAGAATTTGATAATCACCATTGTCTAAACCACATGTGTCAAACACAAGGCCCGCGGGCCAAATCCATCCCGCCAGGCCTTGCAATGTGGCCTGCACCGCGCTGTCATCACTGCACTCCGCTGCGTTTCCATCACAATGACAGTTTATGACTGTTCAGTAAACCATTCGGCCCGCGATTTAGGCTGGATTTTAGATTTTGGCCCCTTCTCTGATTGAGTTCGACACCCCTAGAAACAATCCAAGTCATATTCCTTAACCAGTCATTCAAGCCTATAGAGATCCTTTCAACCAGGCTGAACATCTCTGGCTTCTTAATATAATCTTTTCAGAGCCTATTCTTGTATTTATTCTCTCTGCCTGCTTATCTCAGTAAGCACTCTAACTACAATCTACTGTGATACTTGTCTTCCTCTGTGTTTCACTCATTTGACATATAACTTATTTCTAATTTGTTGGAAATGTTTTTTTTCTTAGCTCCTGCTAAATTTTTAACTCCCTTGCGTACAGCTAGTATGGCTTACTCTCTATAATAATCCATTTTCCCACCTATGCACATCCCCTCCCCCTCACTTAGGGTAGATACTTATATATTCTTTACAAATAATTAGTCTGATCAGTTAGCATCTTTCTGTTTTTCATCAACTTCAGTACAGATGGAATTTTTTAAGCTGTGTTTTTGAGCTGTACATCATAACCCATTTTTACAGCTTTATTAAGGTATTATTGACATATAATAAACTTTACAGATTTAAATTGTACAGTTTGATAAATTTTTACAAGTATGTGCTCGTGACACCACCAAAAGTTCCCTTTGAATATTCTAAAGAAACATTTATTATTTTATTTTTTATATATATTTTTATTTATTTCAGAGAGGAAGGGAGAGGGAGAGAGAGATAGAAACAGCAATGATGAGAGAGAATCATTGATCGGCTGCCTCCTGCACACCCCACCCTGAGGATTGAGCCTGCAACCCAGGTATGTGCCCTTGGCTGGAATTGAACCTGGGACCCTTCAGTTCTCAGGCCAACATTCTATACACTGAGCCAAACCAGCTAGGACTTGAAACATTGATTATTTTAGAAAGAAAGTTTTTAAACTGGGAAACTTTAATGTAGGATTTGTGATCGTTTTTGTTTAAGGTCTTCTGTCCTTAGAAGCACTACCATCTAGTACAGTATCATAGTTCATAAACTTCTTTTTTTAATTGATTTCAGAAAAGAAGGGAGAGGGAGAGAGATAGAAACATCAGTGATGAAAGAAAATCATAGCCCTACACTAGGGATGGAGCCTGAAACCTGGGCATATGCCCTGACGGGGAATCGAACTGTGACCTGCTGGTTCCCACCAGCCAGGCAGTTTATAAACTTTTTTTAAAAGTAGATCTTGCTGAATCCGGTTTGGCTCAGTGGATAGAGCATTGGCCTGCAAACTGAAAGGTCCCGGGTTCGATTCCGGTTAAGGGCATGTACATTGGTTGTGGGCACATCCCCAGTAGGGGGTGTGCAAGAGGCGGCTGATCGATGACTCTCTCTCATCGATGTTTCTAACTCTGTATCTCCCTTCCTCTCTGTACAAAATCAATAAAATATATTAAACAAAAAAAATTTTTTTTAAATATTAAAAAGTAGATCTTTCTTCAAGAATTCCATGCAGATATTTATCTAGAAGTTTAATACATAAAATAGGAAGAAAAAAAGAGAGATAGAGAGCTGTTACATTTAGAAAAAGGGACATTAAGTGTAGAGTGCCTGGGACCTTTCTCTCAGCCTTTCTCCATTCCAGACAGCCATGAGGTATCTCCTCTTGACTCATAGGTTTCCAACAGAATGCATTTTGAAAATCATTTCTTTAAGAATTGATTTAATTGAAGATATAATAAGAAGCCAAATTAATGTGTAAGGAAAATAATTACAAATAAGAAGGGCATGAAATCTTTTTTGTTGAAATTAATGTTTTGTTTTCTTTTATTTAAAAGTCTTATTTTTTTCTCCCTTAATCCCCTTGATCTTTAGGACTATCCCACCTATACTATCCTTGGTCAGAGTCAGTACCAGACCTGCTACCCCAGCTCCAGCTTTGGAGTCACAGGCCAAACTAACAATGATGCTGAGAGTTCCACATTAGCAGCAACCACATACCAGACGGAGAAGCCTAGCGTCATGGTACCTGCGCCTGCAGCACAGAGACTTTCCTCTGGTAAGCTCTAAAAACTTTGGCGTAAGAGCACTTCAATAGGCGATGGTGAAGATTATTTTGTTCTGGTCTAAGTTACTGTTACCATGCTATTAGCTTTCCCTCTTAGGAGTATATGAACATTGAAGCCAGACTGTAACAAGTCATTGGCAGGCTGAATGTAATACCTGATGCTGTAAACAGAAAAGTACCAAGAATGAAAAGACTGCATTTATGACTCCTACTTTATCCCACCCCCCTTCTATAGCTCTAACATGATTGTCACAGGGAACTTCAGAATCATAGCATATTTTATAAAAGTTGGAGGATTCCAGTTTTAGTCTGAATATTTTGGACTTTTGCTAAACTTCAGAGCAGTAGTTCTCAACTTTTTCTGTGTCATGGATCCCTTTAAGATTCTAAGAAAATCTAAAGAAACATGAAAAATTTTACCTACAAATTTAGGTCTGTGCATTTAGCTTTGAAATGTTTCACTGGATTATGATGTCCAGGTTAAAAACAAACAAACCCTGACACATTCAATAAACATATGCACACACTTTAAAAAACATAAATATTTTTGTTGATTTCAGAGAAGAAGAGAAACATCAGTGATGAGAGATAATCATTGATTGGCTGCCTCCTACACACCCTCTACCAGGGATTGAGCCCGCAAAGCAGGCATGTGTCTGAGCAGGAATTTAACCATGATCTCTTGGTTCATAGGTTGACTCTCAACCGCTGAGCCACACTGGTTGGGCCATACTTTTTATTCATCAATATTTTTCATGAAAATTTGATGATAGTGATAGTTGTCTTCCTCTGTATTTCACTCATTTAAAGTTTGCTGTCATATACCACCTGAGGAAGGACTGTTTATTGTTATTAGCTCTCATGCATTTTTTAAAAAAATAATGCTCTACATCAACTAAAGCAGTTTTCTGTGTGCCTTTACCAGTCTTCTAAGTAATGGATATACAGATGGTCACTTCAAAATTATGTACCTTTGAAATTATTACATGTAATGATAGTTTTGATTTTGTTTCTCTAAATCTGTTTGTTCTTCATAACAATTTTAACGTTTGAATAATGGAGGATTTCAAACAGACAAGACGTCAGAGTAGTATAGTGAACCCTTATGTATCCAACATCCATCTTCAACAATAACAGCTCATAGGAAAACTTTTTTTCAACTATACTTCATCCAATTTCCTCTCCAAATTCTAGACATTATTCTAAAAGATAAATGCTCAACATGACCACAATTTCATTATCCCATCTAAAATAATTCAACAATAATTTCTTAATATCATAAAGTACCAAGAGGTGCCGGAACCAGTTTGGCTCAGTGGATAGAGCGTCGGCCTGCGGACTGAAAGGTCCCAGGTTCGATTCTGGTCAAGGGCATGTACCTTGGTTGCGGGCACATCCCCAGTAGGGGGTGTACAAGAGGCAGCTGATCGATGATTCTCTCTCATCGATGTTTCTAACTCTCTATCCCTCTCTCTTCCTCTCTGTGAAAAATCAATAAAAAATATTAAAAAAAATAAAAAAAATAAAAATAAAGTACCAAGAGGTATTCTTCTGGTTTTCTCATAAATATTATTTTCTCATAAATATGTTTTTCTTTTTACAGTTTGTTTAAATTAGGATCCAAGTAAGATCCATAAATTGTGATTGGAAGATACATATTTTCTCTCTTTAAATCTATAAATTCCTTCATCTCTTTTTTTATTCCCCTGTGTACTTTATTTATTCAAGAAACTATTGCTTATCCCATAGCATTTCCCTCAATTGTGTTGATTATATCCTTACTAGAGGCCTGGTGCACGAAATTTGTGCATGGGGCGGGGGGAGGGGGGAATGTCCCTCAGCCCAGCCTAAACCCTCTCCAATCTGGGACCCCTCGGGGGATGTCCGACTGTCAGACATTCCTCTCATAATCCAGGACTGCTGACTCCCAACCACTCACCTGCCTGCCTGCCTGATTGCCCCTAAAAGCTTCTGCCTGCCAGCCTAATCATTCCCTAACCACTCCCCTGCCAGCCTGATTGATGCCTGACTGCTCCCCTGCTGGCCCAATTGCCCCCAACTTCCCTTCCCTTTGGCCCAGTGGCCCTTAACTGCCCTCCCCTTCCAGCCTGGTTGCTCCTAACTGCCCTACCCTGCCGGTCATCTTGTATAAGGGTGTGACAGTCAATTTGCATATTGCCTCTTTTTTTATATAGGATAGGGTAGTTTAACAAGTCCTGCTGCCTTGTGTATGTTATTGTACATTAGCAAATGGATCTAAAGCAGTCTTTTTCAACTAGAGGCAATATTGAGCTATGTGCCTCCCTCCGCTCCCTTTGACATTTGACATTTTTGGTTGTCACACTTTGTGAGGTGCTGCTGGCAGCTAGAGTGTAGAGGCCAAGGATGCTGCTTAACCAACATCCAACAATGCAGAAGACAGCACACTCACGACAAAAATTATTCTGGCCCAAAATATTAATTGTGCCAAGTTGAGAATCTCTGATCTAGAAGCTTGATCAGATTCAGATTCTATTTTTTCTTTTTTATGAAAAACAACTTTATAGATGTGTTCTTTCATTGGAATACAGGTGTATAAATTCTATTCATAACTCTCTTTATGGATTAAGAGCTATTGATGTTCAGTTCCCAATTCTGCATTCCCAAATTACTTCAAGTTTGGTTTTTCATGCTTTATCTCTGCAATATGATTCTTAAGGATAAAAAACTGCTGACCCTCTTCCCACTCTGTAACTACGAGCAATAAACTTCTTGTTTTTCCTTTTCAGGAGACCCTTCTACAAGCCCATCTTTGTCCCAAACTACACCAAGTAAAGATGCTGACGACCAGTCCAGGAAAAACATGACTGGAAAGAACCGGGGCAAGCGGAAGGCTGATGCTAGCTCTTCCCAGGACAGTGAATTGGAAGTATGGGAAGAAACTCCTTTGAGTTACCTACTTTATTTTTTCTTAATTTCTTAAGTTTATTTTATATATATATATATATATATATAAAACTCATGGAATAATATGGTTCTGTGTTGTCTTCCCTTTAATTCCTTGGCAAGAGAAACTGAGTTGGCCAAGTGATAAGAGAAATGTAAAAACACATTTGTCTATGCCCATAACTTTCCATATTACTTCAGATGCTTTTGCCAAAAGCATCAAAAAAGCTTTTGTGAATTTAAGTAATCAGGTAACTCTTTAAGGGAAAGAACCAACTATTCTCTGTATTCCAGAGGAGAACAGCACAGTATCTTCAGAAAGCAGAGGGTGTCACAAGTAATGTCATACTGTTCGCCATTCAAAAACCTCCAAGTAAAATGAGAAGACTAGAATGCTTTAGACAAAGTTTCTGGGAAGCATGCAACCTCCCAGAAACTTTGTCTAATGATGACTTTATTAATGAGATTTACACTTATTTACTCTGTAGTTAAACACTGTAAGAATTTACTTTGGGAATACATTTGACTTTATTATTATAAAAAAACTAGAAAGTCATACAAACTAATAAGAGTGAAGTTTTGATTTTCAGTTTTTCTATAATATAATTATTTAATAAAGGGAAAAGCTATATTTAAAAATGAGTCCAGCCGAAACCTGTTTGGCTCAGTGGAGAGAGCGTCGGCCTGCGGACTGAAAGGTCCCAGGTTCAATTCCGGTCAAGGGCATGTACCTTGGCTGCGGGCACATCCCCAGTAGGAGGTGTGCAAGAGGCAGCTGATTGATGTTTCTAACTCTCTATCCCTCTCTCTTCCTCTCTGTAAAAAATCAATAAAATATATTTTTTTTAAATAAAAAAATAAATAAAAATGAGTCCATTGATAGTTGTTCTGAAGACATAGGTAAATTGAAGCTGTATTTGGAGCCTCTGTTCTCCTTTATTCTTGGGGGGAGAAAAAAAGAAAATCTAAAGTCCTAATATTGTTATAGGGGAAAACAGAGAGAGAACTCACTCCTTTTTTTAAATTGTGGTAAAATATACCTAACATAGTGTGTACTATTTCTAGGTGTGATTCAGTGGCATTAAATATTTTCACAAACTTCTTTAATTATTGCCACTATTTATTTCCACAATCCTACACAAAAACTTTGTACCCATTAAGCAGTAACTCCCTATTCTCTCTTTCCTAGCCTCTAATAACCTCTATTCTACTTCTGTCTCTTTGAATTTGCCTATTTTAGACATCTCATAAAAATAGAATAATACAATATCTAATTTTTTTTAAGGTTCATCCATTTTGTAGCAAACATGTTTCTTTTTATGGCTGAATAATATTTCATTGTATATTATGTATATAACGCATTTTGTTTATTTATTCCATTGATGGACTCCTGGGGTTCTTTCACCTTTGAGCTGCTAAATAGTGCTGCTATGAACAATGCTATTCAAGTACCTCTTTGAGTACCTCTTTTCAGTGATTTTGGGTAAACCTAGGAATAGAATTACTGGATTATATAATTCTATGTTCAACTTTTTGAGGAACCACCAAAATGTTTTCCATAGTGGCTATACCATCTAACATCCCCATCAGCATGCATGAGGATTCAGTTTCTCTACATCCTCACCCATATTTTTGATAATAGGCATCCTAATAGATTTGAAGTGTTATCTCATTATGGTTTCAATTTGCATTTCCTTAATGACTAATAATGTTGAACATCTTTTCATGTGTTTATTAGCCATTTGTTTATTTTTTTAGAGAAATGTCTATTCAAATTCCTTGCCCTTTTTTTTTTATTCCTGAGTATAAATTCATTGATTTCATTTATTTATTTATTTTTAATATATTTTATTGATTTTTTTACAGAGAGGAAGGGAGAGAGAGAGCTAGAAACGTCGATGAGAGAGAAACATCGACCAGCTGCCTCCTGCACACCCCCCACCAGGGATGTGCCCGCAACCAATGTACATGCCCCTGACTGGAATCGAACCCGGAACCTTGCAGTCCGCAGACCGACGATCTACCACTGAGCCAAACCGGTTTCGGCTGATTTCATTTATTTATTTTTCATATATATTTATTGATTTCAGAGAGGAAGAGAGGGAAAGAGAGAGATAAAAACATCATTGATGAGAGAGAATCATTAATCAGCTGCCTTCTGGATATCCCATACAAGGGATCAAGCCCGCAACCCAGGCATGTGTCCTGTCCGGGAATTGAATCCTGACCTCCTGGTTCATAGGTCGATGTTCAACCACAGAGCCACACCAGCCAGGCTGTTCATTGATTTTAGAGAGGGGAAGAGAGAGAGAGAAAACAAAAATCCTCGATTAGTTGCCTCCTGTAGGCACCCTGACCAGGAATCAAATCCACAACCTTTTTTCTGTATTTGATGACACTCCAACCAACTGAGCCACCCAGCCAGGGTCCTTACCCATTTTTAAATTAAGCTGTTAATTAATTTTTAAATTTGTTTTTTATTGAGTTTTAGGAATTTTTTATATATTCTAGATATTAATCCTTTATCAGATATACTAGAGGCCCGGTGCACGAAATTTGTGCAAGAGTAGTCCTTCCTTGTCGAAACCGGTTTGGCTCAGTGGATAGAGCGTCGGCCTGTGGACTGAAAAGTCCCAGGTTCGATTCCGGTTGAGGGCATGTACCTTGGTTGCGGGCACATTCCCAGTGGGGGGTGTGCAAGAGGCAGCTGGTCAATGATTCTCTCTCATTGATATTTCTAACTCTCTATCCCTCTCTCTTCCTCTCTGTAAAAAAAAAAAAAAAAAAAAAAAAAAATCAATAAAATATATTTTTTTTTTAATAAAAAAAAAAATAAAAGAGTAGTCCTTCCTTCACCTGGTTGTTGGCACCTGAGACCCAGGTTTACCTCACAATCCTGGCTTTGACTGGAAGGACAGAATATCATCCAGAAGGACATCTGTTCTAATTACCATATTACACTTTTTTTTTTTTTAATATATTTTATTGATTTTTTACAAAGAGGAAGAGAGAGGGATAGAGAGCTAGAAACATCGATGAAAGAGATACATCTACCAGCTGCCTCCTGCACACCCCCTACGGGGGATGTGCCTGCAACCAATGTACATGTCCTTGACCGGTATCGAACCTGGGACCTTTTAGTCCACAGGCCGATACTCTATCCACTGAGCCAAACCGGTTTCGGCCATATTACGCTTTTATTATTATAGATTATATACAAATATTTTCTCCCATTCTGTGGGTTGTCTTTTTACTCTCTTGATGGTATTAGGGTAATGCTGGCTTCCTAGAGTGAGTTAAGAAATGTTCCCTCTTCTTCAACTTTTTGGAGTAGCTTAAGACTTCTTTAAATGTTTGGTAAAATTTACCAGGCTAGCCATCTTGTCCTAGGCTTTTCTTCCTTGGGATGTTTTTGATTACTGATCCAACCACTTTACCAGTTAAAGGTCTATTCAGGTTTCTATTTCTTCTTGAGTCATTTGGCACTTTGTGTTTGTTTTTTTTGAAATTTGTTCATTTCATCTAAATTATTTGTTGGTGTACAGCTGTTTATAGTGTTCTCTTATAATCCTTTCTATTTCTAAAGTCTAAAATTAATAAAAATGTTCATTTCTGATTTTAGTCATTTGAGTTTTCTTTTTCTTAATTTAGCTAAAAGTTGTCAGTTTTATAGATTTTTAAAAATATATATTTTATTGTTTTTTTTACAGAGAAGAAGGGAGATGGATAGAGAGTTAGAAACATCGGTGAGAGAGAAGCATTGATTAGCTGCCTGCTGCACACTCCCTACTGGGAACATGCCCGCAACCAAGAATTGAACCTGGGACCGTTTCAGGCGTCTTCAAACTACGGCCCGCGGGCCACATGCGGCCCACAGAGGAGTCTGATCCGGCCCGCCAGGTTTTTTGGGCAGTGAGCGCAGCCGAGGTGTTACAGTAGGAATTAGTAGTTCATATAGTCCGGCCCTCCAGCTCTCTGAGGGACCGTGATCTGGCCCCCACTTTAAAAAGTTTGAGGACCCCTGGTTAGTCCACAGGCTGACTCTCTATCCATTGCCCTGGACTGGTTAGGGCTAGATTTTTTTTTTTTTTTTACAATATATTTTTATTGATTTCAGAGAGGGAGGGAGAGAGAAACATCAATGATGAGAGAGAATCGTTGATTGGCTGCCTCATGCATTGGCTGCCCCACTTAGAGTTCAAGCCTGCAACCCAGGCATATGCCCTTGACCAGAATTGAACCTGGGACCCTTCATTCCGTAGGTTGACGCTCTATCCACTGAGCCAAACCAGCTAGGGCTTACAGATGTTTTTAAAGAACTGACTTGGGGGGGGGGGGGATAAAAAAAATTGAATAAATAACAAAAAATAAAAAGAACCGACTTTTAGTTTTGTTGATTTTCCTTGATTATTTTTCTATTCTATGCTTTATTTATCTCCATTCTGACTTTCATTATTTCCTTCCTTCTGGTTTTTTCTAGATTTTTAAGTTGAACAGTTAGGTTATTAATTGAGATCTTTTTTAAGTTATGCATTTACAGCTGTACATCTCTTAGCACTGCTTTTGCTGCATACTACAAATTTTGTTGTTGTGTTTTTATTTTCATTCAAGGTATTTTCTAATTTCACTTGGGATTTCTTCTTCCATTCTTGGTTATTTAAAATTGTGTTGTTTAATTTTCACGTATTTGTGAATTTTCCAGCTTTCCATTAATTTCTTGCTTTATCCCATTGTGATTAGAAAAAATGTTCACTCATTTTTCATATTTTCCTTCCTCAGCGGGTATTTCTGTGGGACTTGGATGAAACCATCATCATCTTTCATTCCCTTCTTACTGGATCCTATGCCCAGAAGTATGGAAAGGTAATTTGTGTCTTTCTTCCTTTGTTGTAACCGTCCCTTTTCTGCAATAAGAGCAGGTAACCAAAATCACTTTCCCTGCTACCTCCACCTTACCCTGTTGGCCTTTTCATGTTAAATTTCACCTAGTAGCTTTTACCAGGCAGGCTACATGGTCAGGAGGAGATGATGATAAAGCTCGACACTAAACCTGAGGTAAATGGTGAAAGCGGAAGTTCTTTGAGTATGGTATTTTGTATAAATCAAATATGGGAATGATGCTCAAAACAGAGTGGTGTCTCAGGATTATATATTCCAAAGACCAATCTATTATCCCTTAAGTCACTTTTAACAACCTAAACTGGACATTTTATTTACCTGGTTCAAATAACAGATAAAATATAAAGTATCTTTCTAAAAGAGATTACATACCTTCTTAAATTAAATATACCAAGCAGAATTTAATTTGTTTTGTCATTAGTCTAAACATCAGTTTTAATACAGGAATGAACTGTTTTTGAGCTATTGCATATATATTTCTACACTAAACTACCTTCAGGCACCTATTTTCCTGTATTATGAATACATTTTATAAAAATATATGCCTCCTTTGCTCTCTTACTATTCCCATATATTCCTTATGGTCACAAATGTTTGTTAGGAGTAATTTCCACAGACATTCAGTATATAGACTGGCAAGCTCCTATGCTAAATAACTAGTCTGTTATAAAGTAAATAAATAAATAAGAGCATACAGCCTTTAAATGAAGACCTTGTTGTTCATTTTAAAACTAAGTGCATTGGGGGGTGAGGATGAGGATAAGCTAAGTGCACTGCTTTTCCTGCAAATATTATGACTCTTCCACCTTTGTTTACTTATTTCCTGGTTGTTGAGAATGTCAGATAGCTGATTTCTGGTGTTATACTCTGTGTGTGCATATAGGGAAGATAATGGGTGTTACAAAATTAATATTTTAGTAATAGAGTTTCTCCTGAAACAGAATTTTCCCCCCAAAAAAATTCAGGTGTTATGTGTTTATAAAATATTTTTATTGAGTTTTAGAGAGAGATGAAAGGAGAGGGAGAGAGAAACATTGATGTGAGAGCAGCACATAGATTGGCCACCTCTTGAACGTCCCCTACAGGGCATTGAGTTTGCCAACTGGGCATATGCCCTGACCAGGAATCAAACTATCAACCTTATGGTGCAGGGGACGACGCCCAACCAACTGAGCCACACTGGGTTGTTGTTTTTAAGTGGGTTTGGTCTTCTAGAAACTAAAGTCCTAAAATTTTTAACTTTTCACAATTCCAGATTCTTATTACTGAATGAAATTGCACCAGTAATCATTGGAAGTACTATTGTGGGTCTGTGTTGTGTTGGCCTTGACCCAAATAATTTTTAAATATTTTAAGAGTCAGAACCAGTGCCGTGAGTACCAAGTCAAGCAATTTTTCCTTATTGTATTCCAGGATCCAACAGTAGTGATTGGCTCAGGTTTAACTATGGAAGAAATGATTTTTGAAGTGGCTGATACACACCTATTTTTCAATGATTTGGAGGTAGGCATTTTAAATTGTTTCTGTGCTTTAAAACGTTTTGTTCAGTAACTATTTAGTGTTTATTTAGTTAGAGGATATGTGGTTAGGGTAGGTATGGAGAGGCTAGCTGGTTACTTAGATCTATATAGTCTTGTAGTAATAGTGGCTTGGCTAAGTCATCACAATCTTGGTTCTGGCCCTCAATTTTATTGGCTCAAAAATTTGTTTTTCTGGAAGTGATCCAGCTCTGTTTTGCCAACCCATTAGGCAAATCACTGATACCAAAATTTCAATTTATTCATATATATTAAATAATACATAAGGTGGGTTTGATTTTTTTGTGTGCTTTTTTTAGTATATATTTTTATTGACTTCAGAGAAGAAGGGAGAGATAGAAACATCAATGATGAGAGAAAATCATTGATCAACCACCTCCCACTCATTTCCTACTCGGGGATTGAGTCCACAACCATGTGCCCTGACCAGGAATTGAACCCTGGCATACTGGTTCATAGGTCGACATTCAACCACTGAGCCACACCACCTAGGCGATTATTTGTGGTCTTAAGTATATTTGACTATTCTTCAGTTTTACCTTCTTAAAAGAATCTCTAGATTGGTTAGATCTATAAGTAACTGCTGTAACTTATTTTATTTTATGCATGCTGATTTTCCATGGGTTAGCCTGGACATCCAGAGTCACTGTATAGTTAAGTGCAAGAAAAACCTGAGAGCTTCTTGGTGAATTTTTTGGCTTTGACATTTTAGTTAGCCGCTGAGGTAAACATGGTTTAGAGGAAAGAACACAGAACTGGGAGTCAGAAGACTGGAGTGTGAGTCCCAAGTTAGGAAAGTTATCTTCCCACTTTTGGGAAGCAGGTATTCTACACAAGAAACCAGTAACAGTTGTTTATCTGGGGAGGAGGATGCATTGCTGGGCACGGAAGTAGGAAGGAGCAGATTATATACTTTTGAATTTTGAACTATATACCAAATGTACACCTAATTTTAAAAATAGCGAAACTTTTAAAGTAAAATAAGATAGCATTTTATAAACATGAAATAATTCTATTCCTTTTAAAATATAATCCAGTTCTACTTAACAGACAATTCTCAAACAAATTAAATTGGTAAGGCTCTAACTCTAAAACTTTAGTCTAAGCTCCGCGGTGCTTTAATCTTTCCTCAACTTCACATGTTGATAAGTTAGGACATCAGAGTTATTCAGCAAACATTTGTTGAAAACCTATTATCTGCCAGTAATTATTGCCAAATTGTATTTGTAATGATTTTCTAGACATAGTCCTCACTCAGGACTGAAAGTTCTGTGAAGAATTTGACCTGAATGTGTTCCTGCCCCTGAGGTCAGTGGTTCTCAACTTTAGGGGGCATAAGAATCACCTGGGGACCTTGTTAAAAATGAAGATTCTAGGACTTCACTCCCAGAGATTCTATTCAAGTCGTTCTGGGGTGGACCCAAGAATATGCATTTTTTAAAAACTTCCCCAGAGGATTCTGATGCAGATGGACATTACAATACCGCCCTAGGTGATGTCAGAGGAGTAAACCTGTGAGAGTTAGGCAGTGGGTGGCACTTTATGTCAATACTAATGTGGGTGTGGTGGAAAGAACCTTGGGTCTGAATTAGAAGGCTCTTTCTAGTTTCTTTCTACCACTCACTTGGGTAAATCATTTTACCTCACTTTGATAACATGAGGAGAAGTTGACTTAGACAAACTCTTCTGTGAACCAGGGTTGAATTTATAAATTTCTGTTTCAGTCACTTTAAGTTGAGATACTACACTCTATCAACCTCTGTTTCTTCTACAAGCACTTATTGGGTACATGCTGCCTAAGGTCATGGACTAGACCAGAGGAGTACAAAAGGGGTAGAAGACAGGGGTCGTGTTGTAAGAGGCCCACAGTGTAATAGAACTTTCAACCTAGTACAGACCATGGACACACCTGACAATGTGAGGGAGTTTGTGCTCAGACCTAGTTGCTGTTGGAAAAATGAACGATTGAGATGAGAGCCTAAGTGAGGGCTGGGTTGGTTAAGGTTTCGTGAAGACTGTGCTCTGTGAATGAGGCCTTGAAAGAAGATGGCCAGCAAGGGCGGTGAGAGAGAGCCTCCAAGAGAGGCCACAGGTACTTCATCATTCCAGCCTTGTTCATGGTGTTTTTACAACATGTCATGTCGGTACTAGACTTCTACTGGCCGGACTGAAACAGCGTATGGTCTTGTCTTTTAACAGGAGTGTGACCAGGTGCATGTGGAAGATGTGGCTTCTGATGACAATGGCCAAGACTTAAGGTGATAAAAACAATGATGCCTTAAATACCTGTACAGCATAAGACATAATCTAGGCTTAGAGGAAAACAAAGAAAATCATTCTTTCCTCCACTAAACTTGCTTTATTGCAATATTTGCTTTATTATGGTGGTCTGGAACCAAACCCATAATATCTCCAAGGTACACCCATATCAGTTATCTATTGTATAACAAATTATCCCAAACTTAATACCCTAAAATAATAAACATTTATCATCTCATAGAAACTTGTAAGTGACTTAGCTAGGTAGTTCCGAATTAGGGTCTCTTAGAATGAAATCAAGACATTGGCTGGAGCTAAATTCATCTGAAGGTTTTATTAGAAGGGAGACTTGATTTCAGCCTCTTGCCTGTGGCTGGTGACAGGCGGCCTCAGTTTCTCACTGAGTGTCTCTGCATCGGGTAGCTTGAGTATTCTCAAGTGACAGCTGGCTTCTTTCAGAGCAAGTGCTCCAGGAGATAGCGAGAGAAGTCTAGTCTATGAAGTCTAACACCACGTTCTGTTTACATTCAAATATATTACATACCCAAAGGAGCAGAATTAGAGGAGAGGAGCATTGAAGAATCTGTGGACATAATTTAAAGTGAACTATGAGCTTAATAAACTAGCCAACAGGTCACTGAAAGAGAGCATCCCCATTATCTTACAATTTTTTAAAATATATTTTATTGACTTTTTACAGAGAGGAAGAGAAGAGGGATAGAGAATTAGAAACATCGGATGAGAGAGAAACATCAATCAGCTGCCTCCTGCACACCCCTAACTGGGGATGTGCCTGCAACCAAGATACATGCCCTTGACCAGAATCGAACCTGGGACCCTTGAGTTCGCAGGCCGACACTCTGTCCGCTGAGCCAAACCAGTTAGGGCCTATTATCTTACTATTACTAATATTTTGTGTTATTACCTTCCATTATTTTATATATTTTTAAATTATTTTTCCACAAAGGAATATAAGACTATTAACCACTGTTTACCAGTATTTACATTAAAGTAAACAATATACAGTTGGTATCATTCTTTTTACTACAAAGCTATTATTTTTCCTGGCTTTTGTTAAACCAGTACCCCAAATACTAAGACTAAGTTGTAAGGAATGAGTTGGAGTAAAGACAAAACATGCAGATCAAGAGTTTAGATTACAAAAAGTTTGTTCACCCATTTATTCCAGCAGGTCCTAACATCTCTAATAATCTGATTAGGTATCCATGAATAAAGTTTTACACATTCCATGACCCTAATTTTTTAGTCAATATACCACAGGATTTCAACTTCTTGTAAAAGGAATGTTTTATGAGGTAAAACCTTTAAATAAGTGTTGCTTACCTAGTTAAAAAACGTCAGGGTTTGCCTAATTTTCTCATTTGAGTCAGGAGGTTATTGGTAGTGATAAAATTTTCCTTTCAGGAGTTTTGCAAATAAACTTGCATTTACGGTTGTAGCTGTGGAATCTGATATACCTGCTTTAAATTATCTAATTTAAACTACTTACATTATATTTAAATTGCCCAGTTAATTACAAAATTATCTAATTTCAAAGATTAAAAGCTTCAGGAAAAACTTTAATTTAATTTCAAATAATTTTTCTTAGGTTGCTGAAAATGATGGCAGCTCAGAAACATGAGTTTATCTATAATTATGAAATGCTGTTTTGGTTTAAAAAAAAACCAACACATTTATATATCTATACACATCTACCTCCCTCCCCCCAGTAAACAAAAAACCCACAATGATCCTTAGGCATATATGAGTTAAACACAAATTCTGACTGAGTAACAACTATGGAGATTTCCCCCAACATTTAGAAAAGCTTCTCAAATGCATAGGAAAAAATGCACCATGGTATCAAATGTTCTTTTCTGATAAAGGAAGCAACTATAGAAAGCTTTTGTTCAAAGTACCAGTGCTATAGATGCAACACCCCCCAACAACTCTGCAGCACTACTTCAAAACAATCAAACTTGATTTTTATTAGAACATAGTTTTCTTTCTTCACACTAATAAATCAAAAAAACCAAGAACCATATTGTATATGTATGTATAAATATACTAGAGACCTTGTGCACATATTCATGCATCAGTGGGGCCCCTGGGCCTGGCCTGTGCCCTCTCACAATCCGGGACCTCTCAGGGGATGTCAGACTGATGGTTTTGGCCCAATCCCCGCAGGCCAGGCCAAGGGACCCCACCAGTGCACGAATCCGTGTGCCAGGCCTCTAGTATGCATAAGATCTTTGGTTAATCTCTTCCCGCTCTCCCTCTTCCTCCTCCAATTCCTCTGAGATTCATCAGTCTGTTCCATGTTTCCATGCCTGTGTGTTGAGCATCTGCCCCTTGGTGGTCAGTGTGCATCATGCTAATGGTTGGACAGTTGCTTACGCAGATAGATAGATAGATAGATAGATAGATAGATAGATAGATAGATAGCAGTGGAAACAAATATTGGGATTCACCTTTTGGATAAGAATGCCAAGTTAGCCGAAACCGGTTTGGCTCAATGGATAGAGCCAATGGATAGCGTCGGCTTGGGGACTGAAGGGTCCCGGATTCGATTCCAGTCAAGGGCATGTCCCCGGTAGGGGGTGTGCAAGAGGCAGTTGATCGGTGACTCTCTCTCATCAATAACTCTCTTATCTCTCTCTCTTCCTCTCTGTACAAAATCAATAAAATATATTTTTTTAAAAATGCCAAGTTAGTCTTTCTTCATAGAAAGCAATTACAATTTGAGGACACTTCATATTTACCTCTTTTGCCAGCACCAAATCAGCCTCATCTTAATCTTTCCATTTAATGAGAAACAGTAATTCTCCACCGCTGTCGGTGGCACCGATTATTTGTTCAGGATCAAGACCTCTGGCAGAGCCTCTTGGTTTATCAGCAGCATCTCTTTTCTTTGATTTGCTATCATTAGATTCACTGTCAGATAAAATCTTTCTTTTTATACCATCTTTTTCTTTACTAGCTTTTTGAGAATTAAGAAATGCTTCAGTTAACTCGACAATCTAAATTTTCTTCAGGTTCCCAAGTATTATCAGCATCTGTGAATCCTTTCCACTTCAGGAAATACTCCACTCTCCCATTCACTACAGTCGATCCAATCCTTTTTTCACTACAAATTCTTCAGGCTCTGCCCCTTCAACTTTTTTACTCTTTCCATTCTATTTCCCATTTTTTGCAATGTAGTTTTATTGGAGGCCATTTTTTATTGCAGACTCAAAGAGCTATTACTCACCACCTTCATGCAGCTCTGTATTCCATGTTTCTAGCATCTCCGGCCCTGCATGCCTTCAGCTCCCTGTTTTTTAATATTTTTCTTGATTTCAGAGAGGCAGGATGAGGGAGGGAGAAAGAAACATCAATGATGAGAGAGAATCATTGATCGGCTGCCTCCTTCACACCCCCTACTGGGGATCAAGCTCGCAACTTGGGCATGTGCCCTTGATCAAACTCGAACTCGGGACCCTTTAGTCCTCAACTGAGGACTACCCACTGAGCAAACCAGTTAGGGCCCATTATTTTTTTTTACTTTTTTTCTTTACATACTTGCAATCATTTTGTATATACATACATAAAAATTTTTATATTCTGGATTTTTTTCACTGTAAGATATTCTGTCATTAATGAAAGGATGCTTCATTTCAAGCCAACTACTGCAGGATGCTGGTGCTTGAATTGTTCCTACTTCTCTTTCCCTATTCTCCATCCTTTTTTTTTGATAGATGTAATAGGGGTGATATAGAGGAATAGTGAAAAATACTCTGGCACATAGAGATTAAGGAAAAGATTCTCAAAGCCCTTGGTCTTGGTGTCAGGTGCTAGGAATAGGGACAGAGAATCCCAGGTGGCATTCATCCAAAAACCCATGCAGTGTGGATTTTAATTTTCATTATCCTCTCTCTCTGCAGCAACTATAGTTTCTCAACAGATGGCTTCAGTGGCTCAGGAGGCAGTGGCAGCCATGGTTCCTCTGTGGGTGTACAGGGAGGTGTGGACTGGATGAGAAAACTGGCTTTTCGTTACCGAAAAGTGAGAGAAATCTATGATAAGCATAAAAGCAACGTGGGTGGTAAGTGTCATACAATCAGTCTGATTTGCTGCTTGCTTCTCCAGGGATTCCTTAGAACTCCATGACAACTGCTTATGAATTTGTAACATTTTAATTCTGTATTTTAAAACCTGGAGGTTTGATTAAAACCCTTTGAGTAGGAAGCTCTACATTTCTGATGGACTTCTCTTAGCATACGTTTTCAAAACTCTCTTGTTCATTCTAGACAAATGCCTTTTTATAAGAAATATGTTCTAAATTTGACTAAGTATTTTATTCTGGAGTCAAAACTACTGTCAGTAGTGGTTAATAGGTTGCCTTATTGTTTTTTTACTAATATATGAGGACAAGTCATATATAACAAGTCACAGGGTGGTTTATAGTGGATGGAAAACTAGGTCCAGAAGTATAGGGTGGCAGTATCCATGTGTTGTGAGTTGAAGGACTTTGGAAATTCTTTCTACCTAGAAATATCTCATGTCAGGCGCCACCAGGCCTGAATTCTATTCTTTGGGATTGATTAATTAATTAATGATAGATCGTCCAGATTAGAAGAGGCATTAGATATTTATTGAGAAAATTGATGTCCATCTTGAAAGTAACAAGGGCAGATACCATAGCAAGTTAATTACCTACCACAGCTAGAATCCACATCCCTAAATTATTGGTCCACTTTACATTCATGCAGTTCTTTTTATAGTGATATATCTTATGAGAAAATATTAAAATTGTAAGCCATCACCCTCAAACTTCTACACACACATAAATGTTGCATGTAGTTTCAAGGATTTCCTACACTGCCTGTAGGTATATTACCCCAGGTCAAGAGAACCCTTCTACAATACCATGCTACCACTTCCTGGGATACAGGAAGTAAAAATAGGACTTTAAAAATCAATTTAGTTCATTTCTGTTATAGTCTTCCAATAACAGGTAAAAATCACGGACATCTAGGCTTTAGGAGTCAAATTTAAGTGTCTGATTTTTTATTTTATTTTTGCCTAGTGAATGCCTGGACCTAATTTTCTGCCGAAAGTAATATAACCCTCTATAAGGATATCCACCTGTATTTTGTAAAATTTTTGAATTGTCAAAGTGCAACATCATATTATTATTTAAGTAAGACATGCTAGTATGATTATGTTTATATCATACATGCCATAGAGGTATTGGTTTTGTTTTATTAGAAACATTGAGAGTCATCTAATTCTAGTCTTGCATTGTGAAACCATCAATCTGAAAACAAATTATACGCAGTTTTAGTCCTCATAGAAATGCCTTCTATTTTTGTAGAATATTGGCAATAGATTACAGGATTTCTCTTCACTATAGAAAATAATTCAGGGCCAGATTTATTATTTGAATATTATAACTCAAGTTTCTGATAACATGCTCTCATCAGATGAATTCTGTTTTGTTATGCTTAATTATCTGATCTTAAACAGTGTCTTGGTCTCTTACTAGCTGGAGTTGTTTTAGAAGTAAATACAATACAAGTAAATGACATTCATAGAGTTGGTCATTCAACCTGGAATCTCAGGTTGATGTATTCTGAAAGGGGTAAAAGGAAAGCACAGTCACCATGAGAGCAGTGTATGGTAGTGGAAAGACTTTTGAGACCAAAAGCGACGTTTTTAAAAATATATTTTTATTGATTTCAGAGAGGAAAGCAGAGGGGGAGAGAGAGAGAAACATCAGTGATGAGAGAGAATCATTGATTGGCTGCCTCCTGCATGCCCCCTACTGGGGATTGAGCCCGCAACCCAGGCATGTGCCCTTGATCAGAATTGAACCTGGGACCCTTCAGTCCACAAGACAATGCTCTATCCACTAAGCCAAACCAGCTAGGGCGCCACTAACTTTCTGTTTAATCTTAGCCCTTTCCTCCCTGGGTTCTGCTTTCTTGAGAAAGAGGTTGGAATGGTGCAGACCCTTTTTTTAGCTCTAACACTTACTTTTCCCCTTTGGTTCTTGAGCCCATGTCTGAATCAGTGCTACTAAGGGAATGGTCCACCACTCTGCAGATTGTGCTGCTGATTCATGATGAAAGAGCTGTGTCAGAATCTAATCATGTTTCCTCAGCTGATTTTGTTGTGCCCGGTAGCAAACATTCTGATGAAGAAAGTGAAAGTGAAAAAGACATTTTGAGCAGACTACTCTAGGGTTTTACTAAGAAGAGAATTGTATTCATTCAGTAGAAATTTCAATGACACACTATTTCTCAATTGAATTATAGAACTTGTTTCATGGATATCAGCAAGGATATGTTGTCAAACGATAAATGTGTCTGCTTTTATTCCAAAAGGCCTTCTAAGTCCCCAGAGAAAGGAAGCACTGCAGAGACTAAGAGCAGAAATTGAAGTTTTAACAGATTCCTGGTTAGGTACTGCATTAAAGTCCTTACTTCTCATCAAGTCCAGGTATGAAAATGGTTCTTTCAATTCTCATCCTGTCAGAGACACACTCTCCTACACCAGTTTAGGACAAGCAATTCCCAAAATAGGATGTGGGGTGGGGAGAGGGGAGTTTAAATGAAACAAGGAAGTAGGTAGTAAGTTAGGTGGGAGGCAGGGCCATTTTTATACTAATAACACACCTTAGGTTTTTAAGAAAATATATATGAAAGCCTTTTTTCTGTTCTTTCTTTTTTTAATATGTTTTTATTGATTTGAGAGAAAGAGAGAGAAACATTGATTGGCTGCTCCTGAATGCCCTCACTGGGGATCCAGCCAGCAACCCAGGCCTGTGCCCTGACCAGGAATCAAACTGGTGACCTTTTGGTGCATGGGACAATACTCAATCAACTAAGCAACACCAGCCAGGGCTTTCCCTTACTTTTTCCTCACAAAATTAAAACTCAGTAAATCATAATCTCCAGCCCAGGAGATTGGCCTGGTGACATCAAAGGATACATACAGGAGACATATCTCAAATATCCTAAGTACAGGAAGCTTCAAAGAAATGTACCAAACCTTAGGAAGGCAGGATTCAAAAGAAAAGGATACATTAAGCAGATTAAGGATATTTCAGTTTAAAGCTTATAATGAGAAATAAATACAGTCATAATTGTACCTAAATCTCTTACTGATTTCTTCCTCAAATCAGGAATTCCAGGTCTATAACCTAATAGAGCAAACATTAAAACTGACACAGGTTATTAGTGAAGTTTATAAAGGACCTGTGAAATTAATGTGCATTCTGGTGCTTTGTTGCTATCATACAAAGAACAGAGAAGACAAATCATATCTCATTAAGAGCTGGGTTGCATTTGGATGAAATAGCACTGTAACTGAAAGTATGTCATTTGTTTCCTAGAGAGTAGTATCAATGACATGGGTTGGTGGTAATTGCTAACAAGTGCAGTGAGCGAATTATCAGAGGGAAATGAGGCAAGAATCAAGTTGCTGCTCTGTGCCCACTATAGAATCTCTGTCCTTTAATATGGAAAGTAAGTAAACCTGAGATAATTAGAACAATATCTGAACATTGACATTGAACAAATATTATATCAGGCCCTTTAAGGTTAATTTTTAATAGTTAGATCTTGAAGGTCAGATCCTGGATTGGTTCACCCTTTTCTTTCCTTATTTCTCCCTTCTAGGAAGAATTGTGTGAATGTTCTGATCACTACAACCCAGCTGGTTCCAGCTCTGGCCAAGGTTCTCCTATATGGGCTTGGAGAAATATTTCCTATTGAAAACATCTATAGTGCTACCAAAATTGGTATGTTTTCTATTCAGTTTCTTGTCACTTGCCTTACAGTAACATTTCCTACTATGATGTACTTATTATTTACCAGTTCCTGTTAGACATATCTATAATAATAAAAGCATAATATGCTAATTAGACTGGATAGCGGAAAGACCTTTCGGACGAAGCCGCAGCAGCGGGGGGCAAGGCAGAAGCGGTTAGGGGTGATCAGGCAGGCAGGCGAGTGGTTAGGGGTGATCAGGCAGGCAGGCGAGTGGTTAGGGGTGATCAGGCAGGCAGGCGAGCGGTTAGGGGTGATCAGGCAGGCAGGCGAGTGGTTAGGGGTGATCAGGCAGGCAGGCGAGTGGTTAGGGGTGATCAGGCAGGCAGGCGAGCGGTTAGGGGTGATCAGGCAGGCAGGCGAGTGGTTAGGGGTGATCAGGCAGGCAGGCGAGCGGTTAGGGGTGATCAGGCAGGCAGGCGAGCAGTTAGGAGCCAGTGGTCCCGGATTGAGATAGAGATGTCCGGCTGTCAGTTTAGGCCCAATCTCAGGCAGCCAGACATCCCCCGAGGAGTCCCAGATTTCGAGAGGGTGCAGGCCAGACTGAGGGATCCCCCCTCCATCCACGAGTTTCCTACACTGGGTTTCTAGTATATATATCCTCACAACAGTCTTCTGATATCACTGATGAGGCAGTTCAGGCTTAACAGTTCTGTTGCTTGCACAAGATTTCACAGATAGTAAGTTACACAAATAGGATTCAAATCAGATCTGTGGGACTTTGTTCTTTTCCTTTATAATATTTGAAAGAACATAGTATTTAGTTTAGAAATCTACTTTTACCTCATTTCAGATTTATTTTTTGCATAGAGAGCACTGCAATAAAGAAAAGAAAAATCACTAACTAAACAAGGTGGCAGAAGCAGGAAAATAAAGTATATAAGATATGGCAAAGAAAAAGGAAAGAAAACAATTTCCTTTTTATTTATTTCTGCAAATAAAAAGCATTATCATCTGTGCATGTTTTATGTATAGCTTTCAAATAGGATTTGAATTTTTATATATTACCATTTATCTAAAAACAGTCTGCAATGTATTGAAACACCCGTTTCCCAGGGTAAAGCTCAGTGATACAGTATCTCGGTTGCAGTTATGAAATGTAATAGTGAGGAAACCCGGATAGGACAGATGTTGCTGCCATGTTTATTGGTACTCTGGGGTTCCTCCGCTACTGACAGCCATAAGGCTCATTCATGCCTGGGACTGTTTCTGGAAATTAAAAAATTGGAGGGATATAGCTGTTTGTCTATTTCTTTACCAACAAAAAAATCAAGGCCTTATGCTCCCACTTTTCCCCTACATTAAAATAGTTTCCCCTCAAAAAATATCCTTTCACAATGTCCAGAGCCTAAACTTGGAATCAGGGGCCTAAAGTCTAGCTATAAAGTTGTTTGGATCTGGGCTCTAAAGTCACTAGTCCCATTTCATCTGTTAAAATAGGTTATGGTACCTATCTTAATTTTGAGAATTAAGTAAGGAATAACTTGAAAACTGCTTTGTAAACTGTAAAGTACAGGAGATGTGGAAAAGGACATGGTGCTCACAGTTCTCACACTGCCTGGGCCCCTTAGCCTCCCTTTTGTAGATCCAGAGAGCCTGCTGGCATCTCCAGCTGCCTCCACTCCTCACCAAGCAAACTGCCCCTGACTCTGTCTACACACAGGCCTGTGAACCTAGCAGCAGCCTTTTCTTTGGTGTTGAAAAAAAGTAGGACAGGATGTCCTAATAGGAATTGCTTTCTCTCATCAGGTAAAGAGAGCTGCTTTGAGAGAATTGTGTCAAGGTTTGGAAAGAAAGTCACATACGTAGTGATTGGAGATGGACGAGATGAAGAAATTGCAGCCAAACAGGTAATCATGGTAAAGAAAATGTGGAAATTTCAGGACCTATTGCTCTCATTTGTGTATGCTTTGGAAAGGAAAAAAGATTCTAAGGAGAATGACCTGACTTCAGTGTACGTCCTTGGATCATTTATCTACTCGGAGAGATAGTGACCTTTATTCAGAAACTTTTGTTGTTGTTGGTTTTTCAGTTTTTATAGCAGACATCAGACTTTTGAATTGTCTGATAACACACATTGATGACAATACAAAAAATCTGTAGTTCAGGATAACGAGGAAGCATAGAATATTAACTCGTTGTTTGCTGAAATGTTAGCTCAGAAGTAATGTTTTGGGAAGACTGGCCAGAGATTTTACTGTCTGTAGAGGGTGCTGTGGAGTGCCGCCCCCACCCCCAGCAGGACTGAGGCACTCATTTCCTTAGCCACCCCCTGCTCTTGGCTGCTGTGGGCTCACAGTTTCTCCCCCAGAATTGCCCTCAGCAGAAGCTGCCTTGCCAGTTACATCACCTTCCCAGAGACACCTTGCTTCCAGTCACTGGTGGGATAGACAGCTCTAGTCTCCATTCCTCCTCTCTGAAGGTGATCCAGCTCCTGCATGCTCTCTGGGGTGGATTAGCGTCTCTACAGCAGCTGTATTACAGTTCAGTTTCAGGCAGTGCCTTCTGAGGAGCATGAGACTTAGCTACAAAAAGGCAAATAATCTGACCTTTTCAGGCTTCAGATTCTCAAAAACCATTGCAATCAGTGGGGAGTTGTTTGGAGAAAGTTCTGCTTCTGAGCCTGGAGACTGTTCTGATGTTAACCTCCTCACTATGCAGGCCCAGCTTCAGGTTGTGCCTTCTTAAAAGAGGAAACAGATGAAAGAGTCTTGACTCTGTAATCTAAAATCCCACCCTTTCAAATCTGATTTATTAGCGGTGTGAATAATTTACTTATCCTCTTTGAGTTTCCTCGTCTGCTAAACGGATCTACAGAAGTCCTTTCCCTTCTACTTCAGCATTCTTCTAGCAACTCTGTTTCTTAAGCTTGGAGGCAGTGAGTTAACTAGGACCGCTATCCTAATTTTCTTCAGGAACTGTTAATGGGCTATGAAAATGGGCGTAATCAGTTGGCAGTATTAACACATTATGTTTTCATTTGCCACTTTATGTAGCAATTCAAGGACCTTTATTTTTTCACACGCGTTATCTTTGGAGCTTTGAAACTTTTTATTTTAGCTGCTGTCCAGTAAGTTTATTGTCTATCTGAAAAATCTTAGGAGAAAATTGTGGTTTGATTTATTAGCTCTCAGCACCCTGTTCCTGAGCTCGGAGGAAGCTTGCTTTCTTCTGAGCGACCTGATCTTTCTTCTGGGCAAGAGACATTTAGAGATGGTTCCACCTCTTCTTTTTAAGTTTTCTTAGGCTTCTTCCCATAGACTGGATTATCTCAGATAGCAGCATGAGCGTTTGTTTGTTTGTTTGTTTGTTTGTTTGTTTTAAATATATTTTTATTGATTTCAGAGAGGAAGGAAGAGGGGTAGAGAGATAGAAATATCAGTGATGAGAGAGAAACTTCGATCAGCTGCCTCCTGCACACCCCCCACTGGGGATGTGCCCACAACCAAGGTACATGTCCTTGACCGGAATCAAACCTGGGACCTTTCAATCCGCAGGCTGATGCTCTGTCCACTGGGTCAAACTGGTTTTGGCTAGGGAATCATTTTTACTGTGAGATGTAAATAAGCCTCCACCCACAACTCCCTTCAGGACCCCAAAAACTTTATTTCCAATAGTAGTTCCGGCAAGCCCTGCATCCAAATAGCAGGTAAAGGCACTAGGTGGACCATCAGTGCTTTTCACATTGGGTTAATCTCCATTCACCTACACCTGCTTGTCCATGCCAAACCTATTGAGAAGCCTGTGGGCCAGCTGCAGGCCAGTACCATATGCTGCAGCATAATTTGTCAGGCTAACCTTCACACCATACTTTGCGAGTTGATGAGCATAAACTGCACAAACTATCATACCTTCTTCTATAAGAGAATAAGCAGACTGACAAATATTTCTGTTAGTTACAGAAACTGTCATCCTGTATTTAGGTGCATTGTACTTATTTTCATACTGGATCTCCAAGTGTTTTGGAGACTAGTAATCAGTTTTACCCTCTCATTGTCTTTTGAATTTCACTTGGTATTTCTTGAAGTAGGCCTTATTTTTTTTTTTTAATATATTTTATTGATATTTTTTTTACAGAGAGAGAGAGAAACATCAATGAGAGAAACATTGATCATTTGCCTCTTGCACAACCCCTACTGTGGATGTGCCCACAACCAAGGTACATGCCCTTGACCAGAATCAAACCTGGGATCTTTCAGTCTGCAGGCCAACGCTCTATCCACTGAGCCAAACCGGTTTCGGCCATAGGCCTTATTTTTTACAAACCCCATCCTGCAGAAGAGAGACCCATGTCCACAAGCTCACCAAAGACCTGCAGGCCTAGCCCAGCTTCCTCTTCTCTACATTAAAAGCCTCTTAAATAGTATGTACAAGCTAGAAAAAACACTGAGTTACATGTCAAAAGAACTGTTCTAGGACTTCAAAATTCTGGGTCATTTGTAACCAGTTTGAACAAGACAATCAGTAAAACTAGTCTCCTGCAGCTTCATAGAATATAGATTCTAACACTTGGATTCGTCAAAGCCCTTTATAAGGCTTTCAGAACAGGACACAGTTTACTGGACATAATTCTGACCACATTATATAATGGGATTATTTCCAAGATCTGTATATTCTGAATCTTAGTGATGAACAAGATTTGGGCCTTGTTATCTCTGTAACTTAAAGGAAATTGCCTATCTATAAGGAAATGTAATATTGATACTAATTTCTTGTGTGGCTATTTTATTTGATCCTGAAGACCCTATATAGCAGCTAGAATAAATAGATATCTCACAAGACATAGCTACCACTGAAACCTAATAAAAACCTCCCACATTTGTAGAGTGTCCTATAATGTACAAAGTCCTTACACATATGACTTATTTGACCCTAATGGCAGCCCCATGAGGTGAGAGAGGATTACAAGAACCTTGGGGAGAGGTCTGGATAAAGGGTTGGGTAGATGTGGCCTCCCAGAAGAAGCTGGGTTAACCAGCTGTCCCTGCTCTCTCTCAGCACAACATGCCTTTCTGGAGGATCACAAACCATGGAGACCTAGTGTCCCTGCACCAGGCTTTGGAGCTTGATTTCCTCTAAGAACTGGAATGAAGAGCCTTCCCCATGAGCTGCTGTTCACTCCTGAAAGGAGCCGGAGACTGGAACCAACTGAGAACTCTGTCTTTTTCCATGGAATGCTGGCGAGAACACAATCAGAACCAACAGCTGCAAGGGATGGAGCTGGTTTTTGCTAAGAGTGAGCTGCAGCCCCATGTTCATTCTCATGCAGAAGCAGGACAGTGGATTGAGAGAATAGACTCAATGCAGCCACAGTGCTTTTAATTCTTGTGTTTTTTGTTTTGTTAATTTTGTTTCAAAAATGAAGAAGAAAAAAACAAAAGGAAATTTGGGGGGCAGAGTTGCACTCTTTGTCCATGACCTGGTTGAGAACTGCTGTTAAGTTGTGGTGATAGGATAAATGTGGCAGACTTTTGTTATAACAATCTCTTGCAGTCTTTATAAACTCCTTAGCTGTAGAACATATTCCCAGTGAACGTATATGTAATTTTTATAGGTAAGAGTCTGGTCTCTGAAGCAGGTTTTCCCTTCTTTCTTTGCCTAGCAAGAAAGGGATGTGTAACCTTTCCTTGGGAAATAGTAACTGAAATATCTGAAATACCTCTCTCTGTGTGACAGTAGCACCCCTGTAGCTGCTCCAGTGGTCTGCTTTCTAGGATGGTTTCTCTCCTGTTCTTCCATTTTCTGGTTTGCTGAACTGTGGGGCACTGGACACTGATTAATGTTAGACTCTGGTAATTCCCATCCTAGAAGCCTTAGTCCCCTTGCCAATCCCTCTTCCCCTTTAACCACATGGCACAATCCTGGGAACTTCTTCTCTTAGATGGTAAATGCTAAGCCTTCAGCTTGACTCTGATTCAAAGACTATGTCCAGGGGGCTGACCTCTAAACTGGAGAGACGGGACTAAGGCTTCTTGGGAATTTTCACTTCTTTGGTTCTTGAACCAGGAATATTCCACCTTTTCCTCCTGCAGAGAGGCACTCCTCCCCAACAGATGCTTGCCCTACAGCCTGCCTGCCTTCTTAGTCACCAGAGTAGCTTCTGTCCGTTTTCTGCCCTGAATTCCTCACAGCCACCTCCATGCAGATCCGGCCAACCCCTGGGCTTTGGACCCAATAAGTCAAAATAAGTCTGAGGACAGGCTCATAACTACATTTGGCCAAAACTACCAATGTAGTTGACTTTCTTCGAAGCCCTTAAGCCTATGGAGGGTATTCTGAGTATATTTACCCAGATCTCTGTCTGGAACTGAAGAGATTGCTGTGATCAAAACCCAGTTTTCCCATGGTAGACCCTTCCCACTTCTCAAATCTCATTCTAAAGTGGAAAACCAGAAGCCAAAAATACTCCTGTTTTAAACGAAGTTGTTGGGTCCCAACTCCATGCCTGGAAACTTAATCCTGGGCCAAGTGCAGGGACATCTCCCCGCCTGGCCTCTGGGAAGATGGATGTGAGCCTTCTAGCCCAATTGTGTTTGTGGATGCTCCATCCCTCCAAGACCCGCCTGGGCATCTGCTCGGGCAGGATAAACTTCCCTAGAGCTGCGGGCCTTCAGCCTCTCTCAGGCTGCAGAGAGGTGTCGTCTGGAACTCAGTAGGTTTCCTTGACCAACCCCAGCTCTACCTGCTTGACTACAGAGAATCTGCATACTCACTTCAGAGATGTTGCAGCACCGAGAGGCCAGAGTCCTCCTGAGACCAGGTCATCCATAGCAGAGAAAGGCTGTTCGCACACATTCCTTCAGAACTGAATGAGGAACAATTCAGGGCTCACGATGTTAGGGAACAGGTCTTTGGAGGAGCTGGAGTCAGTGCTCATTACTCAGCTGCTGCTCTGGCCTTGTTCCCGTTGGTGGGGCGGAGGTGGGGTTATGCAGTCTATTAGGCAGACCTCGCCTTGGTCTGAGTCCAGCACGGCTGCCCAGATGCTGCTCTGCCCTGCTCGGTAACTGATCCTAGAAAGCTCTAGGATGGATCTTTCTTCCAGGCCCCCAGCCCTCCACCTACGGCCGTGTAACTTGGTTTCCTGCGAGGCCGTGGAGTGGTACCCCATCATGGATCCAGGTCCACACCAACCCCTCCCTCTGCCTGCCCTTTGGGAAGAGCTCTTTGTTCCTAGAACATGACGTGGCCCCCTTTGCAGTGGTCTTTTCCTTCCTCCCCGACTGCCTGGCGGAGGTCTTTGCAAAAGACCAAGAGAAGTGAGGAGCTCAGCAGAGCAGTTGTTGCCATCTCCTTTAGGGGGCAGGCAGAAAGGGGACCTGTCCAGGGAGCACAGCGCTCTGCTTTCACCGTGTGTTTCTCCTCCCAGTACAGAGGCCTGGAAAGGAAAACGAGTGGGGCCCCAGGACACTGGAGGTCCTCTCGACGATGGGGGAGCCCTCTTTACTAGAAAGAATCCCCATGAGTTCAGCCACATGACGAACCTTGCCCCAGCTGGGGACCGGTTCTAGAAGATGGGTCTGCACATTTCGGGGTGAGGACTTTCCTAGGAAGGGATCCGGAGTTGTCAAGTGCGTCCTGGGTTTCAGAGGCGGCTTGACTCTCGAATGTAAAACTGACTGTGCCTTAGCACCACCCTGTCCAGTGCCCCTGGGGCAGCCGGTGGTGTCCAGGAGAATGGATTCCTGCTCCAGATGTAGATGCTTTTATTTGGTTTGGGGTGTCCCTATCTTCTGCTCTGCACGTTGGGAGGGGCCAAAGCTAGCGTCCCAGGAGACTTGTGCCAGTTTGTTCGCAGTTTACACAAACTCAGCGCTGAAGCTCCAAGGAGAGCCTGGCTGGCAAGCCAGCTGCAGCAGGTGGAGCTTTTAGATTTCCAGCCCTTGAATGGGTGTTCGTGCTGCTGAAGCACAGGGAGGAGGAGGAGGGACCGCTGGTCTCCCTCTTCCTGGGAGAGTGATGGTCTGAGCCAGGGGGTGGTGAGCTTGGGGTGTTCTCTCCTGCAGGAAGGGGCAAGCAGGACCCCTTTAAGCAAGCTTCTGTTTCTTACCACTAAATTGGTTTCCTTTTCATCCAAAAGTTGGAACTCCCCGGATTTACACTATACAAGCCAAATCTGAATTCTGAGATTCTAAAATATGTATGTTCTTATTGATTTTTAGAGAGAGGAGAAACATCGATCAATCGGCTGCCTCTGCACATCCTCTGTTGGGGATGGAGCCCACAACCCAGGCCTGTGCCCTGACCAGGACCTCTCAGTGTATGGGAGGATGCTCAACCAACTGGGCCATGCTGGCCAGGGCAAATTCTAAAATATTTTAAACCATCAGAGAGGAAACCCAGCTCAGCAGGCCTTGTTTCTCTCCTCTGAGTCAGACAGCTCTAGCAAGCAAGGCTCATTGGCTAGTTCCTAATGCACTGACAGAAGCCATCCCATTAAGGGCGACTTCTCAAAACCTGACCCTCTGGATTACAGATGCCTCACTCAGCAGTAAAAAGCATTGATTGGATTGGATATATTTATGTGACTGCGGGCATTCATGGCTGTAGAGTCTTTGACCATAATGTTATATGTCATGGGAACTATCTTGTAAACTTGAAAAAAATAAAGTTTTTATTTTCTATACAGTTTGCTCCTGTGTCTTTTCTGAATAGGATCCACACAGTTGCCCAGCTGGTAGGCACCTAAGTACGGTTTTATAAAAACCCGAGGAGTTCATTATAAAAATCTGGAGTTCATTAAAAGATACCACCCTTTTAATCATTGTAATTAATTTCACCACAAAGATAGGAAAAAAGTAACCTTTTGGTATTAAAAAAAAATGTACATGGGGGAAAAATAATTTGCAAGTAAAAGTTTGTTCGTTTTTTTAACAAAAGTTTGTTAGTTTTAGCTGATCCTCACCCGAGGATATTTTTCCATTTGTTTTTAGAGAGGGGGAGAGGGAGAGAGAAAAACACATCCGATGAGAGAGACACATTGGTTTGTTGCCTCCTGCAAACACCCCAACCAGGGCCAGGGATTGAACTTTAAACCCAGGCGCATGCCCGTGGCCAAGATCAAACCTGCAACCAACCCTTTGGAGCGAGTTGGAACTCTGATCACTAAACCAGGACAAGTAAATTGTCAATAAAACATATTGAGCCCAGCTGGCGTGGCTCAGTTGTTGAGCTTCTACCTGTGAAGCAGGCGGTCAGGGTTCGATTCCCAGTCAGGGCACAAGCCCAGGTTTCGGGCTCCGTCCCCAGTAGGGGGTGTGCAGGAGGCATCCAATTAATGATTCTCTCTCATCATTGACGTTCCTCCCTCTCTGAAATCAAGAGTATAATATATATTGCTTTTTAAAGTTTAGGACTGGTATAAAAGACTTCATTTTCTGTCAAATATATTGAAATTGAATTGTTAGGAACTTGCTATGCTGAGCTTAAAACACAAAAGCAATAAAATAGGCAAACTGGCATCAAACCTTGTTTAATTTGGCCTGATTTCATGTCCCATCAGCTCCTTTTTCTCATTCCATTTCTTCAGATTTGGGTGTGTCCGTTGTTGGTCTGAAGAAATCAAGAATTCTTTTGCCTTTTATTTCAATGAAGGAAATCCGAATTCAGACCTAGCTTCCAAGTACCATATATGTCAGACTACAAGGTTTTTTGTTTTTTCAAATTAATCACCTCAGAAATGATGAGGTTGCCATGTATTCTAAGAACTAAAACTTTTCAACAGGAAGTTGTACCTTATGGCCCTGTTGGCTCAGTTGATTGATGCATCATCCTACACCAAAAGGTTGTGGGTTCGATTCCCAGTCAGGGCGAGTACAGGAGGCAACTGATTGATGTTTTTCTCTTACATCAATGTTTCTCCATCCCTCTTCCTCTCTCTCTCTAAAAACAAAGAAAACAAAAAACATATCCTTGGGTAAGGATTCAGAAGAAAAGGGGCACATGCTGGACCACAACTGTAGATGAAGCAAACCTCTGAGTGGCTATCTCCTTGCTTGTAAGCGCAGACATTGATTGCTTCTCAAGCCCAAAGAGTGAACACCTTCATCTTCCCCTGTGATAAGTAAAAACACCTGCATATTTCTCAACCAACTTTTGGTGGCAGACAATTCAGGTTTTTATTCTTCAAAAACAGGTTTCTTGACATTTGAAAAAATGATTGATGGGAATTTTCAAAGGAAATTTCTAATGGTGTGTAATGTCACTCATCTTAAAGCTTTTGACGCTGTTAACTTTTTTATATCTTTACCCGAGAGTATTTTTCCATTGATTTTTAGGGAGAGTGGGAGAAAGAGGGAAAGACAGAGACATCAATGTGAGAGAGGCCCGTCAATTGGTTGTCTCCTGCTCCAGTCCTGACTGGAATCGAACCTAGGACCCTTCAGTCCACAGGCTGACGCTCTACCCACTGAGCCAAACCAGCTAGGGTGATCCTGTAAACGTTTATCTACAAATGAAACTTTTTCTATAGCTTTTTAGGTAGTATCGGAATACTCTGTTTGGAGTTAATTGCATACATATTGCCATCATTTGACAACTTCACCTCGAGTATAGATGAGAGCTCTGGCGAAAAATTCCTTGTTTCTCCAACCCACAGACCTGAGAGCAGCAAAAGGTTCCACCTCCCTGGCACCACTGCCCACGTCCGCATTCCTTAAGCCACCTCATCACTCACACCCTCCCTGAGCTTCCAGCAAAGCCCTCCACCTGGGCTCCGCGTTCACTTCTGGCTCTGAAGGTGTCTGAGGCTCCTGCCGGCCCAGCAGCAGCACACCAGTCAGTCCAGACCTGGGTTCTGGTGCCACATGAACGACCAACCCCACACCGGCTCGCCAGCCCCCGAAACTCAGAGAACAAGGTGAGAAGTCCTGCCTGCCCCAGCCCCCTTCTCCTCTGTCCCCAGGCCTTCGCCAATTTTGAGCAGTGGACTCTGTGTCCCTGACCCCTTCTTTCCAAGCGGCTTTGAATTCTGTAGATGTAGTGTAACGACACAACTAGTTTGGAGGATTTTATAAGGTTTTAATAATAACCTGTTCAACAAAGTAATACTGTTCAACGAAACAACACATGCGTGTCTCTCACCTGCAGAGAGAGGCATGCACCTTCTCTCCCTCTCACAGTAGGTTCTGAGGTAGAAAGTACACTGTCTAACGTATAAAACATACTCCATGGGCTGAGCCATGGCCAGGCCACAGGCTCACAAGGCACCTGGTGGAAAGACAGGCCCTTGAGAGCCGGGGCAGAGGCCGGGCCAGCTGCATGAGGCCTTGGCTGGGTTGATGGAAGCCAGCTGGCTCGGCATCCTGGCTTCCAGGAGAGGGGAGCCAAGGGCCGGGACAGCACCTCCACCAGTTATTTGAGTGAAAACTTGGGATGCTTTGGGCACCAGATATACTGGTTGGAAGGAAAAGAAAAGGGGATCTCTTCTGCCCTCTCCAGGTGTTCTGATAGAATTGCGGCTCTTGGCCCTCCAGGGCGTGGTCCTTCCTGTCTTCTTCTCCGGGAAGCAGGCCTCTGTCTTACTCAACTCTCATCTCCGGTGCTGGCAAGGTCAGGCAACAAGTGCTTGTTGAGTGAGTCAAGGCCCACAGCAGCATAATTAGCTTATCTTCTGCACGCCAACCACTGATTGTGTGTGTCCTTCTGTCCCCTGGCTGGGTCTGGCCCTGCCTCAGAGGACCCCGTTTGCCTCCCCCGGCCACGGCACAGCGGCCTCATCGCCTTGGGGGAAAAAATTCCGAGCCAAATGGTCCATGCGCCTGTTCCTGGGCAGCTCATAGTACTGGAGGGGGCGGGGGGCGGGGGTCCCGTCCACCCGGTCAGGCTCCCAGGGGTAGCTGGGGTGCAGCCAGCGGTAGTAGACAAGCCGCAGCGCCAGACCCAGAAGGAAGCTGAGGCCGCCCAAGGGCAGCAGCACCTGCAGCGGGACCCCGCCGGGCAGCCAGGCGCCCTGCGTCACCCAGGTGACCGCCATGAGCGCGCTGTCGCTCAGGAGGAACGCCAGGTGGATGGTGGCGCGGCCGCGAGTGTGGCCCTCGGCCACGTTGAACCAGGAGAAGTAGAGGATGGTGGCCACTGTGGCCCGGTAGAGCCACTCGGAGTGGGGGTCTGGCATGAAATCGGTGCCCTGCAACCAGACCCAGAACAGCAGCACCAGCCACAGGCCCAGGAAGTGCAGAGCCACGTAGCGGGGGAAGAGCGCCGAGAAGAGGGCCACGGCCAGGACGCGGGGCCACAGCAGCAGCAGGTTCCACAGGAAGTAGATCACGGAGGAGCCCAGCCCCAGGACGGGCTTGGCGGGGAGGCAGGTGCGCAGGGCCCGGTGGTAGTCGAGCAGGGCCCAGGAGATGCCCAGGAAGGCCGTGCAGATGCCAACCCCTGCGGAGAGGAGGAGGAAGCGGCTGAGCCCCGGGGGCAGCCCGCCGGGCGCTCCCCAGCACTCACGGGTCCTGGGGCCCTCGGAACCACCCCGAGGCGGGAAGGAGAACCCCCGGCTTGGTGAAGGGAAAACTACAGCTGGAGAGCATGGTTCTCACCACCAGACACAGTCCTTCCTGAGATTCAGCTACGGGGTCTGCCCTTCACCACAGAGCTCTCCGTCTCCGGTGCCACCGGAGAGGGGGTGGGGCGTGGACACCCTCAGCTGCACCCCTGGGCCTTGGCATTTTTTTTTTTTAATAAATCTTTATTGCTCAGATTATTACAATTGTTTCTCCTTTTTCCCTCACCATAGCTCCCTTCCACCTGGTTCCCGCCCCACCCTCTGCCCTTACCCCCCCCCCCCCATTGTCCTCATCCACAGGTGTACGATTTTAACCCAGCGTCTTAAAGAACCCGCAGCCCTTCCTTTCCCGGAAGAGCCCGGGCCTGTGTTGGGTCTGAAAGTCAGCAGTCCCCGTTCCCCCTTCTTACTCTCAGAAAGGGAAGCGGGAAACCCCATCCGGTGGCGACAGGCCTCTGAAGGTGCCTGTGTATGGATGGTGCATCATCACACACACACACACACACACACACACACACACACCCCGGTCAGACTGGGCCCTGGTCTCGATTTCCCAAGACTCAGTGGGGACCCTCTCCCACCTGCTGGCTGTCCACGCTGGGCTAGAGGCACCAGGGCCCGGAGGGGGGGCAGCGGCACTGGAATGTCTCCAGAACACTTCCTGCCTCCTTCCCACCGCGTCCGTTCGCCAGGTGTTTACAGGGAACCGTCCTGGGCCAGGATCCCACGCCCAGCCTGGAGTCACATCGGTGGCCGTGGTCCTCGCTAACTCCCACGCTCCAGGTCTCAGCAGGGCTGATCCTCCAGCCTGCCCCGCACCTGCCTTCTCTGGCCTGGGCAAGCTTTGCTGACGATGTTAGGAAGGCCAGGGCACAGGCCTGCTCCTCCTTACCCGGAAGTACCCCCTGGAGCCACACACCCAGATCCGATCCCACCCACTCATATTGAACCAATTATCAATTTCCTTATCTCTCAGCTCCTCAGGGTAGGAAACAGATTCTGCTCCCCTGGGATCCACTGGCAGCCCAGTACTGGCACAAATGTTTGCTAAATAAAAAGGTGGGAAAATCCATCTTTTCCCTCTCTCCTTTCTCCCCCCTCTCCCATACACAGACAGTGTAGCTTGTATCCGTTCGGCCCTGGTCCTAGACACTCACTGCCCTCAAACAGACAAAGAAAAATGTGTGCCCAGTGTATGCTGTGTGTCCCAGGGCAATCAGCCCACCTTTCTGTGCCTCTTTCCTCTTGTGCAAAATGGAGATACACATAGCACCATCCTACAGGGCTTGGTGTGAGCACTGACAATAAAGCACTCTACACAGTGCCGGTTACCAGCAGGCACTCGATGGCTGCTATTACTGGTCTTTTCAATTAATACACAGACTCAAAGGAGCAGCTGAAAGCGTCCCTGGAGGTCAAGTCCAAGCCCATCTTGTACAGCTATGGGACCTGAGGCCAGGCCACACAGTGAGTGACAGCAGAGTGGAGACTGGTCCCCGGGGGAGTCTGTGGCATTTACAGTGCAGTGGGGAGTGGGGGGGTGGGGAGGGGGAGACGGGGCAGGAGGCAGAAAAGGGGCAGCCCTGGGCCTGGAATCAGACACAGCTGGAGTCCTTGGGCTCGTTACTTCCCTTTCACGGGAGAAAACCTTCCCAAAGCTCTTCAGTGCACAGACTTCTCCTGGTTTATAAGGCCACCGGCATCTCCCTCTGCAGACTTTCCCGCCAGCCCAGCAGGGCAGGGGCTGGTCCTCGCGCACTGCGGTGCCCCCACAGGGACAGGCACAAAGATGCTCAATGACAACTTATGTGGGGGAAGGCGCCCAGCACACACCTCACGGACCAACAACTGTCTACTGTGTGTCGCACCCTACACACCCCCTCTAGCTGTTGTCTGCCAAAGAGTGAAAACGACAATTAATCTGTTATGCACCAGACACCTGGTGTATGCATCACCCCTGATCCTTCATCAGTCCCCGGAGGAAGGATTGTGTGTCAGGTCCATTTTACAGATGGAAACACGCTCAGGAGGGTGGAGTCCTTGGTCCAAACGCCTACAGCCAGGGCTAGGAGGTGCCTTTGGAATGGACCCCGGACCTGCCTGACGGAGGACGTGCTCCGATCCTCTCTCTGAGCAGTCCTTACGGGAGAGGGAGGCGTTCCCGCGGGAAACCTCCTCACACAGAAGGGGTGCCGCGGCCGGACGTACTCACACTGGTAGTACTCGGCCCGGCCGCTCTGCAGCACGATGGCCAGCACCAGCGTGAGCTGCGGCGTCCTCTCCAGGAAGGTCTCGAAGAGCCGCAGCATGCTGATGTCCAGGGACAGGAAGTCGGCGTAGGCCAAGTCGAACTGGGAGGGCGTCTCCTGCTGCCACACCAGCAGCCCCTGCTGCAGCCCCTGCAGGCACCTAGGCACAGCGGGGGGGGGGGGGGGGGGGGTTAGTGTCCCCAGGCTCCCCCTCCCCCTGCTTACCAGGCAGATGCAGGCGGGCTCCAGTCCCACACGCTGTGGGCAAGACAGAGCGTCGGCCTGTGGGCTCAAGGGTCCTGGCTTCAATTCCGGTCAAGGACACGTGCCCTGGTTGCGGGCTCCACCCCCAGTAGGGGGAGTGCAGGAGGCAGCCAATCAATGATTCTCTCTCATCGTGCATGTTTCTATCTCTCCCTCTCCCTTCCTCTCTAAAATCAAGAAAACATATGAAACATTTTTTTAAAAGAGAAGTGTTCTGCCAACAATTTAAACAACAACAATAATCACTGCTGCTCCTGCTGGCCAGGCACTATCCCAAGTTCATCACCAACCTCGTCCCATTTAGACCTTACAACATCTGTATGTTTCCCGTGGGGAAACACGACCAAAGAGCTAATCAGCAGGGGTGTTTGAATATCAAAGGCACACAAGAAAGTTGCCTAAGGCGATAGTTCTCCAAGTTTAGCAAGCCTAAGGATTTCTTTTTTTTTTTTAATTGATTTTTTACAGAGAGGAAGGGAGAGAGATAGAGAGCCAGAAACGTCGATGAGAGAGAGACATCGACCAGACGCCTCCCGTACACCCCCTACCGGGGATGTGCCCTTGTACGGAATCGAACCCGGGACCCCTCAGTCCGCAGACCGACGCTCTACCGCTGAGCCAAGCCGGTTTCGGCAAGCCTAAGGATTTCTGAGGATCCTGTGGGGAAGGGAGCCACTGAGAGCCTCTGAGCACAGGTGAGACGGGTCAGACTGTGCTCAGAAAGAACTCCCCGGGGTGGGAGGAGGAAGGGTGGGGGCGAAGGCCGGAAGCGGGCTCTGTTTAAGAGGCTGTGGTAACAATCCCGGAGGAAGGAGAGAGCCTCGGAGCGTGGGGATGGACCGGGGCGGAGCTGGGAGAGCACAGAGGTCGGACAGACAGGCCTGGCTGGCCCCCGGCATGAGGGGGAGTGGAGATGCACCACGGCTTCCACCCCCCACAGCGGGTCTCAGGTGGTTCCTGGAGGTGAGCCCATTCGCTCACTGCGAATTCATTCATCAGACACATCCTGTTACCCCCCGGAATTCATTCATCAGACACGTCCTGTTACCCCCCGGAATTCATTCATCAGACACGTCCTGTTACCCCCCGGAATTCATTCATCAGACACGTACTGTTACCCCCCGGAATTCATTCATCAGACACGTACTGTTACCCCCCCGGGACGGACAGACAGCACAGGAAGGAAGCAGGCAGGCAGCCCGGGTCAGGCTCTCCCTCAGCAGGGGTCCTGTCTCTGGCCCCCCAACACCATGGAGGGCCCTGCCTCAGCCCAGTCACAGGCAGACCCAGGGATCCTTTTCAAAGCCAAAGCTCAGGGCGTCGTCTGCCTCACACGCAGCCGAAACAGGAGACAGGAAGATGCACGATATAGTGATGGGTTCAGGGCTCACTGAGGCCTGCCAACACGGTAATGTGTGCCTTCTCCACCCCCCATGCCCGTCAGTCCCTCAGGCAAAATGCAACATTCAAGGCTGCGCATGCTCGCGCGCTCCCTCCCTCCCTCTCTCTCTCTCTCTCTCTCTCTCTCCCTCTCTCTCTCTCTCTCTCTCCCACTCCTAGACACTCCGTGCAGCTTTGTCAGGGCTGTGGAGAGACTGTAAAAATGGATTCAAGCCCTCACCGGTTTGGCTCAGTAAACAGAGCATCAACCTGTGAGCCGAAGGGTCTCGGGTTCGATTCTGGTCAAGGGCACTAACTTGGTTGCAAGTTCCTCCCCTGAGCCCTGGTCGGAGCTCCTGCAGGAGGCAACCAACTAATGTGTTTCTCTCACATCGATATTTCTCTCGGTCTCTCCCTCTCTCTTCCATTCTCTCTAAAATTCAATGGAAAAATATCCTCAGGTGAGGATTAACAACAAAAAAGGATCCAAAAGCAGATGTTGACTCCACCCACCTATCCCAACCCAGACCACATTCCTTCCCAACTTTGTCTCATGTCTCTGGCCCCCTGGTGGCAGTTTCCCCCTCTCTGCCCCCTTACCTGGTCAGGGTGGGGGACAGGGGCAGGCGGAGAGGAAATGTCAGGGAGATGCAGCTGGGAAAGAAGGCGACAGGCACTCGGGCGAGGGAACAGGTACTGGGGGTCAGGGCTGCTGAAGCTCTCAGAAGCTAGCTAGCGTTTGCACACAACTCACAGGCCTCATTTCATCCTTACTACACAGAGGCAGGCGTGCACACCATCCCCACCGGAACAATGAGAAACTGAGACCCAGAGGAGGCGAGTGTCCGGCCAAGGCCCATCCACAGCGAAAAGGAACCCTGGTCTGTCCGCTGGCCTCGGCCTTGGGAGCCAGCTCTCTGCTCTTTCCCTCACTCCCCACGGCAGGCCTGCCTGCCACCCCTACCTTTAAATTAATATATATATATATATCTCCTATCTAATAAAGAGCTGATGTGCCTATAAGACCAAACAGCAGAACAAGGACGAAGCCGTGGCTGCGAGGGCAGCCCGGGTCCAGGTTCGAGGGAAGCCAGTGCTGGCACCCCGGGAAGGAAGGCCTGCTCTTTCCCGAATTTCATGCATCGGGCCTCTAATATAAATATATATATTAATTTCAGAGAGGAAGGAGAAGAGACAGAAACATCAGTGATGAGAAAGAATCATTGATAGGCTGCCTCCTGTACGCCCCCAACAGGGGACCAAGCCAGCAACTGGGACATGTGCCCTTGACCGGGATTGAACCCGTTGTTGTTGTTTTTAAATATATTTTATTAATTTTTTACAGAGAGGAAGGGATAGAGAGTTAGAAACATCGATCAGCTGCCTCCTGCACACCCGCTACTGGGGATGTGCCCGCAACCAAGGTACATGCCCTTGACCGGAATCGAACCTGGGACCCTTCAGACCGCAAGATGACGCTCTATCCACTGAACCAAACCAGCCAGGGCTAGAGCTGTTTTTTAAGGAGCTGGAAACTCACTTTGTAGGTTAAGGTGCCCACGGGGCACCTCCGCACCCGCTTCCCGTGCCAAGACGCTCACCTGTACAGGTAGCCCCGCTGCAGGAGGTGCCGCCCTCCCCAGCCCCCCTCCCAGGGCGGGGCCTCACCGGTACAGGTGGCCCCGCTGCAGGAGGTGCCACCGGGCCGCCCCCCCTCCCAGGGCGGGGCCTCACCGGTACAGGAAGCCCAGCTGCAGGAGGTGCAGCAGCGCCAGGCAGCGCACGGAGCGCGGAGCGGCGTGCAGGCCGGCGGGGTCGGCGCGCAGCCAGATCCAGCTGAAGACCTGAAGCGCCACAGACGCGACGCCCAGCAGCGACAGCACCAGCGCGGCCCACAGGTAGCAGCCGCTGAGCACGTACTGGCTCACCGCCCACAGGTCGGCGCCCAGGTGGACGAGGAAGGCGGAGACGCCCAGCACGCCCAGGACCAGGTCCCGGAGGAGAATGGCGCGCAGGGAGCAGGGCATGGCCCGCCGGCCTCTCCGGCTCCTTCCCTCCGGGCTGGGGCTCGCCCTGCCGGCCGGGTCCTGGCGGCCGGAAGGAGGCCGTCACCGCCCTCCGAGGCTCCTAGGCCCGGCCTTCTGGGCCGGACTTCCCCGCCCCGCCCTGTCCGGGGCGGAGCTATGCCCAAAGGCCCCGCCCCCAGAGGCCCCGCCCCGCCCCCTCCGAGTCGTGGTCCCTGGCGCCGGGATTCCCGCCGCCAGAGGGCAGGCCGCCGGGCGCCGCCTCTAGTCGCTCCGGCTGCCACCTGCCTGTGTTTGTTCTTGAGGCTCCTGCGGGCCCAGGACGGCGAAAATGGCCCGGAGGGGAGCGCCCAGGCCAGAACCGCGGCCTCTCACAGGGCATCGCTGCGAAACAAAACAGAGAGGCCTGTTTGATCCCAGATTGCGGGACTCGGTGAACTCAGAGTTCGGGCCACGTGCAGGGGAGACCGAGGACCCAGGATCAACTAGGCGCACCGTCCCTGCGGCGCATTTTACTCCCATTATCCTTGTGGCGGGCAGGGACTTTCACTAACAGCAAGGGAGTTGCTTTAAACACTATTTGCATATGGAAAGGGTAATGCACGTAACCAGATCCATGGTGAGCTTTTTTAATACATGTAAAACTTGGAAGAAAAGGGCTTGTGGCAGGGTCTTTGGGCTTCTTTCCTGATCTGGCTGCCGCGTCCCCGTTCACCTGCGGAAGCCGGGACAGTGAGAGTCCAGCCCCCAGTGGGGGGCGCCGGCCCAGGACACCCAGACTGAGGAGGCAAACCCTGCGGTCCAGCCGGCGGCACAGGTCACCCTGCGAGCCAGGCGCCCAGGCCCAGCTGCGCCGCCAGCAGGAGCGGCAGCCCCAGCCCGGGCGCGGGCGCGGCGGCGGGGGCGCGCAGGCAGGCGGCGTACGCGTCCGCGGCCACCGCGCGCATTGCGCACACGTGTTCGGCGCGGCACAGCGCGTCGCACGCCCGCGCGTCGTGGCCGACAGAGTTGTACACGTAGTAGCGCTGCAGCGCGTTCGGGTCGCCGGCGATGCGGCCCAGCGCGGCGTGCATGGAGCGGGCGCCCGCGTCGGGCACCGCGTAGGCCTCGGTCAGCTGGTACTCGAGCTCCCAGCGCGCCGCTCCCTGCGCGTTCGCCTGGCTCAGGTTCAGGAAGTAAGTCATCATGTCCTGCAGAGGGGGCGGGAGGCCGGCTGTGAGCAGCTGTCTGCTTCCACCCCCAGCCCTGCACCTGGCCTCTGCCCCCCCCTCCATGATGACTGCTGTTAATGAGCATTTACTGCTGACCAGGGTGCGTGTGCGTGCGTGTGTGTGTGTGTGTGTGTGTGTGTGTGAGAGAGAGAGAGAGAGAGAGAGAGAGAGAGAGAGAGAGAGAGATCCGCTAACTGAATCTGATGGAGGAACTGCGTTTATCACCCCCATTTCCCAGGAGGTGACGGGCTACTTGATGAGTTGGGAACCTGCGTTGGCTGCAGGGTCATCGAGGTAGAGAACACAGACCTGTAGGCAGTGGGCCCGAGGGCACACTTGAATACCAGGCTGAGGAGATCCATCTCACCTTGGGGACACTGGGGAGCCATTGAGGGTTATAGAGCAGGAGAGAGACAAGTGCTTTAGAGCAGCGGTCGCCAATCGGTGGTCCTCAGACCACTGGTGGTCCATGAAGTCTGAAAGGTTGGCAACCGCTGCTTTGGAGAGATTAATCTCTTCTGTAGTATGTAGCAGGTGAGCTACCGCAGGGCAGTGCTGGAGGCAGAGGAATTAGGTAGGAGGCCTGTGGCAATGATCCGGGGCGAAGGGAGTTTGGGGAAGAAGAAATGACCTGATTTGATGGCAGGATTTGGAGATAGCACCAGGGCGGGGGCGTAACTTAACCTTCCTGAGACTCAGTGGTCATTAGAGTGCAGATTAGCTGGGAAAGAGTTAGGGAGTGTGGTGATGTGTTTAGGTCTTTCCCTCCCTCCTCCTCCCCCCCCCCCCCCCCCCAGCCCCAGCAGCCCCAGGGCTCCTGACCTGCAGGCTCAGCGTGGCTCGGTCGTATTCGAACAGTCGGATGCCTGGGTTGTTGCCCCCGTAGACCACTCCAGGGAATATGGGTTTCCATGGGGTGACTCCCGGGATAAGGAACATGACACTGATGGGGGCACCTGTTAGGAGAGACACAATGGGACTGAGAGAGGCTGGCGAGAGGAGGGAGGGAGGCTGGCAGGTGCCCTCCAGGCGGAGTACCTGCATCATCATAGAACATGCGAAAGCTGTCCAGGTGATTGTGCCCGAAGAACTGCCCTGCGATGACTCGATGATGCTTCTGGACTACCTGGAGGTACTTCTCGTTGAATCCCTCCCGGAACCACATCTTGTTCATTTTCTTCTCAAAGAACCCCGGGGGCACGTGGGCGATGATGTACACCTGTGAGGAAGGAGTGCCAGGAGGGCTCAGAGATGCCCGCCTAGCCCTGCATTGCCCCTCTCAAACCTGCCCATTGCCCTAACTGGTTTGGTTCAGTGGATAGAGCTTTGGCCTGCAGACTGAAGGATCTCAGATTCAATTCTAGTCAAGGGCATGTTCTCTAGTTGCAAGCACATCCCCAGCAGGAGGTGTGCAGGAGGCAAATGATCGGTGTTTCTCTCACATCGATGTTTCTTACTCTCTATCCCTCTCCCTTCCTCTCTGTAAAATGTCAATAAAATATATTTAAAAAGACACACAAGTGAATGGATAAACTGAAGTACATACAATGAAGTCTTCTTCACTACTATAAAGAAATAATAGCCGAAACCGGTTTGGCTCAATGGATAGAGCGTCGGCTCGGGACTGAAAGGACCCGGGTTCGATTCCGGTCAAGGGCATGTACCTTGGTTGCGGGCATATCCCCGGTAGGGGGTGTGCAAGAGGCAGCTGATCGATGACTCTCTCTCATCGATGTTTCTAACTCTCTATCTCTCTCTCTTCCTCTCTGTACAAAATCAATAAAATATATTTAAAAAAAAAAGAAGAAAGAAAGAATAGACCTAACCAGTTATCTCAGTGGATAGAGTGTTGAACTGCAGACTAAAGAGTCCCAGGATTGATTTCGATCAAGTGCATGGACCTTGGTTGCGAGCATATCCTCAGTAGGGGGTGTGCTGGAGGCAGCTGATCAATGTTTCTCTTTCATTGATGTTTCTAACTCTATCCCTCTCCCATCCTCTCTGTAGAAATCAATAAAATATATATATATTTTAAAAACCTGCCATCTCCCCAAAGGCAAGTAGGTAGGTCCCAGTGTACCCCGTCTGCTTCCCCTCTTCTGGGCAGATCTCAGTATTCTCTGTACCCAGTACTGTCACATGCTTCCCACCTCTGCTTTGCCCATGCTCTGCCTCCCACCTGGTGTGCCCTTTGCATTTTCACTTCTGTATCCTACTCAGACTTCCAAACCCAGTTCAAAGGACACCTCCTCCTGGATCCTCCCTGATCCTCACAGCCTGGTCTCCTCTGGAGAGCAGGGCACTGTCGCCGAGCCTGCCCTGCAGGACCGTGTGGTTGCCCCTCCAGAGGCTGTGTTCATGTGCAATCACACCTTCCATTCCTTCAATCACTCAGCTAACAATGCCCGGGCCCTTGGCCACCACTGCAAGAAGCAGAATGGGGGTGAGGGAGAGGGCAATTAGGAGCATGAACTTTGGAGTCAAACTACAGCTTGGACACCAGCGGTGTGTCACCACTCTGAGCTTCAGTGTTGTTGTTTGTTTTGTTTAATTTAAATTGTTTATTGTTTAAATAAAAGTCTTCTCCCCCCCCCCCATTGACCTCTCCCCGGCCGCTCCCACCTCCCAGCACATGTCCTCACGCCCCTACTGTCTGTGTCCATTGGTTGTGCTCATATGCATGCAGACAAGCCCTTTGATTGATATTTTACCACATCAGCACCCATGAGCTTCAGGTTTTTCATCAGGAATAGCACCTAACTGGTGGAGCTTTGAGAGTTAAGTGAGATAATGCACAGTGAGTGCTGAGAAGCACCAGCCATGAAATCGTGCTGGGAGGTGCTGCTGTTCCGTGCAGGGACTCAAGCAAATGAGACGCCAGCCCAGCAGACGAGCTGGACACACCACAAGTGCAGTGCCAGGGCTGACCAGCAGACCCTGAGTGACAGATGAATAGATTACTCTGACACACATGTCTGTGAAAGAGAAAGCTAAGGGACTGTTTAGCTTTAGCAACTAAAATAGCCCTGATTGCCTGCCTCCTTAGCTTTTTGTTGTAACAACAGCTTGAACGAAAATTAACCTCTAGATACAATCAGCAGGGTAAGTATCCTTGAGAAAGCACATGTTTCTATAAGGTCAGGTCTTTAAAGATTAAACAGAGATTCTAGCAAAACACCTGAGGGGATAGGATTTGTTTGGAAAAGTCAAGGTAGGAAGTGCCTTGGGCAAGTTCCCCCCGGAGGACCCCCACCTCTGGGAGAGTCCTCCTCACAGGCATTCCAGCCCAGTCCCGTGCTTCCCCACAGGGCAGGGCATCCCTTCAAGTCTCGCCCACAATGTGGGCATGGGCTATTCTGAGGATGGACAAAGCCCCCTCCTGGCGCCAGGCTGATAAAGACCCTCTGTCAGGGGTGGGGAACGTCTGGCCTGCTGGCCATATAAGATCTGCGGGCCATATAAGGCCCGTGAAATCGTTTGGTCTGGCTCTTCCAAGGCATTGGTGGTGAGTTAATTAAATGTTTAACCAAATATAACAGGCTGATTTTTAAGTTGATTTTGTGCGGCCCACAAATGATGTTATAATACCCGAATGGCCCTGGCAGAAAAAGGTTCCCCACTCCAGCCTGTGATGTACCTGCAGAGAGGATGAATTTGTGCAGAGGTGGGAGCCTCAGGCAGGAAGTGATTCAAGAGTGAGAGGGGGAGGAGGAGAAGGGGGAGAGGAGGGAGCCTTTACCATTTCTCCAGCTCTGGACGCGTTGCTCAGCACCTCTTCCAGCCACTGGAACTGCTGGGCAGGGTCGGCCATGCTGGCCGTCTGCTCATTGTTGGTGTAGTACAGATTGGTGTTGAGGACCACGATCCGCCCAGCCGTCCCTGGCAACTTCTCAGAATAGAACGCACCTAGGATATCACGGCCAGAGAGATAAGAAGGGGTCCTCTGCCTCTGACTAAACACACCTCCACCCCCTTTACTCTCCCACGTCCTCCCTCCCTTCATACTCCCTTCCCGTCTTTCCCGTAAGACGGGCATCGTGGGTTAAGACCTAAGGCTCTGGAGCCAGGTTACCTGGGTTCAAATCCTGCTTCTATCACTTATTTCCTGTGCAACTTGGGAAAGTTACCTAAGGTCTCCGTCTCAGTGTCCTCATCTGTATCCTGGTGGTAACAGTGAGGTGTGTTTGCCCCTCCAGATACGTCATCAACCCTTCTCCACTGGGCTCTTTGCCCTGGGAGCTGATCTATGTGAGCTACGCCAATGGGCTTCTGTGCCGCGGGCTTCTGGCTGGTCTGGCCAATGGGGAGCCCGGCAGCAGTGGAGTGTCTTTGGGGTTACCTTGGGCAGGCTGCCTTTGGGTCAGCTGTCCTCAGCCAGGTGGTCTTGTCCCCCAGGGAGCGTTTGGCAATGTCTAGAGACATTTTTTGGCTTTGCGACTGGGGGTGTTACTGGCACGTAGGGGGTCGTTCACAGCACAGCTCCCACCTGCCCCAAGGTCAATAGTGACAAGGCTGAGGAACCCTGGCTGAACTGGATGGAAGGTCACTGCTCTTTCCTAGTGTATTTGCAAGGAGTCCAGTAACGCGCTGAGGCTAGTGCTTGGCACACAATAAACCCTCAATAAATATTCACTGCTCATCCTCATTAGTGCATGGGGTTAAGGGCATGGACACTGGAGTCAGCCCTGGATTCTGCTATCAGATCCACCTCCCTAAGGGGTGACCTTGGCCAAAGTGATCTGGTATCTTCAAACCTCAGTCTCCTTATCTCTAAAAGATAAGGTGTAGGGAACAAGACCTATTTCTTGGGGATGTGGTAAAGATGAATCAGATTAGACCTCAGAGTACAATGAGTGCGTATTGTAACAAATGGTATTAGTACCTTCTTTGAAGCGAGCAAAGGATTCATTATTGAGCCAGGGTCTCCACAGTTCTGCTATCTGATTGTAGATACGGTTGCTCCCCGCTGGGAGCTGGTGTTTGGGGTGAAAGTCATGATTTCCCATAGCGGAGTATACTTTAGTATCTGGGAAGGAAAGGAAAAATGCAAAAATATATATGGGGAAGCACATGGAGTTCATCATTTTCAGTTGGCCATTGGCCGTCGGAGCTGATGGAGAAGAGCAATGAGAAAAAAAACCAACAGATGAGGAAAATCTAGAGGTTAAACTGAAAACTTCATTGAATAGAAACTCACTTAACTTTCCTGAGACCTGGGAAGGAGAAGCAGTGAGTTCTCTGGTCCTGGACCCTAACCCCATTCCCAGCAGAAAGTTTTCTGGTCAGAGAGGAGGCATCAACTGAGAAGGAGAAAGCTAGCCCGGCCAGTGTGGCTCAGTGGTTGAGCACTGAACTCCGGACCAGTGGCAGGCTGGATCCCCAGTGTGAGGCAGATAGCAGGCAATTGATGATTCTCTCTCAACACTGATGTTTTTATCTCTCCCTCTCCCTTCCTCTCTGAAATCAATAAAAATAAGTATCTTTCTAAAAAGGACCCTTAGTATTGAGTGTTCCTTGTTCTTGTCAATTCTGGGACATCTTCCTGTTAGGGGAAAGGTCTGGTTCATTCCCAGAGGTCTTAGAAGAAATTTCACTCATGAAACAGAAGTATTTACTGAGCACCTAGTTTATACCGACGCGTAGACCTGGTGCCAGGCACCCAGTCCCAGCCCCAGAGGCCTGGCATTGCGGTAGGTTGACAGGTGTTGAGTAACGAGAGCTGTGTGGCTGGTACAAAAAGGGAAGAGCCACTTGCTGGAAGTGTGTGACAGGAGTGGTGGAGTGGGGGCGGGGGTCTCTCCTAGAGGAAGTGGCCAGTGAATGAGCCCAGGAGGGGAGGGGAGGCTGTCAGCCTCATTCCCGCTTTTATTTGACCACTGTGTCCGGCAGGCAGTCGTTGCTCAATAAATATTTGATGACAAACAAAAACTCCTCTGAGTTCAGGGCAGGGCGTTTCCCTATGAGTTTGCCTCACCCCAGGGAGTGATCTTAACTGACGACGAGGGAGGCTGGAGCCTCCAGGTCTCTGTTGGGGAAATGTCTGTACCAAACCCTTTGTCCTGTACGGCCTGCAAGGTCGTGAGGGCTCTGCAGAAAGGAGGAAGGGGTAAAATGCTCACCATGAATTGTTCACAAAGCAGGAAGCCAGCATCATAATTGTCTGGAAAAACCTCTCTGAAGCCAGTGCTGGCAGCCATTAAGGATCCATTTAAGAAAAACACGAATTCCTAGAATCTCAGGGGCACAAGAGAAGGGAGAGGATCCCTCCCTCTTTTTGCCGCTTCTATGTGCCTGACTTCTGGGAGCTCCTTACAAGCTCCATGAGGTCATGACCTGATGTCTTGTGCCATCTCCATATCCCCTACCTACCCCTAAACTTGTGCCTCCCATAGTAAATGCTCAATAAATATTTGTTGTTGCCCTGACCCGTGTGGCCCAATGGATAGAGCATCGGCCGGCGGACTCAAAGGTCCCAGGTTCGATTCCAGTCAAGGGCATGTACCTTGCTTGTGGGCACATCCCCAGTAGGAGGTGTGTAAGAGGCAGTTGATCGATGATTCTCATCAATGTTTCTAACTCTCTATCCGTCTCCTTTCCTCTCTGTAAAAAATCAATAAAATATATTTTTAAAATAAATATATTTGTTGGTTGACTAAATGAGTGGATGGATTGGCTTATTGAAGCCTCACAGCAATCCTCTGGGCGGTACCAGCATTTATTTTCCCAGGGAGAAATGTGTCTTGATGAGATTACCCAGCTAGTGCGTGGCAGGGCCTGGAAGGGGCTGGGTCGGCTTGCCTTGTACATCTGCGTGCACCCCTCTGCATAAAACGATGCATCTTACAGTCCATGGCATCCTGGATGTCAGGGAAGTCAGCAGATGTGCAGTGTATTATCAACTGGAAAACCTTCTAGCCCGGCCAGCATGGCTGAGTAGCTGAGCATCGACCTCTGAACCAGGAAGTCACGGTTCACTTCCTGGTCAGAGCCCTTGCCCAGGTTTTGGGCTGGATCCTCAGTGTGGGGCGTGCAGGAGGCAGCGATCAATGATTCTCTCATCATTTCCATGGATACGTTCTGTGTGTATCCGCAGGCCAGTCGGCTCCCATGTTCCTCGCAGGGTGGTGGGAAGTGCCCGGCACAGAACTTGCCCACGGCCGTTGCTGTCAGTGGGTGAAGGCTGCTGCTCTGCCCTGGCACCGCGTGGGGCCCAGGCAGTGCTGGGGAGGACCAATGGCGGGCTCTCACCTGGAAAGACCTCTCTGATGAGCTTGGTCAGGCGTTCCACAATCTCCAGCACCTTCGCTTCTCCCAGCCTCTCGTTGGGCACGTGAGGGGTGTCATCGCTGCAAAACACCAACAGCCAGTTAGTGTGGCAGCTCAGGGTGGGGAATGAGGAAAGGGGTGCGAGGAGGGGGAGGGATGGGGGCGGGTAGTGGGGGCTCTGCTGAGAAAAGAGGCCACGGGACAGGTCTGGCCAGCTGAGGTTGGGAATCACATAGGACAGAGTTCAAACCCGGGCTCTGCCATTGACCTGTGTGGGCCCTTGGCTGGTTGTTTAAACTCTCTGAGCCCCATCAGCTCATGCGTACAATGGGGATAGTGAAGGCGCCCACCTTCTCCCGTCCCTGCTTTTTAGGGCTTGCAGTCCCTAAACCCCAGTGGAAGTGGCTGCATTATTCATCCTCCAACTTAAATCTGGGGAGTTTCAGCTGAAACCGGTTTGGCTCAGTGGATAGAGCATCAGCCTGCGGACTGAAAGGTCCCAGGTTCCATTCCGGTCAAAGGGCACATTTCCGGTAGGGGGCATGCAGGAGGCAGCTGATGGATGTTTCTAACTGTCTCTCTCCCTTTCTCTCTGTTATATATATATATAATTAATAAAATAAAAATAAAACGGGGGAATTTTCTACATGCCCAGGCATGCCATGACCTTGTCCCCAGCCACATGAGATCTGCATGCTGCTGAGGCCGTGAGATTTGGAGGGGAGGGCACAGATTTTGGGATCAGCCACCTCCAGGGTCCCTTTGGGCTGGGTGTGAAGACTAAGGGGGACTCAGGGGGACTAAGGGGACTGAGGGGGACTGAGGAGGACTGAGGGGGACTAAAGAGGACTAAGGAGGACTAAGGGGGACTCAGGGGACAGGGCAGGAAGGGGCAGCCACCCAGGGGCGGGCAGCCGTGCCGTGGGTCTCACCCTGTCCAGAAGATGAAGTCTGGCTCCGGCTCAATCTCCTTCATGGCGTGGACGGAGGAGTTGATGAGGGCCCAGGGGGAGTCACAGAGGTAGTCACCCCAGGGGCCCGGGCTGTGCACCGGCTGGGAGCCAGCTGATGGGCACACCTGGAGCGGGTCTGTGGACACCTTGTAGTCAGGTTCAAGGTGCAGGTCCGAGATGTGCCAGAACCTCCCTGCAGGGGAAAGGAGACCCTCCTCGGTGCCAGGCCCTCCTGAGCCCGCTGGGGAGGCAGTGTGGGGAGCCAGGAGCTGGAGGAGGGAGTTGTGCGGGTGAAAGGGGCCAGAGAAAACGGACCGTGGGCCCGGCCGGTGTGGCTGTTGGTTGAGTGTCAGCCCATGCACCATAGGGTCGCTGATTTGATTCCTGGTCAGGGCACGTACCCAGGTTGCAGGTTTGGTCCCCGGTGGGAGCATGCATGGGAGGCAGCTGATGGATGTTTCTCTCTCTCTCTAAAGCAGATATTACAAAAAGAAAGAAAAAGCCCCGCGGGCGTGGCTCAGTGGTTGAGCATAGACCTAAGAACCAGGAGGTTATTGTTCGGTTCCCAGTCCTGGCACCTGCCAGAATTTCAGGCTTGATCTGCAGTGTGGGGTGTGTAGGAGGCAGCCGATCAATGATTCTTTTTTTGTCATTGATGTTTCTATCTCCCTCTCCCTTCCCTTTCTGAAATCAATGAAAATATATTTTTTAAAGTAAAGAGAGAGAGAGAGAGAGAGAGAGAGAGAGAGAGAGAGAGAGAGAGAGACTGAGCCACAGGATTTTAGAAAGAGAGAGAGAGAGAGAGAGAGAGAGAGAGAGAGAGAGAGAGGAAGGAAGGAAGGAAGGAAGGAAGGAAGGAAGGAAGGAAGGAAGGAAGGAAGGAAGGAGGGAGGGAGGGAGGGAGGGAGGGAGGGAGGAGGAGGAAGGAAGGAAGGAAGAAGGAAGGGAGGGAGGGAGGGAGGGAGGGAGGGAGGGAGGGAGGGAGGGAGGAAGGAAGGAAGGAAGGAAGGAAGGAAGGAAGGAAGGAAGGAAGGAAGGAAGGAAGGAGGGAAGGAAGGAAGGAAGGGAAACTGGTCCACAGGATTTGCCCAGGAGCACAGGCTGATCTGACCCTGACCTGTGACCTCTGACAAGGCCCTCTCCATCTCCGCACCTCAGCATCCCCAGCATCAACATGAGGGGTTGGGCTGAGGCATGACCTTCAAGAAACCTTTGGGAGTTCTAAGAAAAGTGTTTGCTTAAAGCAAAGGCGGTAAGCAAACATACTTGTGGCCTTGGGCAAGTTTCTTCAACTCTTGGAGCCCATAATTACTAGTAGAGCCAGATTTTACCATGCTCCAGGGAAATACAAAAATCTGACCTGGCCCTGGCTGGTGTTCTCAATGGTTAGAGCTGTGGCCTGAACACCAATGTATCTTGGCCTAGAGCACATACCTGGGTTACAGGTTCGATTCCTGGCCCCAGGCCCTAGGCCCCATGGGGGGGGGGGGGCAACCAATTGATCTCTCTCTCCACCCCTCCTTCACTCTCTCCCTTCCATTCTCTAAAATATATATATGATTTAAGAGAAGGCTTACCAACATGTTGTAAGATCTTGCTAATTAATACCATCAAAAACCTGGGGGTCGATGTGGATGTGGACATAATGTTAGACCAGGAGAGAAGGAATGGGAGTTCAGATTGGGCTGGATTGCCCCTGTGGGCGTCCTCGGTGGTTCTAGCTGCAGGGTGGCCGTCAGGCCGCTGGGAGCAGTCCTGTTTGCTCAAGTGCTTGATGGAAACCTGGTGGCAGCTCCAAACCAAGGGAGGCTGAAATGCCAAAACTCTCCTGGAGTGAGAGAGAGAAGGGAATCCAAAGAAACAGGCTACACGGAGTGGGTTCATTCTGTCCCCAGTACCAAGCCTGATGGAAATGGTTTCAGTGATGTTTATTCAAGAGGGCTGGGCAGGTTTAGCTGCTGCCCTGAATCCCGCTTCTGGCTGAAACAAGGGTGAGGCCTGGGATTTCCTCACCCTTCGCCATTGCTGTCACTTCCCCTCCATTTCCTGTGTCTCTCAGTCAACACCTGCCCAACCCTCAGGAAGCTGGGCCCAGGCGTCTGGCTTCTGTTGAGAGCAAGGCACCCCCCACGCCTCAGGACAGGCTGGAAGGTGAAGTCTGGCCCCTGGTCACCACTACTTGACTTTCCCTCCCTGGCGAGTCCTAGCTTTCACCCGCCTTTCTGGACCTAAATCTGGTCTCAGGAAAGAAGCAGAAACTCGTTCACACTGAGGTGTAAATGACTGACCAAACAAATCCTTATCCCTCCCCTGGGCAAGAAATCATTTTAAAAGCAACATTAGCCCTGGCAGGCTTGGCTCAGTGGTTAGAGCATGGGCCCACAGACTGAAGGGTTGCAGGTTCGATTCCGGTCAAGGGCATGTATCTCAGTTGTAGGCTTGATCCCCGGCCGGAATTGGGATGCAGGAGGCAACCAGTCTATGTGTCTCTTTCCCATCTCTCTCTCTCTCTCTCTCTCTCTCTCTCTCTCTCTCTCTCTCTCTCTCTCTCTCCACCCCCCTTCCACTCTCTAAAAATCAACTTTAAAAAATATCCACAGGTGAAGATTAACAACAACAACAACAAAAAAGACCACTGAGCACCTAGCACGGCCCAGCATAACTGCTCAATAAACGAACGTCAGCTCTGCCTGGACATCGTCCTCAGTGCTGGTTGTGTGCCAGGCTTTCAGCTGCTCCTGAGGAGGTCTGAGGAAGTGGATGGCCAGAGGACTGACCGGAATGGAGTGGAACTGATAGATTAAATAGAGAAGGTAGACCGGAGACCCGGATGGCAGGACACAGGCTTTATTGGAGGGAAGGGTACCCTGCCGGCTGCTTCCACAGAGAGGTGCGGAAGAGAGCGAGCGAGGGGCTTACAAGCACCTTTAAGGATAGAGGGCGGGGCTTAGGGCACTCAGCACGCGCTGATTGATTAGGGACCTAAGGACTTAGGAATGGGGACTTAGGGTATTTGGTAGGTGCTGATGGGTGGTTCAGAGCTCAGGAATGTCTGGCCGCAGGTAGGGTTTATTTCTGTCCATCAATTGAGGGAAGGGAGGATCTATCAGGAACCTGTGCCAGTCCTTCCCGTTGGCCTCGATTTCTGCAGAAAGGCTGCTGGATCCTCGCTAAGGCTTCAGGCAGAGGACCCCAGAGAAGGGCAGTGGAGAATCCGAAGGAAAACTGCAGGTCTCACCCTCCCACTGATCCCCTCTAACTGCATGGCAATCTAGCCTCTCACAGGCATCGCAGACTGGACGGGTCTCCTCAAACTGCCATCTCCTCCTCCCTCACTTCAGGGAATGACAGCTGTACTTCCAGCTGGAGCCCCTGGAGTCCTCCCTCACACCCACTGTCCGTCACATCTGTCAGCAAGTCTGGTTCAGAGACAGACCATCTCCCACCACCTCCGGTCCTGTACCCCGGGCTGAGCCGCCCTCCGCTCTCCCTCGATGGTGGCAATAGCCTTTTGGTCTGGCTGCTCTCCTTTACCAGGTGACCGGCCGTTCCCCTTTGCCCAGGACTGCAGGAGGGTCCCGGGTGCCACACTTTAAGTGGCAAAATTAGGGAAGTCCCAGGCAGACAGACACCAGTTGGTTCCCCTGCCTTCCGGTCATTACAGCCTCTCCTCAGCAGAGCAGCCCAAGGCTCCTTTTATTTATTATTTTTTAAAATATATTTTATTGATTTTTTTACAGAGAGAAAGGGAGAGAAATAGCTAGAAACATCGTTCAGCTGCCTCCTACACCCCCGCCCCCCCCACCGGGGACATGCCTGCAACCAATGCACATGCCCTTGACCGGAATTGAACCTGGGACCTTTCAGTCCGCAGACCAACAATCTATCCACTGAGCCAAACCGGTTCGGCCCAAGGCTCCTTTTAAAGGTTTACATGTCAGATCACATCACAGCTCTGCCTGAAACCCTCCAATGGTGTCCCACTTCCCTCTGACTCCTTCAATTGTCTGCAAATTTATACACCAGCTGGTGCCAACCCTCACCCCACCCCCTGGTTCCCTGACCTCATCTCTCCCACCTTCCCTGGTCCACGCTGGCTTCTTTGCTCATCCTCAGGCACATCACCTGCATGTTCAGCTCGGGGCCTGTGCCCTGTCCATCCTCTTACTGGAATGTTCTTTTCCCCATGTCCACATGGCTCTTTCTTTCACTCATTTGAGCCTCAGGTCTCTGCTCAAATGCCCCTTTAGTAGGCAGCTCTGCTCTGGCCACCCCGCAAGGACCCCCTTTCTCCTGCGGGAACACTGTGCACGGACACGTGACTTTTGGGTTGTTTCTTTCCAGGTGAAGGGGTGCTTGTGGGGACGGGGGCTTTGCCTGTTTTCCTTTCTTTCCCGGGTCCTGGAATAGCTCCTGGGGCATGGCAGCCCTCCACCAACATCTGTTCAGTGAGTTCACCATCTCCTGCCACCTTCCTCCTCTACCAGCAGGCTGGTCCGATGTCTTCACTTTACCTCTTAGTAAGGCCGGTGTCCCTCCCCTGGCCAGCGGTCACCTCCACTTACAACATTGAGGCTCAAACAGCACCCCCACCGCCTCCTAACTCTCTGAGGGCCTCCCTGCCCAGCTATTTTTAGCTGCACCTCCAGCTTTCTCAGCGGCTTCTAGCAACTCTGATCCAGATAAGACAGGCCAGTAAGCCCGGACACGTGAAACAGGGAAACAGAAGACAGTGAGACAGCAGCACACTGCCATCTAGAAAACCTACACGCAGAGCAGTCTGCAGCCGTCTAGTAACTTCTATCTCCCCAAACCAAAGACACTGAAGAAGAAATGATTGGCCCTTCCCTCCCCATCCAAAGGGCAGATAGCTTAAATCACCCTCCTCAGGGAGACACAACAGAAATCCAGTCAGTGCCACTTGCCAACCATACCTCAGTGCAGTTAAAGTTAAGAGAATAAACTTCATTCGGGTACATCAGCATAAGACCCCCCCTCAATGCCCAGGCTGTAGAACCCCCCAAAACGAAGGTCCTGCACCAGCTTTCCCTCCCAGGAGCACCCGAGCCTCTCCCCTGCCCCTCCACAGGCATGCCTCTCCTCACCCGGAAGGGACCCGAGAGGCTTGCAGCCAGGGCAGCAGCCATTCGTCCCAGACAAACCTCTGAACCTGTGCCCAAGGCCCCTTTTCTCGGACTTCTTAGTAAGCCAAAGCAGGCCAGCCTAGGCTGGTTTCCGCAGCCCTTCCTTGTTTCATTGTCTGCAGCTTCAATAAACATCCTCTAACACTCACTTGAACTCGGGCTGTGACATTTTTCCTGCAGGAAGTCAGAAACCCACACTACTGCTGGCCCACGGTGGACCCCCTCAGGGCCAGGTCCCCTTCCCCAGAAACACTGAGATCACAGAAGACATCAAAGGCATTTGCAGAGCCTACCTGGTCCAGCCCTGGCGGCTCCCCAGAGGGCCAGGAACACCAGCAGCTGGAGCAGGCTCATCCTTGGGGCTTGTGTCACAGGGAACGTGGGATTTTCCAGGTGCTATTGTTCCTGCCACAGGCTTCCTAAATGGTAATAGTGGCTGCTCGCCTGAGCAGAGCTTCCTGTCCTGTCACCTGGTGGTTCCAGTCATCGAAAGCTCCTCTGGCTTTTCCTCCGTTGCCCAGCAGGGTGTGAACTGGGTATAGAAAGCAGCACCCGTCCCACAGTTATAGGCCAGTAGGAAGCTCGGAAAATCCCAGGACAAGTGGAATAGGGAAGCTAAGGCAGATGGTTAAATAGCAGCTTGCAGCCACCTCAAGTCCTTTCTTCCCTAAACCAAGGACACTTAAGAGATAATGGTTTGCCCACCTTCCAGAACTGAAATATCATTGCTGACATGTACACATAAGAAAACGTTTGACCTTGAAATTGGGTCTCAAAAGAACTGGTGGTCCAGAAAGAAACTCTCTACAGACTGATTCATATGCCTTTCAGCACAAGGATTATTGCTTGTCTCATTTTTTTATTCTTTAAGTATATTTCCAGTAGGACATGATCGCACTCATCCAGGGGAAATGGTGAACAATATAGACTGGTGAACAAGAACAGACCCAGAGATAAGGAGCCATGGGTCAGACTGCTGGACCTCAGAGGGAGGGTGGGGATAAAAGGAAGAGATCAACCAAAGGACTTGTGTGCACACATATGAGTCTAACCAGTGGTTGAGGACAATGGGGGGGGGGGCATGAGTGAGGGAGGGATTGGAATGGGGGGTTGAGGACAAATACATGATACCTTAATCAATAAAGAAATTTAAACCCACAAAAAAACGAACAAAGAAAAGAGATAATGGTTTGCACTTCTCCCCAACCACATGGTAAATAGCTTAAATCACCCTCAGGGAGACAGATAGCGCCATTTGCTAACCACACCCAAGGATAAACAACTTGAGATAATAAATATCATCTTGGTACATCAGTATAAAGCTGATAAATATTTTATTGGTCCTCCCCAAAACCTAAATGCCCCGACTTTAGAACCCCTCAAAATGCAGGTCCCAGGGAGTTCACCCTCCAAGGGGCATGCCCAAGCCCCTCTTGTCCCTTTCCCCTCCCCACACAGGCACTTATCTCCTAAACTCCGAGGATCCCGTGAGACTTGCAACTGGGGGAGCTACGGGCAACCGCAGCGCATCCTGGGTAATCCCTCAAAGCCTACCTCTCTGTGCCTGAGATCCCTGCTTCCCCGTGGAATCTTTGTCCTACCTTACATATGCAGCTGGCTTATGGAGGGCTGCAGAGCAGATTTCTGTGGATGGCCAGCTGCTCCCCCATGCTGCCAGCAGTTTTGGAGTAAACGCTCATCTATGATTCAACCCTGTAGCGACAGGCAGCCTGGACCCACTGGTTGTTTGGTTTCACCTCACCTTGACCTCTTTATTATAGGTCAATGCTCAACTACTGAGCCACACTAATGGGCTCTACATTCTTCCTTGTTTCACATCCTACATGTGTTTTTTGCTGCAGTCAATGAATTCTTGCTTGCTTTTCTACACTTTTGTCTCTTGATTGAAATCTATCCTTGGAGAAGACAAGAACCGAGGTCCCCTTGTCTCATCCGTAACACCGCCAGATCCTCAGAGCAGTCAGTCCAGCCAGCAACTGGCTTCTTTTAAAAAAAAAAAAAATTATTTTATTTTAAAAATATATTTTATTGATTTTTTTACAGAGAGGAAGGGAAAGAGATAGAGAGCTAGAAACGTCGATGATAGAGAAACATCGACCAGCTGCCTCCTGCACACCCCCCACTGGGGATGTGCCTGCAACCAATGTACATGCCCTTGACCAGAATCGAACCTGGGACCCTTCAGTCCGCAGGCCGACGCTCTACCACTGAGCCAAACCGGTTTCAGCAGCAACTGGCTTCTTGAGGGAACTCTCCTAACCCTGTCACTGAGAGGCAAATTCACAAGCTCTTGGAGAACAAACAAACCTGTATAACATGGCTGGTCTTTGCCATCGAAAAAACTTCACTGTTAGTTGGGGATAAAGCCGCTCATTCACAAATGAATCAAGACTATTAGTTATCCATTCACTCCTGCTGGGAACCATGTTCCAGGGAGACGGAGGGGACCCAGGGCAGTCCCTGCCCTCAAGATTGTTGGGGGGACCAAAACCGGACCAAAACAACTGATCGATGTTTCTAACTCTCTTTCTCTTCCTCTCTGTAAAAAATAAATAAATAAAAAATATTTTTAAAAAGTTAAACAAATAAATAAAGGGTATTGCTCCTCTTTTCAGTCCTGATAATAGCCTAGAGAGGGAAATGGAACACTTCTTGAAAACCACTGTGACTGGAAGACTGCAACTTGACAAAAGTAAACCTTGAGAGATGAATGCATTTAACACATAGAGAAATACTAATTATTTTAGCACTGAGAACTGAGCCCTGTTCAATTTGTCAGATCAGCAAGCTCTTGAAAAGATGTGCAAAAGTTGTATTCTGATGGTTGCATTGTGTTATATTTTAATCTAAGACATTTCATTTTTAAATGTATAACTTTCACTGCTGAATTTATAACTAATTAAACCCCAAACGAAGCCCATTAACTAAGGTGACCAGACATTCCGCTTTTGGAGCGACAGTCCCGATTTTTTTTTTTTTAAATATATTTTATTGATTTTGTACAGAGAGGAAGGGAGAGAGATAGAGAATTAGAAACATCAATGAGAGTCATCGATCAGCTGCCTCTTGCACACCCCCTACTGGGGATATGCCCGCAACCAAGGTACATGCCCCCGACCGGAATCGAACCCGGGACCCTTCAGTCCCCAAGCCGACGCTCTATCCATTGAGCCAAACCGGTCCCGGCTAAATATTTAATTTTCAAACCATCTTTTGTGGCCTTTTTAGGTCTCTGAATTTGCAAGATTGCCACCCAGGCCTCCCCTGAGCTTATTAGGTGAGCATGTGGCTCTTTTTGTCCACATGTTCCACTCTCTACAGGAGGAACATACTCATATTTAGAATAGTTGAAGCAACTAAGGATGTGGAGCTGGATTAGACTGGAGTGAGGATGGGTGTCGGGAGTGCAATCCTCAGAGTGTTTTGAAGGCCATCCTGGGGGAAAGTGTAGGGGTTTATTTTTGTTTTGTTTTGTTTTGTTTTTTATAGCTTCCCTGGGTAGAATTAGAAAAAGGGGTGGCAACACAAGAAGGGAATTTGGCTCTTTGTTTTCAAGATTATGCAATTGATAAAGTGCTGTGAAACCAGGACTGTGTGTTTCCTGGGGAACTGCAATGTGCAGACTCTGAAGCGGGAATTCTACTTTAGCGCTTTATTTATTTTATTTTTTTAAATATATTTTATTGCTTTTGTACAGAGAGGAAGGGAGAGAGATATAGAGCTAGAAACATCGATGAGAGAGTCATCGATGAGCTGCCTCTTGCACACCCCCTACTGGGGATATGCCCGCAACCAAGGTACATGCCCTTGACCGGAATCGAACCCGGGTCCCTTCAGTCCCCAAGCCGACGCTCTATCCATTGAGCCAAACCGGTTTCGGCTTTAGCGCTTTATTTTTAAAAATATTTGTTTTATTGAATTTTAGAGCGTGAGGAAGAGAGAAACATCAATGATGAGACTCATTGATCAAATGATTCCTGCACGCCCCCTACTGGGGGATGAACCCGCAACTGGGAGCAGGGAATCAAACCGTGTCCTCTTGGTTCCTGGGTCCATGCTCATTGGTTTAACCACACAGGCAGGGGTCTACTGTAGTGCTTTAGATTGAAGCGTCGTGTGATTGGTGAAAATATTTGGGCGGGAACCGAGGAAAACGCCGAACAAAGAAAGTGACGTCAGCGTCGCTTATGGATGGGGGTGGGATCATAGGGGCTTGAGATCCGGAATCATAATTGGATTGGTTATTTTTCTTTTTTTTATATATTTTTTTTATTGATTTTGTACAGAAAGGGAGGCAGAGAGATAGAGAGCTAGAAACATGGATGAGAAAGAGTCATCAATCAGCTGCCTCTTGCACACCCCCTACTGGGGATATGCCCGCAACCAAGGTACATGCCCTTGACCGGAATCGAACCCGGGCCCCTTCAGTCCCCAAGCCGACGCTCTATCCATTGAGCCAAACCGGTCTCAGCTGGATTGGTTATTTTTCTGAGTCACACAGATCCTCGCTTCCGCCGACGCAGCGTGCGTGCCCTTCCTAAAAATGGCCGCGGCAGCTTCCGGTCCTTCTTGGAACTGCGCGCGCGACTTGGGAAGCCAGGCCAGCAAATACCGGAAACGGCGTAGGATTCGCGTGCATTGATTGGATGACGCGAGAAGCGTTCTGGACAGTGATTGGCTCCGCCGTTCGCGGGAAGGAGTTTGTGGCGCCCGGGAAAAGTGTAGCGCTGCGACACCAACTAGGTTCTGAGGCGCCCGGCGAACCCGGTGGACCGGAGCCTTCTGGACGTCTTTCCTGAGGGGATCGTGACCACGATGTGGAATAGTAATGACCCATGTGGCGGAGGATGAGAATAGCGAGGATTTCGCCCAGAGCGCGGGGGTCGGAGAGGCTGGGGTGGCGGAGGGGGAGGGGCGGGAGCCGGAGCTGGGCGATCGGGGGCCGCGGCAGGTGGTGGGGAAGCTTAGGGACACGCTGGGAGGGTTCGGGTGCGGGAGCGAAGTGGGGAGGGCGCCTGTGGGTCTTTCAGAAGCTTGGGGAAGTAGCTCAGATGCTAACTCGGTCGTTATTTAAAACCAGGTGGATTTGAGAGCTATGGCAGCTCCACCTTTGGGGGAGCCGGTGGCTACACGCAGTCCCCCGGGGGCTTTGGATCGCCGACACCTTCTCAGGCCGAGAGGAAATCAGTACGTTGGAAGAGTGTTTCTTTTTCCTTTTCTTTTTTTAAAAATTTTATTGATTATGGTACCACATAATTGTCCTCATCCCCCCATTCCCACCCCAAGCCCCTCCCCACATATGCCCCCACCCCCCTGTTGTCCATGGCCACTGGCGAGGCCCATATGCGTGCACACAAGCCCTTTGGTTGATCTCTTCCCCTCCCCCTCCCCTCCCCTACTTTCCCTCTGAGGTTTGAGAGAAGAGTTTCTTATGTGCTCTGTCCTGAAGATCCTGGTTCATCCCCGTGAGAACATGTCTGCGCGAAGGAAGGGTGCAAACATGAACTGAATTGATAACTATTACCTTACCGAATCTCCTGATTAAGTGCTGTCCGTTAAAAAAAAAAGAATCTCTCCAAACGTTGCACCCACTGTTTCCTTGGCTTTCTTTTGAAATTTACTGATATGGCCAGTGCCTTGTGGGAAAACCGAACTCGTATTATTAGCCTATTTTACGTTCTTTCTGTATTCCGAGTCCTTTTTAAGTTAAACAGAGAGAAGTGATAAAATACGGGGGAAAGAGTGAGGTCTTTGAAGTCCATGGGTCTGTTCGCTATTTGCAGTGTCATCGAACACATTTCTTTTTTTAAGATATTTTATTGATTTTAGAGAGGAAGAGAGGCGAAGAGGGAGAGATAGAAACATCAATGATGACCGAAACCGGTTTGGCTCAGTGGATAGAGCATCAGCCTGTGGACTGAAAGGTCCCGGGTTCGATTCTAGTCAAGGGCATGTATCTCCCCCCCCCCCCCCAAGTCCACAGCTGATGCTCTATTTATTGAGCCAAACCAGCTAGGGCTCGAACAGATTTCTTCACCTTCTTCATAACCCATGCCTCACCAGGTTGTTGTGGGACCATATTAGCATATATATGCACTGCCTGCCCCACAGCCCCTGCAGTCAGTGGCCCCGCGTGTTATTGAAAAGGCCTGAGCGCGGGGCCATGATGCACAGCGCCCCGACCAACGGCCCTTTAACGGGCGAGGGCGGGGGGGGGGGGGGGGGGGGGGGGGGGGGGGGGGGCGCTCGCACCGGGTGTCCGGGGGCCCCTGTTTCTCGGTCTGATAATGGTACTAGCCCTTCTCATCCCACGGGGAATGGGTGAATAAGCTAAGGTGTAAGGAGGGGATCGGTAAAAAGCTGTCCACGCGCTGGTTATGTCCTCTTTGGGGAAAAGAGTTTGCGTTTAACCACTGCTGTGGGTTAACGTGGCCTCTGGAGGAGCCGCTCAGGTGTGGTGGTAAGATTCAGAGTTGGCAGGTTCTGTGTGTTGCGTTCAGGTTGGTAAGCTTTTACCTAGACTGTTGGTTTTGGGGTGGGTGTTGGTGAGGAAGAATGAATGCATCGATAATGTTCATGCATTTGGATTTTGCTTTATGTTTTTCATATAATTCTATAAGGTATTTGTTGCTTATTCCCTTGTACAACAGAGTTTGGGAGCTTAAGGGACTCTCTAAGCTGACGCAGTAAGTAACTGGAACCAGACAGAACACAAACACATACACACACACACACACACACACACACACACACGGTGCTGAGAAAATCCAAAGACCAGAGAGGACTCCAATTATCTAATTGTTTTTTTCTGTGAGACTTTGAAGGTGAAAACAGAAGCTAGATAATTGGTTCTCATCTCTTCTCCCTAAGTTTAACTATTTTTTCTTCATTCCAGTTGTTAGAATTTGTACCTCAGGATTCCTAGCTTGGGCTGTGTTTTGAAACAGCTTTTCAGAGAAGGATGATGGTTATAAGCTGAAGACTGAAACCTGGGTCTTTTTGCGTTTCAAATCCAGTGCCTTTTTCACAGTAAATTAGATTTAAATGTTTCCTATTGACTGTAAACCCATTATATTTTATTGAACCATGTGAAGTTTCCAATGTTTTATCCATAAAAATGGTGGTTTCATACAGTACTTAAAATAATGGTTCATAGTCAGCTAGAAAGTTATATTTTCAAAATTGAACATACTTGTGCCTGGTTGCACTCTCTGAATCTTTTTGGAACAAATCAGGCACTCTGCAATTGGTTCTGGCACATAATAGGTGCTCATTAGAAAGCAGGCTACAAGTGATTTTTTATTTTATTAAGACTATAGGATACACCCATAGCCTTTAGGTAGGAAATTCCAATAACAGAAATTTACAGAAGACAAAGAGGTGGAGGCTGCTTTAGCTAACAATGTTTCAACTAAACAGTGAGTGATTAGCTCTGACCTTTCACAGCAATTAAGGTTGTAGACCAGCCTTCTGGGTTTCCTGTCCACATCTTTCTATTAGTGAGACAATGATCAGTTTCGGCTATAGTGGTGTGTCCTGGGCCTGGCGCTGGGATTTGAACACAGATCTGTAGTACTGTCTGGCTCCAAAACCCATGTTCTTGCTGCTGTTACTACAGTGATTTTTAATTTTTTTATGCTGCAGATACAATAAAACTCTCAGTTGTGAGAGCCTGGGACCTCAGCAAATTTTAAATCTATAAATTCTAATATAGCATATAACTTCACCTATAAAATACTGTAAAGTAAACTTTAAAAAATATAGTTGAGCCGGGACCGGTTTGGCTCAATGGATAGAGCGTCAGCTTGGGGACTGAAGGGTCCTGGGTTCGATTCCGGTCAAGGGCATGTACCTTGGTTGCGGGCATATCCCCAGTAGAGGGTGTGCAAGAGGCAGCTGATCGATGACTCTCTCATCGATGTTTCTAACTCTCTAACTCTCTCCCTTCCTCTCTGTATAAAATCAATAAAATATATTTTTTTAAAAAATATATAGTCGATCCCTTCACATCCTTATTAAAAACTATTTCAGATATAAAGAGTGAGGAACAATAGCTGACACAATAATTGCTGACATTTATTGAGTATGCCTACATGTACCAGGTAATATTGTAGGTTCTTGGCCATATATTTAATTTTCATAATGATTTTGTCATTCCTAGTTTTATAGGTGAGGTTACTGAGGTACAGATGAGTTGAGAAATGTGAACAAAAGCACACTGTTCCTAAGTGGTAGAACCAAACTCTTATCCCTCAAATGCTGCCTTTTGTGGTATATGTTCTCGTGGTTGGCTGGGCTTATTTGCTACCAGCTTGCTAATACCATTCAAAACTATGCTTCAGCACAGTGAAATATTGTTAGTGTCATGGATCTTCGGGGTAAAGCTGGCAGCTGCTAAAGTCTACTATGTTTGGTCTTGCATGTAGAACAGTTGTCAGGTTGCTCCCTGTTGATTTCTGACAGGAAGAAGTCTAATCTTTAACCCACTATGCTTTTTTGTTTTGTAAATTACCTCTGATTCTGTGGAAGTGCATATTTGTCCTCAGTTTGTAATGCTCATTCCTCATTCACTATTTTTTCACTATCAAATGGTCATGCTTCAGTCTGAGCTGGTTTGGCTCAGTGGATAGAGCATCAGCCTGCAGACCAAAGGGTCCTGGGTTCTATTCTGGTCAAGGGCATGTACCTTAGTTGCAGGCTCCTCCCTGGCTCAGGGCACATGCAGGAGGCAACCAGTCAATGTGTTTTTCTCACATCGATCTTTCTGTCTTCTCCTCTTTCTTCCACTCTCCCTAAAAATCAATGGAAAAATATCCTTGGGTGAGAATTAACAAAAATTTTGGGGTTTTAGGGTTCAGCCTAAAATGCTCCCTCATGAAATCACCAATAATTTTTTTTTGATATCTTATTAGTGCATCTTATTTGGTAGTGTATCACGGTCAACTTTGTTATTTGCATTTTTAAAAAAATATGTACTTTATTGATTTTTCACAGAGAAGAAGGGAGAGGAATAGAGAGCTAGAAACACTGACCAGCTGCCTCCTGCACACCCCTTACTGGGAATGTGCCTGCAGCCAATGTACATGCCCTTGACCGGAATCGAACCTGGGACCCTTCAGTCCGCACATTGACGCTCTATCCACTGAGCCAAACGGGTTTCGGATATTATTTGCATTTTTATCTCCCCAGGGTTTGTAGTTTGTTAAGGGCAAACTATACTCATCTTTATGTGACCCAGACAATCCCTGGCCAGTTGTAGACAAAAATAAGTTTATACTATTGTTAGATTCTTCAGGATGTGATTTGAGTGTTCTTACTAGGCACTCTTCTGCCCATCACATCCTGTCCCTTCCCTTGAAGATGTCTGGTATAGCCAAGCTCTTACCCAGTTTTCCCCAGGACTTCCATCCGATTGTCAGAACATCTGTCCTAAAGGAAGTCATACCTTAAACTTTTTGTTATATTTATATTAAGAGATTTAAAGCAAGCTCTGGCCGGTTTGGTTAACTGGTTAACATGTCAGCCTATGGACCAAAGGGTCACAGTCAAGGGCAGCATGTACCTCTGTTGCGGCTTCATTCCCTGCCCCCAGTCAGGGTATTTGAAGGAGGCAATCAGTCATTGTGTCTCTCTCACATCAATGTTTCTCTTTCTCTTCCCTCCTCTCTTGCTATATCATTCTCTCTAAAAGTCACTGGGAAAAATAACCTTGGTTGAGGGTTTTAAAAAAGAGTGAGAGCCAGAACCGGTTTGGCTCAGTGGATAGACCGTCGGCCTGCGGACTGAGGGGTCCCAGGTTCGATTCCAGTCAAGCGCATATACCTTGGTTGCAGGCACATCCCCAGTAGGAGGTATGCAGGAGGCAGCTGATCGATGAGAAACATCTCTCATAGATGTTTCTTACTCTCTATTCCTCTCTCTTCCTCTCTATGAAAAATCAATAAAATATATTTAAAAAAATAAATAAATAAGAGTGAGAGATTTAGAGCAAGTCCAAAGTTCTATCTCCACTGGCCGTTTCTCAAACCCTTTCCAAATACCATCTCATCTTACAGTGATGAGCAGCTAGCTCCATCAGCCTAAAGCTGGGGTTTCCTCTTAAAAGTTTGTTCAGGAAGCAGGTCATTCCTATGCTGTCCCCACTTTGGTTCACTCTTGGTGAATCTCTAGTGCAATATAAACTTAGCCATTCTCCAGGAGCTTTGGAATCATGCAAACCTGGGTTTGACTTCTAAAGTGTGGCATTTGTTAGCTATATGACCTTGGTTTCCATCTGAAACGCAGGTAATGAGGCTTGTTTTATCCAATCCTCCTATATAATAAAAGGCTAATATGCAAATTGGCCAAATGGTGGAACAACTGGTCGCCATGATGTGCACTGATCATCAAGGTGCACACACTCAATGCAGGAGCTGCCCCCAGGGGGAGCACTGCTTAGCCACAAGCTGGGCTCATGGCTGGTGAGTGCAACAGCGGTGGCAGGAGCCTCTCCCGCCTCCAAGGCACTCACTGCGAGAGGGCACAGGCGAACTGATGGGGACACACACATACACCCCTCCCCAGAATGCACAAACTTCATGCACTGGGCCTCTAGTGTTATATGCAAAGTGCTTGGCACATGTAGCAGGTATTAAATGAGTAGTTATTTCAGTTGACTTTGTACATGCTTTCTTTCAGAGAGCCCGAGCCCAGCATATTGTACCCTGTACCATATCTCAGCTGCTTTCTGCCACTCTGGTTGATGAAGTGTTCAGAATTGGAAGTGTTGAGATATCACAGGTATGAATAATGAAATAAAATTATTTCTTTTAAAAATACATAAATGTTGCTTTTGTTTCAAAGAAAACCAAACTTTTTTTTTCTTCTGATGTAGGTCACTATTGTGGGGATAATCAGACATGCAGAGAAGGCTCCAACCAACATTGTTTACAAAATAGATGACATGACAGCTGCACCCATGGATGTTCGCCAGTGGGTTGACACAGATGTAAGCGGTTTTTAAATCAGGGTGGGGTTACTTTGGGACTTTGGAGTTGTTGGATTTTTTTAGTCTTTTGGAAGATTCTTATTATAAAAATCTATATAAAAGGCTAAATGTCCATCTATCCAACCAGTAGCTATGATGTATATTGACCAATGGGGCAGACGCTCAATGCAGGAGCTGCCATGATGTGCACTGACCATTTAAAAATAAACAGCACCATGGAGCTGGCACCAACAAACCAACACTTAGCTTCCCCCAAGTGGGACACAGGCCCCACCCACTACCACCCCAGAGCAACAGCCCACCAAATTGCAGCCAACACTGCCAAGACCCCCGGTGCAAAATGTGGCCCACAGCCCAGCCCCACCCAGAAATGGTTGCTGTGGATGCTGAGTAATGATATCACATAGCTTCCTCTCCCTAGCCACTAGCCTCCTTGGAGTTTCTTCAGGCCGGGAACCCAACTTGCTTTATAGCCAGGTACAAACATTTTATAGTGGATAACCAGATGTTTGTGAAGCGTTTCCCCATGCCTTATCTCATTTGATCCTCACAGAAGTCCTAAAGTAGATAGATAGGAGACTTGGTAGAATCTTATTTTCTTTTTGTTAGCAGGATGTGAATAGTGATATTAAAATATTTATTCTAATTAACTTCCTTTTAATGTGCACAAATCCGTGCACTGGGACACTAGTAATGCATAAGACATCAAAGGCAAAATCCTTAAAATAAAAGGTTAATATATCGTAAAACTTTAAAACCTTCTAACTTTTCAAAATACTATAAACAAGTAAAAAAGGCAAAAGACAGGCCCTGGCTAGTTTGGCTCAGTGAATAGAGCATCGGCCTGAGGACTGGGGGGTCCCTGGTTCGATTCCGGTTAAGGGCATGTACCTTGGTTGCAGGCACATCCCCGATAGGGGGTGTGCAAGAGGCGGCTGATTGATGTTTCATTGAGGTTTCTGACTCTATCCCTCTCCCTCTTTGTAAAAAATCAATAAGATATATTTTTTTAAAAAGGGGGGCAAAAGACAGACATTAGAGAACAAGGATTTTTATGTTGGCATTGTATCCCCAGCACCTAAACCAATACCAGTTACATAGTGGGCCCTAAGTAAATATTATTTAAATAAATGGGGAAATTTTTGCACATATTATAAACATCAAATTTTTTATTTGATAAAAGCTCTTACAAAGAAAGAACCAATTGCATTTTAGAGAAGTGGGCAAAGAAGATACACATATTTTATTACAGATGAAATATAAATTGCAACAATAATAAACAAGTTTAATAGACATTAAGATATCATTTTTAACATACTAAATTGACAAAAGAAAAAAAAAGAATGGCATTGCCTACTTCAGATGAGAGCAGTAATTAGCATAGTGTCTCTAGTACTTAGTAAGCACTTAATTAATTAATGATTTGTCACTGTTTGTTTGGGGAAGTGAGTATACCTACTCCGATGGTATAAATACACTAAGAGGCCAGATTATTATGATCTCTGAATGCAGGTGCATGAATTCGTGTATGGGTGGGTCCAGCCAGCCTGGTCAGGGGGAGGGAACATAAGGGGTTGGCTGGCCTGCCTGCTGGTTGAATTCCTGGTCTAGGGGACAGTTTGCATTTTATATAGGATATACACTGAGTGGCCAGATTATTATGTGTTCAGAGATCATAATAATCTGGCCACTCAGTGTATAAACTGATAAAACTTTTCTCAAAAATCAACTGATGATCCCTAACCTTTTGGCTTAGTGGATAGAGCGTCAGTCCCCATGGGGATTCAAGGGTCCCGGGTTCGATTCCAGTCAAGGGCATGTACCTTGGTTGTGGGCACATTTCCAGTAGGGAGTGTGCAAGAGGCAGCTGATCGATGTTTCTCATTGATGTTTCTAACTCTATTCCTCTCCCTTCCTCTCTGTAAAAAATCAAAAAATATATCTATATTTCTAAAAATCAGCTGATGCCGAAACCGGTTTGGCTCAGTGGATAGAGCATCGGCCTGCGGACTAAAAATAAAAGACATTTGTTTTTTGTTTTTTGGTTTTTTTTAAATATATTTTATTGATTTTGTACAGAGAGGAAGGGAGAGAGATAGAGAGTTAGAAACATCGATGAGAGAGAGTCATCGATCAGCTGCCTCTTGCACACCCTCTACTGGGGATATGCCCGCAACCAAGGTACATGCCCTTGACCGGAATCGAACCCAGGACCCTTCAGTCCCCAAGCCGACGCTCTATCCATTGAGCCAAACCGGTCCCGGCAAAAGACATTTGTTTAAAAAAAAAAAAAAAAAAAAAAATCAGCTGATGATGGGATTGCCCTAGCCAGTTTGGCAGTGGATAAGAGTGTCACCCTGCAGACTAAAGGGTCCCCAGGTTCAATTCTGGTCAAGGCAAGGACATATGCCTGGGTTGCGAGCACAATCCTCAGTAGTGGGGCATGCAGGAGACAGCCAATCAATGATTCTTTCTCATCGTTGATGTTTCTATCTCTCTTCCTTTCCTTTCCCTTTCCCCTTTCCTTTTCCTTTTCCTTTCCCTTTCCCTTTCCCCTTTCCTTTTCCTTTCCCCTTTCCCCTTTCCCCTTTTCCCTTTCCCTTTCCCCTCCTTTCCTTTCCTTTCCCCTTTCCTTTCCTTTCCCCTCCTTTCCTTTCCTTTCCCCTCCTTTCCTTTCCCTCCTTCCCTTCCCTTCCCTTCCCTTCCCTTCCCTTCCTTCCTTCCTTCCCTTCCCTTCCCTTCCCTTCCCTTCCCTTCCCTTCCCTTCCCTTCCCTTCCTTCCCTTCCCTTCCCTTCCCTCCCTCCCTCCCTCCCCTCCCCTCCCCTCCCCTCCCCTCCCCTCCCCTCCCCTCCCCTCCCCTCCCCTCCCTCCCCTCCCCTCCCCTCCCCTCCCCTCCCCTCCCCTCCCCTCCCCTCCCCTCCCCTCCCCTCCCCTCCCCTTCCCCTCCCTTCCCCCCCTTCCCCCCCCCTTCCCCCCCCTTCCCCCCCCTTCCCCCCCCTTCCCCCCCCTTTCCTCCCCTTTCCTTCCTTTCCTTTCCCCTTTCCTTTCCCCTTTCCTCTTTCCTTTCCTTTCCTCTTTCCCCTTTTCTTCCCCCTTTCCTTCCCCCTTTCCTTTCCCCTTTCCCCTCCTTTCCTTTCCCCTCCTTTCCTTTCCCCTCCTTTCCTTTCCCTTCCCTTCCCTTCCCTTCCTTTCCCTTCCCTTCCTTTCCCTTCCCTTACCTCCCCTCCCCTCCCCTCCCCTCCCTTTCCTCTCCTTTCCTCTCCTTTCCCTTCCTTTCCTTTCCCTTCCCTTCCCTCCCCTCCCCTTCCCTCCCCTCCCCCCTCCCCTCCCCTCCCCTCCCCTCTTTTTAAAAAACTATTTAAAAAATCAGCTAATGATCAAAATCATCCTTCATAAAAATGTTGACTTCATACTCCACTGCTAAAGGTTTACATTAAGGAAATAATGAAATACATGTGCAGTTGTAAGAATGTTAATCATATCATTATTTATAATAATGAAAAAAGCAATCTCAAAATATTAATAATAGAGTATTTTTAATTAAACCATGGTATACAGTATTTATAAAATATTCCAAATGATGTAGAAAAGTATGAATTGTCACAAAAAAGTGTTTACCATAAGTTCTTGAGAGGAAAATAGCATGCTATATGATAGTGTGCATAGTATGACCCCATTTTTGCAAAGAAAAACGTGTATGGAGAAAATAGACTGAAAAAAAATACATGTTTTTTATTTTTTAATTAGGCAGAGGCTTTTTTTAAATTTTTTTAAAATTTATTTCAGAGAGGAAGGGAGAGAAACATCAATGATGAGAGAGAATCGTTGATCAGCTGTCTCCTGCACACCCCCTACTGGGGATTGAGCCCACAACCTAGGCATGTGCTCTTGACTGGTAGATAAAAGAGACTTGGTCTCGAACCCAGGACACAGGCCAATGCTCTAGCCTAGGGGTGTCAAACTCAATCAGAGAAGGGGCCAAAATCTAAAATCCAGCCTAAATCGCGGGCCAAATGGTTTACTGAACAGTCATAAACTGTCATTGTGATGGAAACGCAGCAGAGTGCAGTGATGACAGCGCGGTGCGGGCCACATTGCAAGGCCTGGCGGGATGGATTTGGCCCGCGGGCCTTGTGTTTGACACATGTGCTCTAGCCATTGAGCCAAAACAGCTAGGGCTTGATTTTTACATTTGAGTTTTTTGTTGTTGTTTTTTAAAATATATTATTGACTTCAGAGATGGAGGGAGAGGGAGAAAGAGATAAATACATCAATGATGAGAGAATCATTTATCAGCTACCTTCTGCACTCCCCACACTGGGTTTGGAGCCTGCAACCGGGCTTGTGTCCTGACCTGAACTGAACTATGACTTCCTAGTTCATAGATCAATGCTCAACCACTGGGCTACATGGCCCAGGCGATTTTCTAGGTGTTTTTTTTTCTTCTTTCTAGTTTTTTATAGTCATGTATTTTATAATCATAAAAATCTTATGAATCAGCTTATATTCTTTTCTTATAAATAATGTGTACATATTCTAGAAAACCCCAATTATCCCAGTTTACCATTGTTCACATTTTAGTGTGTATTTTCCCCCTCTTGGGGAATCACCTTTCTAACCAGTTAATAGAATTCTACATTGTATGAATGTGTGCCTGTTGTTGGATATTTAGGCTGTTTTAAATTTTTCAATATTGTAATCTATGTTATTATGAATATTCCTAAAGCTAAATCTATGCATGTTCTTAATTATTTCATTTAATTCCTAAAAGTAGAAACACTATGCCAATAAGTATGTCCACTATCCACCAGAAAGTTGTGTGCCTAAGAGCACTGAATGAGAGTACCAGCCTTGTTTGCTTTTTTATGATGTACATAACAGAACTTTGGAACAGGAAATTACCTTTAGAGATGTTTATTCTAATTCCTGTTTTTACAAAAACAGTTAACTCTAATAGATAGGTTAAATTAGTTAGCGACATATTAGGATCCTGTAGCTTGATAACTTTTTGTTTCTGTACATAATTTAGAGATTTTAAAGAAGCTTTTACCAATATCACTAAAACCTTAGTAATGTGTTTGTATTTTATCTGTTAGGATGCCAGTGGTGAAAACACTGTGGTTCCTCCAGAAACGTATGTGAAAGTGGCTGGCCATCTGAGATCTTTTCAGGTAAAGTCAGAAAAAAATGACTGTTAAAATGTATTTGCATGGGCCCTGGCTGGGAAGATTAGTTGGTTAGAGTGTTGTCCTGATATGCTAAGATTGCATATCAGGACAACTCTTTTACCAATAAGGGGCAGGTTTGATACCCCTTAAAAATAAAAATAAAAATAAAATTTTAAATGTATTTGTATGCCAACAATTTCTAGATTCATGCCTGCATTTAGAATTCTTAAAAACTTAACTAAGTCTTTGTGCTTAATGAGAAGTATATTGAAGTTATTTTATTATTCTCTTCTTCAAAAGGAAATAATGGATTTTTACCTTAATATAAAACTAGCAGAATGGTAGAGAAAGAACAGGATCTTCGCCTGCAATTGACATCTATGGCATCCATTAGGCCTAGATAGGTGGGCACTGGATTTAGAATCAGGATCTTAGGTTCAGCTTGGTATGTAACCTTGGGAAGTCATTGAACATCTCTGAGATTGTTTAATTGTTTTTTTATATATACTAGAGGCCCGGTGCATGAAATTCATGCATTGAGGGGGTGTCCCTCAGCCCAGCCTGCACCCTCTCCAATCTGGGACTCCTTGAGGGATGTCCAACTGCCCATTTAGGCCCAGTCCCAATGCGCCTAAATGGGCAGTCAGACATCCCTCTCACAATCCAGGACTGCTGGCTCCCAACCACTCACCTGCCTGGTTGCCCCTAACCGCTTTTGCCTGCCAGCCTGATCAACCCCCAACCACTCCCCTGCCAGCATGATCAATACCTAACTGCTCCCCTGCTGGCCTAAATGCCCTCTCCTACCAGCCTGGTTGCCCCCAACTGTCCTCCTCTGCAGGCCTGATCGCCCCCAACTGCCCTCTGCTGGCCCCGGTCACCCCTAACTGCCCTCTCCTGCAGGCCTGGTCCCTCCCAACAGCCCTCCCTTGCTGGCCTGATCGCCCATAACTGCCCTTCCCTGCCGGCCATCTTGTGGTGGCCATCTTGTGTACACATGGGGGCTACCATGTTTGATCACATGGGGGCGGCCATCTTGTGTGTTGGAGTGACAGTTAATTAGCATGTTACTCTTTTTTTAGATAGGATATATTTTATTGACTATATTAATCTTGAGTAAAATTTTTAAAATATATAACACATTTTTTCCATATTAGCAAAATATAACCAAGAAAAGAGCCATAATGTTTTGACCTGAAATTGACTTGGATATGCTTACCTTTTATTCTCTTTAATAGAACAAAAAAAGCCTGGTGGCCTTTAAGATCATGCCTCTGGAGGATATGAATGAGTTCACCGCACATATTCTGGAAGTAGTGAATGCACACATGATGCTGACCAAAGCTAACAGCCAGGTGAGCAGCTTCATTCATAACTTCTTCTTTTTTCTTTTTTCTTTGTTATTAATATACCTGTATTGATTTTAGAGAGGAATATAGAGGGTGAGAGAGATAGCAACATCAATGATGAGAGAAAATCATTGATCAGCTGCACTCTGCATGCCCCCTACTGGGGATTGAGCTGCAACCTGGCTCGTGCCCTAACCGGGAATCCAGCTGTGACTTCCTGGTTCATAGGTTGATGCTCAACCACTGAACCACATTGGCCAGGCCTAATTGATCTTTTTAAAAGCTCACTGAGGCTGCTGTATGGATAATAGATTAGGAGACACCAAGAATAGCAACAGTAGTAGTTTAGAGGAATTGTAACGGTAGTGGTAAAAAAAATTTTTTTATATATATATACGTGTTGTTTTTTTTTATTGATTTCAGACATAAGACTTCTATTTCACCAGCAGACAATGTGAAGGTATCTAGCTTGAAAACAAAGGACTACAACTGATTTTTTTTTTTTAACATGCTCTATTATTTTTTATTTTTTAATATATTTTATTGATTTTTTACAGAGAGGAAGGGAGAGAGATAGAGAGTTAGAAACATCGATGAGAGAGAAACATCAATCAGCTGCCTTCTGCACACCCCCCACTGGGGATGTGCCTGCAACCAAGGTATATACCCTTGACCGGAATCGAACCCGGGACCCTTCAGTCCACAGGCTGACACTCTATCCACTGAGCCAAACCGGTTTCGGTACACAACTGATTCTTTTTCTTTTTTTTTTCTTTTTTTTAATATATTTTATTGATTTTTCTTACAGAGAGGAAGGGAGAGGGATAGAGAGCTAGAAACATCAATGAGAGAGAAACATTGACCAGCTGCCTCTTGCACACCCCCTACTGGGGATGTGCCCACAACTAATGTACATGCCCTTGACCGGAATCGAACCTGGAACCTTTCAGTCCACAGACCGACGCTCTACCGCGGAGCCAAACCGGTTTCGGCACACAACTGATTCTTGGTTCTTGTTTTGTTTACCTCAAATGTTCATCTAGTGAACGTTTGTTGAATGAGTAAATCTCCCAACTGGATGGGATTTTTCCTAGTGAGGTTCCACAGTGCTCCTATACCCTGTTATGGGTTAACATTAACTGGTCATCATTACTTCTCAGTTCAATAGATTAAACATTGATTGAGCACACACTGTCCCCCAGGCACTGTGCAAAGATGAAGGGACTGATGGGGGAAAGTGAATGAAGGCTGCAGAGAGAAAGACTGGGCCGTATGCCATGAGAACCAAGAAGGAAGACCATGACTTAACTTGGCTTTGGGAATGTCAACAAAGTGTTTATCAGGCAGACGAGGAGAGGAGCATTCCAGACAGGAAATGACATGTTTGGGACAAAGGCATGTTTTTGGATGGCAAGAAGTCCAAGTGCAGTTGGAGGGTAGAGTGTGCTGAAAGGAGTGATGAAAAAAAATACAGATTTTGACATCTAACTGTGGTGGGTCTTGAGTGTCCAGTAGGAGTTTTACATTGTTTTCACAGGCAGGGGGAGCCACCTGGAAGCTTTTAGGCAGAGAAGCAACATGACCGGAAGTTACTTGGTAGCAATGAGGAGGGTTGATCGGAGTAGGAGAGACTAGCAGCTGAGATAACAATCAGGAGACCAGGTGTGTTGAGGATTGACTTGAGCGACACTGAAGATTGTATTAAAAGGCTGCGGTGACAGGTTATGGAAGGGGAACAAATGGATAACTGAGGTCTAGCTGATTAGGTTTGAGTTTACTAATTGAGATGGAATATAGCAGGGCAAACAGGTTTGGGGAGAAAAGTAATAAATTTTATTTTGAAGTGTGAGACAGCTTAGATATAGGTGTCCAATAGATGACTGGGACTAAGGATTTGTGCCTAGGAGGAGGTCTGGAATGAAATCCTGGGGAGACTTATCGGCCTTTTAAGAGTCAGGTAGAAGAAGAGCTAATAAATTATATTGATAAGGTGTAGTTTGAGAGGTAAGAGGAGAATCAGAACACTGGGGAATCAAGAAGCCCAGGAGGGGATGGGGAGAGAGAAACCCAGGAGACACTTAAAAAAATAGATTTAAAGAAAAGAAGTAGTAGTTTAGGGAAGGTTACATTGCAAGAGGATTGTGCTAAGCAGTTTCTCCTTCTGAGAGGTCAAGTGTTATGAGGTCTGAAAGAGATTATTGGATATGTTGGTTGACAAGTCTTTGGTGAGGAAAGTTTCAGAGGTGCTTTGAAGAAGGAAATGAAAACTGTTTATATATACATATATTTTTTTCAAAACAAATTTTTTTTTCAATCTGGTGTAAAAGAGAAGAAGAGAGGGGTTGATGGAAACTACTCTCCTTTTCTTTCCATATAACGCTTCACGCCTACTTGAACACCAAGAATATCATTATAGCAAATCTGGGTAATTTTCTTCTCAGTGCTAGTTTTCCTCTTGTTCCCCTCATATTACAAAGAATAGAAGGAGCCGGGTTTGATATGTCCTTTACCTTCCTTTGAAATATTCATCATGCCCTAACCAGTTTGGCTCAGTGGATAGAGTGTTGGCCTGGGGACTCAAGGGTCCCAGGTTTGATTCTGGTCAAGGGCATATATCTTGGTTGCAGTCACATCCCCAGTAGGGAGTGTGCAGGAGGCAGCTGATCGATGTTTCTTTCATTGGTGTTTCTAATCTCTATCCCTCTCCCTTTCTCTCTGTAAAAACCTATAAAATATATATTTAAAAAATATATTTATTAGATAATAGCTTCCCCTTCCAATATAAATACTTGTTATTGGGCCCTAAGCCAGTTTGCCTCAGTGAATAGAGTGTTGGACTGAAGTGTCCAGAGTTCAGTTCCAGTCAAGGGCACATGCCTGGGTTGTGGGCTCGATCCCCAGTAAGGGGGCATGCAGGAGGCAGCCAATGGATGATTCTCTCTCATCATTGATGTTTCTATCTCACCCTCTTCCTTCCTCTCTGAAATCAATAAAAATATTTTTTAAATTTTAAAAAATCACTTATTATTGGGAAAACTTTACCTAAATTGTTTTTTTGTAAGAATTAACAAGCTCTTTAAAATAGCACGGACTGTGTTTAAATTGAATTTTCTAATATTGTGAACTTATCTCTTAATTCAGCCCTCAGCAGGGAGAGCACCTATCAGCAATCCAGGAATGGGTGAAGCAGGGAGCTTTGGTGGGAATAGCCTCATACCGACAAATGGCCTCACTGTGGCCCAAAATCAGGTAAACTCTACTTGAATGGCTCCAGAAATGCAAAGCACAGACTGTCATAAATGTTGTTACTTCCTTAATGATTCTGAGATTATCTAAGTACCCAACTTGTTTCCTTCTTATAAAGACATTTAGTTTTAAGAGGGAAGCTGATTCAAAGTAGTTGCTAAAATCTTTCTGATTTGAATGTTCAGGTGCTGAATTTGATTAAGGCTTGCCCAAGACCTGAAGGATTGAACTTTCACGATCTCAAGAACCAGCTTCAACACATGCCTTTAACCTCAATCAAGTGAGTATTTGATTTCTATGAGCTAGGACTCCAGAATTATGCCCATTTCACCTCATCAGAGTTTCCTGGTAATGAGAAGTGAGTTTTTAAAAAAATATCTGTTGCCCAGCTAGCTGGTGTGGCTCAGTGATTGAGCATCAACCTATGAACCAGGAGATCATAGTTCGATTTCAGTCAGGGCACTTGCCTGGGTGTGAGCTCCATCTCCTGTTGGGAGTGTGCAGGAGGCAGGCAGGCAGTGATTCTCTCATCATTGATGTCTCTCTCCCTTCCTTTCTGATATTAAAATATATATTTTTTAAAAACACACACAAGCCGAAACCAGTTTGGCTCAATGGATCGAGCGTCGCCCTGTGGACTGAAAGGTCCCAGGTTCGATTCCGGTCAAGGGCATGTACCTTGATTGTGGGCACATCCCCAGTGGGGGGTGTGCAGGAGGCAGCTGATTGATGATTCTCTCTCATCAATGTTTCTAACTCTCTATCCCTCTCTCTTCCTCTCTGTAAAAAATCAATAAAATATATTTTAAAAATCACATAACACACTCACACACACATACACACACAAAACTATTGACAGAAAGGAAGTTGTTCAGTCATGGAAAAATAGAAAAGAACTTGCAAAAATGTTGTTGCGCATCACATCACTCATTTGTTTGTTCATTCAAGAAATACTGAATCCCATTCATTATGTGGGATATAATTTTGAGCAAAAATTGACTTTATACCTCTTGATTAGATCTGGAGGAGTGTGAGGTCCTTAGCTTCTGTCTTTAGATGTACAGTACCATTTGCATTACCATTCCATTGTGGAGATGTGCGCATCAGGACCTGAAGCCATTAGACAGTCCTTCCCACAGCCTCGTCCTGATATAAGGTTAGAAAGCAGCTTCCTGATTTCAGTGAACTAATCAAACAGACTGAGTATTATGATACTTGGATTATTGTTACCATAAATCAATATGCTAGGCCTACATAGAAAAATGCTCAGGTTTAATTTCATTTCCTGTCATATAAAATGAGGATAATAGTTTCAGTCTCAGAGTAACTATGATGATGTATAGAATGTCTGTTACCATAGTACCTCTTCTATAATTTGGCCCTGTTACTAAATATGTTATTGACTCTGGTCCTGAGGTCTGTGAAGGTTTGAAGGTCTCTTAACTATTTCTGGAAAGACCTTCCCTTTAGAACTTCCTGCAACTTTACTTCTCAGAGGGCAGGCTAGCAGTTCAAGGGGGGGTGGGGATGGAGGGGGGACACAACTTTTAAAAATAACTCTTTATGCTAGGAGATTTTATGTGCAAGCTGGACTACAACTTTAGATCATTGTTTCGATTTGCTTCTACTGGTATTTAATGAGGCTCTATTTTCTAGTCTTTATATAATTTGGGAGAGATATCCAACGCAGTCCTCTCCCAGTAGCCATTGCCTGCGTGGATGATCTCAGTTTTGTAAATTTACTGCCACCTCTCTCTGCGAGAGCTTTCTGTGAGCAAATGGATGTGAATTCTTAGCCAAGATGGGAAGCGGGAGGGGGGGGGGGGGTAGTGAAGTTTTCATGTTTGGCAACGTCACAAAGGCGTGCCCTTTCTCCGCCCTTCACTGTGTCCTTTTAAGGCTGATGCAGTGCATTAAGAGGCTAACACAGAAGGGTAAACTAAGTCTCCATAAAACCCAGAGAAGAGATGGTAAAACTCCTCTTTGGATCCTGTCTGGAGTCACAGCAGGAAAAAACAAGTTTTAATATAAGAATTTTTTATAAAGAAGGAAAATGAGCCTTTTTCCCTCCCTTTCTTTTTAGGCAAGCTGTGGATTTTCTAAGCAACGAGGGACACATCTATTCCACTGTGGATGATGATCATTTTAAATCCACAGATGCAGAATAACTGGATCTAATTGGTATGCATCATATTTTCCAGCTGGGCCTATTCTCAGTCTGTGTGTCCAGCTGTGCATTTGTTTTGAACAGTTGACTTCTAGAAAGTAGGTTTCATCCCTAAAATGTCTCAATTGACATCATTTTGAAACTTAACTGCTCTTCCGTTATTTTGAAATTCAAAGTGAAATGGGCAACTCCTAGGGGTGTGAGCTAAAGTGGAATTTTAAAGTTACAAATTAGGTAGTTATACCACCATCTGGATAGATGAAGTGGAAGAGCGATGCTGCCAATAGTTGGGCAGATTAATTCTCAGGAATCTCTATTCCTAAAATATTTCCTGTTGAGTACGATCAGGGTCTGTCAGAGAGCTGGCCAGGAAATCTAACTTCTGCCTGGCTTTGTTCCCATTTTGGTTATGTGGTGTTACTTTCAGAATTGCACTTTTCAACTTGTCATGGCTGCTGCCAAGTGTTTTGGTAAATACGAAGTTCTAGGGTGGTGGTCTCGTGTAGCCGAGGAGAGAAATGTCACCGTGTTTTGTACAAAATAAGTACATCCATGTGTTTAATAAAATAGTTATATTATTGTAACTTGTGAAGACATTCTTATTTTTCTTGTTAGTATAATTACTACCTTATCTGAGACAGTATAGCATACTCAACTTGGATTTGACATCGTGGCTCTCCTGCTTTTTAGTTAAGATCTTGAGCAGGGTATATCAGCCTCCGTTTATGAAAAGACAAGAATGTTATTTCCTTATAGGTTTGTGATGAAGATTGAATGAAGTAAGTTTGTAAAGCATCTAGCATTGCCATTAATGAGGGTTCTAAAGCAGACCTTAATCTTGACTCTAGCAGTATATGATCATGTGACTGATAAAATACCTACCATGTCACCTCAAGATGAAATTCTAAGAGGTCTTGCCTATTTTTTGGCCAACTTAATTAGCTCCTTTTCTTGTGGGAAAACAAACTAGTTCAAAGATGTTTCTGACAATTCCAGACCATAAGCTACTTCTTGAATGAAAGAGCTAATTTTGAGTAAGTTAGTGAAGTGTGATATGCAAATAAAAGTTCTTTAATTGTATTAACTATGTTTCTAAATGAGATCTAGCAGCTGTGTAGAGAAAGCTCCACCAGCCTGGTTTAGAGCAGCGAGCAGCACTCTGGCTGTTATTTTCTATCCATGCAGAATAGTTCCTCTCTTGGGAGCAGACAGATGTTTAAAAGTCAGTCATCAGTATGTCTATTTGTTTCTTGATTGTTTCCTATAAAGGACAGTGATCTAAAAATTTGTTTTAAAAAATCATACATTTGAATTGAGAATGCATGATAGGGTACTTTTATGGGTCATGGACTTCTCTTTCTAGTTATCAGGCTTGTGTCCTCAAATGGGCAATGTATAGCCCTGGTTCTGGGTGGAAGTCTATTTGTCTTTAGATTTTTAATATGAGGATTCAGCCATTAGAAACTATTACTCAGCCCTAGCCGACTCAGTGGATAGAGCATCAGCCTGCAGACTGAAAGGTCTTGGGTTTGATTCCGGTCAAGGGTACATGCCCTTATAAGTACAACCAATGGACACAAAACTCTGGGGAGGGAGGGTATGTATGGGAGGAGGGGCAATGCTAAAATATGTACACAGATAATAATTTAATTTAAAAAATCAATAAAATATATTAAAAAAATAAATATTCTCTATACAAATGTATCCATGAAAAATGTTATGTTGGGAGGAAAATCACATTTGTCACTTATCTGAATAAAAATACATGCCAATTAAAAAAGGGGGGGGGGTACATGCCCAGATTGTAGGCTCGATCCCCAGTAGGGGCTGTGCAGGAGACAGCCAGTTGATGTCTCTCTCTCTCTCCCCCTCTTTTTTTCCCCTCTGAAACCGATTTTTAAAAATTAAAACACACACACACACACTACTTACTCGTTACTTCAGCAAGTGTTTATTGATCAGGCACTAGGAATTCAAAGCAAAATACGGAGATTGGCCTCACAGGACTTGCTGGTTCAGCATCCCCAATAGCACAGTGAACTCTCTGCCATCTTTGGATTTATACGGTCTCACAGGAGTTGTTTGGTTTCTGAGCACTACGGAGGCCTGTGGGGCTCACCACAGGCAGCCCATTCCTTAGCAGAATGAAACCCCAGCCTTCGAAAAGCTGCTGCTTTCACAGGAGGCATTTGCACTTCAGGTGTATGAGGGCACCTGGGATGTGCGTAGTGTTCTGCTAGAACATGATGAGACAGTATGAACCAGGTTCTTAGCAATCACCAGTGTCATGGCCAAGTAATGAGACTGGCTTGCTCTCCATAGAGTCTCTAGGTGTACAGGTAGGAAATTAGCTTCCTTGAAAAATAGTATTTCACTGGGTTTAACTAAAGAAAGGGCAATAGGACCTGTCCATTTGCTCAGTAATTAGAGCATCAGCCTGCAGACCGAAGGATCTTGGTTTTGATTTTCAGTCAGGGGCGTGCGTGGTGCAGGTTCCCCAACCCTGTAGAGGTGCTTGCGGGAGGCAACCAATTGATGTGTCTCATGTCCATGTCTCTCTCTCTCTCTCTCTCTCTCTCTCTCTCCCTCTCTCCCTCTCTCCCTCTCTCCCTCTCTCCCTTCCCCCTCTTCCCTCTCTCCACTCTCTAGAAATCAATGGAAAAAATATCCTCGATGATTATTTAAAAAAATAAAAGAAAGAAATGCTAATAAGAATTAGTGTTTGATACGGTTTTTTTATTTTATTTTATTTTATTTTATTTTATTTTATTTTTAAAATATATTTTATTGATTTTACACAGGGAGGAATTGAGAGGGACAGGGAGTTAGAAACGTCGATGAGAGAAACATCGACCAGCTGCCTCCTGCACACCCCCTACTGGGGATGCGCCCGCAACCAAGCACATGCCCCTGACCGGAATCGAACCCGGGACCCTTCAGTCCGCAGGCCGACGCTCTATCCACTGAGCCAAACCGGTCCCGGCTGATACGGTTTTTTAAAATACAACTGAAATTCAGAATTCATTGATAAATATTTGTAAGCATCTATCCCCAGTTTATATTCATTTATTTAGCAATTATTTACATCTGCTACTATATTAGTAGTTGTATGTTACTAAACATTCACAAATGTAAATTAAAAAGGACATTAAAAATATGAAGGTGTACCAATAACTTAGGTATCCCAGTGTATCATCTTGTGTACTCGGGGCATGGGTGCTCACTTTGGAGACCACTGCTCAGAGGGAATTCCCGTCCCCATAGAACACCCTCCCCACTGCCCAGTGGCTTATTCCAGAGGTAAAGAAGCCAAAAGCACCCTGAGGGTGGTGTCTGTCTTTGGTCCATTCTCTGCTGACCTTCATTGCTCTGATCAGACATGGACGGTTGTGATTTTCAAACATGTTTTTCTTTTAAGCCTAGCTTTCCCCATTGTGAAATTTTTTCATTTCTCATTTGGCCACTCAGAAATCCCCTTTTGTAGGAGCTGGTAGCCCACTTCTCTGTCCATCCCCATTCTCCCCCCTCCCCACCCCCGCTCACCCCTTTTTTGTGATCGCGCTCAATTTGTTGCCAAGCTTAAATGCGAAGTGAAAACTGTTGGTGTTTTGCATGTGGGCTTGGCTCCTAGGGGCTCTGTGCCAGGGAGGAACTTTTCTCACTTTGTTGCTTATTGTTTGTCCTCAATTGTCTGTCTTCCTCAGGGTCCTCCTCTGCAGTTTAGACTATCTTTCTGGAGGAGGGCATGAGAGCTGGTGGGGGAGATGAGGATGAGGTGTTAGATACTTCACCTGGAAAAATCCATGCAGTGGCGGGAAGGCCAGAGGGCCTGGGAAGTGCAGTGGTCCATGACAGCAAGCACAAGCATGACAAACTCAATGGCAGGAGTTGGAAATTTGGCCTTTACCTCAGCTGGAGACTCAGATCACCTCGTCTGCCTCCTGTCTTCTGCTGACCATGGTGGTAGGTTCCAGGAAACCAAAGTCCACCACTTCAGGAAGTGAGGCCTCTGGTCTTCCCCATGAACAGGCCTACAGTGACCTTGGAAGTGAGTTAAACAGAGGGTTCCGTAGCTAGGAGACAGTGGACGTGTGGAAAGAATATGTTTGATATTGGTAACATGTTTATCAAGTGTTTATTATGTCTCAAGCACCGTGCTTTACAAAAGTTATCTGATTTGTTTTTTGTGTTTTTAAAAAAATATATTTTACTGATTGTTTACAGAGAGGAAGGGAGAGGGATAGTTAGAAACATCAATGAGAGAAACATCCATCAGCTGCCTCCTGCACACCTCCCACTGGGGATGTACCCGCAACCAAGGTACATGCCCTTGACCAGAATCGAACTTAGGACCCCTCAGTCTGCAGGCCGACACTCTAGCTACTGAGCCAAACCGGTTTCGGCTGATTTGATTCTTAAAACAGTCCTGTGAGGTAGGCAACTTAGTTTTATTTTACATGTCAAGGATGTAAATCGTAGGTTAAAATAACTTGCTCATAGTCATAACTGATAGATGAGCTGGCATCCTAACGCAGGTTCGTGACCAATCTGCCTCCTCAAACACCTGACCACTCAAGCTTGTTTCCTGATCTTGAAAATCAGGCTATTGTCAGCCTCAGAAACTGGAGGGTTTAAATAGGGTTGTAAAGGATCTGGCACACAGAATAAGTGATGGCTTGTCATTTTCCCAGGAGCTCGGGTGTCCTTTTTATTTTATGGTTTGAGTGAAATAATCTTGGGCCGTCGCCTACAGCTGTCAGGTGCTAGGAGCTGCAGAGGAGGAAGACAGTCCTGGCATCCCAGGAGCTTAGAGCCTTGGCAGGAGAGGGAGGAAGAGGGGAGCAGGAAGGAAGCTGAGGGGGTGGCAGACATAAAGGGCGCTCAGTTCAGTGTGATCAGTATTGAGTCCCCCTTTACCAAGAGGCAGGAGTCACAGTGCTGCCATCGCTGAAGTTGGTAGTTTTGATTCCTTTTTTACCGACCAGTGAGACAGCTGGTGTAGGGCAGTGGTCGGCAAACTCATTAGTCAACAGAGCCAAACATCAACAGTACAAGGATTGAAATTTCTTTTGAGAGCCAAATTTTTTAAACTTCTAGCACCAGTTCTTCTAAATAGACTCGCCCAGGTCATGGTATTTTGTGTAAGAGTCACACTCAAGGGGCCAAAGAGCCTTATGTGGCTCGCGAGCCGCAGTTTGCCGGCCACGGGTGTAGGGGACACAGGATGGAGTAGAAACGAGCTGGCTTTTCTGGACACCAACACTGAGTCAGGACATCAGGTGTAGGGGCTAGGCCAAACAAGCCAGCCAGTGGCAGAGACCTGGATCCCGAGGGACGCTGGGACTGTCCATCCCGTTCCTGATCGGTCCCACAAAGCCACTCCCTGGCCGTGGTTTGGTTCCTGTGAGGCTGTCCAAGGTCTTCTAACGGCTTGTAGCATTGCAGCATTGCCTGAGGCGCTGGATTCCCTGAGCAGCAGTGGTCAGGAAGCATGGTTTCTCTGGCTTCTAGAGGGTTTTCCGAAAGTGCTCAACTACCTCTTCGTAATCGTGTTCGTCATCATCTGCAAAGGAGTCCAGGTCAGTGAGGATCTGTCCCTGAGCAGGTTCCTTGCCCCACTCTACCACTCTGAGGCACACTTCCTCGCGCGGGCAGGGAAGGGCTGGTCTGAGTGCTCTAAGGTTCTTGCTAGCCTGGAAACTGTAAATTCTTCTGACTGAACACGGCAGACATTCCCCCTCTGTGCCTTGGGATGAAGGGGGTGTGCTGAGAGAGGAACTCATTTTCCTTGCCAGGGCTCTGTGCAGACAACAAGCAGGAACTGGGCCCAAAGTCACTGCCAGGGGGAACCTAGCTGGGAGAGGGACAGTGGGGACCCTCAGCCCCCTCTCCCCCATCCATATAGGCCTGACCATCCAGTGGGACCACAGAAGGGTCTGCCTGTTGGCAGGGCCTTGCTGAATGTTTGGCCAGCCACTCAGAGGATCAGTAGGAAAGGTAGAAGAAAGGATGAGGGTGATAGGGGCTGACAGGGCTTACATGGATCCAGAGGGCTGGACTTAGCGGGCTTCTGGCCCTTCTTGGCAGAAATCTTGCTGTAGGTATCTGACCTGCCCTCTGTGACTGCTGGCAGGGTTTTCGGCCTGAGTTTGGGCTGCAGGGCGGGCCGCTGCTCTGCTGGGGCCTGAGGAGAAGACTAAGTGGGAGAAAAAAGCAGAAGTCAGCAGGGTCCCAGGAAACAGAGCAGCAGAATCCATGAAATGTAATTTCCTCCAAACATCACTTCCTCTAGTCCCTTCTCTACCGCTTTTCAGGGCAGGGCTTCTCAGGACCCGGGGACTTTGCTATAAACACATGAAATGTTCTTGGGCAGGAGAGGAAGGGGCCAGGGTGAGAGGATACCTCTAGAGGCCAGAGACAGAATCCACACGGGAGGCTGGTCACCTGCTGCTGAAGGGGGAGAGTCACAAAGCCTCAGACTGGAGTGCAGGGCTGAGGGGCCCCCGAGAAGAAAGAGGATTTTCATTGAACTCCCTGGTGCCTGATACTATATGTTCATTTAACCCTCAGCTGACCCTCTGAGTAGTTGGTTCAGTCCCCAATTTACACACGAGGAAATGGGCTGAGGGAGAGCACGCCATGTCAGACCTCACACGGGGATCCCAGCTGGACCACCACTCGGGCCCAGACCACGTCTCACCTAAAGCTGGTGCTCCTCCCACCACACGGTGCCTTGGAGAGCATGTCCAGCTCCCTGACCAGCAAACAGCAAACCGAGACCCAGAGAGGAAAAGCTGCTGGACAAGGACCACAAGCAGGAACCGGGCCCAACGTCACTTCCATCGGGAACCAAGGCTGCGACAGGCCAACAACGGCCCTCTTGATATGACGGCTTTCTGGGCTGAGACCCGCATCCATTTTTTGAAGTTTCTACCCACACAGAGCAAACTACAAGCAGAGCATGATAGTTAGCTGTTCAAGCCCCATTTAAACCCCCCTCACCACTTGCTAGCTAGCCGGTGATCTCAGGCTAATGACCCCCCAGCACCTTACTTTCTCCTCAGTACAGAGGGTACCCGTGGCCACCTCAGAGGTCCAACATGAGAGCAGGTGGAGCAATGCACAGAGCCTGCCACAGAGCAAGCCCCTGCAGGTAGAATTAACCCAGTGAGGGATGCTATCTCAGGCTCACCGATGAGGAAACGGATGCTCGGATCTAGGCCACAAAGTGAGTAAACTGGGACTACAACAGTCTCTCAGTGACTGGTTCTGTCCCCTTACTGAGATTCCGTTTCATTCAGGTCAGCACTCCCTGGCGTTTCTCTGCCCACTTTGGAGTGGGTGAGGTCCCTGCACCCACAGAACTCAATAGAGAGATGCAGGTATATCTAATTCAAAATTGTGTGTGTGTGTGTCTTGTCCTCCCCTCCCCAACCCCGACTCCCAAGCTACATCCAACATGCAGGTGAATATACAAGAGGGGGGACTCAGTGCCCAGGAGGAAATCTGAGCTGAGCCTTGCCCATAAGCCTGAAGAAAGAAGATACTGAGGCCGGGGTCCTGGCATAGTGAGGCAGCATCAGGAGCCTCTGGCTGGAGTGTGGGCTTCGGAATGGGTGAGGGAAGGTGGGCCTGGGAAAGTGAGGCTGAGGTCAGCTTAGAAGGGACCCTGATGCTATGTTACGGGGCCTGTGTTGCCCCCTGGCAGTGGGGAGCCACTGGAGGTTTCAGGTGATAAGGCCAAAACCCATTGGTGGCCTGGGAAGGAGTTGGAAGGCAATCCTGACAGCAATGGGAAGGGTTGAAAGAGGCTGCTGAAACAGTTTAAGTGAAAAACGAAGCTTGAACTAGAGCACATGTGTCAAACACAAGGCCCGCGGGCCAAATCTGTCCTGCCAGGCCTTGCAATGTGGCCCGCACCGCGCTGTCATCACTGCACTCCGCTGCGTTTCCATCACAATGACAGTTTATGACTGTTCAGTAAACCATTCTGCCCGCGATTTAGGCTGGATTTTGGATTTTGGCCCCTTCTCTGATTGAGTTCGACACCCCTAAACTAGAGTGACAGCAAGGGTAGCAAAGAGGCAAAGCACATTGACCTTGGAGTCAGTATGCTTATGCTCCGGTTCAGGCCTCCTGTTTGTTAACTGACTTGGGGTGAGTCTCAGAGTCTGTGAGTCACTTTCTCAACCATAAAACAAGGTAACCACACCAATGTCAGGATTGTGAGGATGGAGTAAGAGTAACGTGCCAAGTGTGCAAGTTTGTAAACTGCAAGTTCTATGCAGTTGTAAGAGAAATGTGATGCTAGACAGAGGAGAAAGGCTGGACTTGCAGTGATCCTGGCAGGTGGGCCCACCCCCGCCCACGCGGGTTGCACTGGTACCTTGGTGCTTCTCTCCTGGCTGCTCTGTTTCTTCTGCCCGCTGAGGTCCTGGCGCTTGGGGGGCCTGGGTGGAGGAGACTGGCTCTCGAAGGCAGGTAACTTCCGCAGGTGATAATAGAAGGCGTCTGTCAGCTCATCCACAGTGGCCGTGGGGGGAGACCCAGCTGGCCGGCCTGGCTGCTCCTCGGCCTCCACAACAGTCAGGTCCAGCCACCGGGGAGGAATCTCAAAGGACATTCCAGGCTCCGAGTCCAGGCTGACCACCAAGAAGGGTTCCGTGATCTTCTCCTCCAGCCGCAGGCCCGGGAAGGAGGTCAGAGGGTCAGCAGGGTGGCTGGCGTCCTTGGCCACCACCTTGACCTCGCAGGGCAGTGGGAACTGGGCAGTCAGATCTGCCAGGCTGTATCGCCGGCTGTCACTCATCTCCTCCACGAAGCCGCCCGAGAAGTACAGGGGCAGCACAATCTGTTCTTGGTCCTCTGCCTCCTCTTCACTCTCTTCCTCCTCGGCCTGCTCACTGAGCCGACGGCACACCAAGATGTCTATGCCCCTGCCCTGAGCCTCGTGGGCCTGACCGGACCCCACCACCTCCAGCCTGTCTCCCATAGCCAGGGAGGTGAAGCCGGGGATCTCCGCCTCATCCCCCTCACAGTCCTGCATGGCCACCACCCGCAGCGGCCGGCCGGGCTGGAGAGCGCTCAGGATGTCGTAGGCCGTGGAGAACTCTCTCGGCCGCCGCCGCAGTTTCCCCCTGTAGGCCCCCGAGACCAGGAAGTATCTGGGCACCTTTCGGCCCTTGGATGAGGCCAGGACCCGCCAGGGTGGCGAAGCCAGGCCGTGGATGCAGAGCCTCTGGCCTTTCCGCACGGAGTTCGCCCACGGGCTGAGGAAGATGGGGGGCCCGTCCGGGACTTCCAGGATCTCTGTGGTCAGGGGGAAGGGGCCGCCCCGGGCCAGGACCTCACTCAGCAGCAGCGGCTGGATGAAGTGGATGTGTCCAGAGGAGGCGGTGACATCCTCCACGTCGACCTCCAGGGTGGAAGGGATGCTGACGACGGTCCTGCGCACTGGGAGGGGGAAAGGCGGCTCAGTGGCAGAGCCACGCCCGCCTCGGCGGCACCCTCCACCCCAGCAGAGAGATCTGGGCCGCTGACCTCTTCCCTGTTCTCTTTCCAGCGAGCATTCTGCTGCTGCACCAGATTCCTTGGCCACTCTTGTCTCCAACCTTTTTTTTTTTTTTAGTTATTTTAGAAATTATTAAACATTTGTGAAAGGGAGACTAGTATAGTGACCCCCTCATGTACCCAGCTTCCACACTGAGCTCAAAACTCATCTTTAATTTCTACTCCCATCTATCTATTCACTGAGTTCTTTTGAATCAGAACAATCTTGATTCAGCCCCTAAGAGAAGGGATGGTTTAAAACTTTAAAGCATAACCACAATGCCATTACCACATTGAAATAATGATTTTTTGATAATTCCTTAATACCAAATATCCAATCAGTTCAACCACTTTTTAAACTTTAATTGAATTTTTAATGTAATTTTATAAGCTGCCTTTCCAAGTCCTTTCTGGATTTAAATGAAGAGATAAAACCAAATCAAAAACACTGACTAAATAACCTCTCTGGATTAGTACCTGGCACATAAACTCATAATGACTGTGATTGTGAGGCAAACTGGCCCACCGCTGTGCTGTCTGATCTATCCACAGAGAAGACGGAGCAGGCAAGGCCTCCCATTTTGCAGATGAGAACACTGAGGCTCAGAGGGGGTGGTGAGGACTTCCCTCAGCCACATTTTTGGGATTTTTGCTTTGTGCTAGATGAGCGGATAATGGGCTGAAGCTAGAAGATGGGCATGGGGATTCATTATATTGTTGGTTTTTCTTCAAAATATTTTCTGGGTTACCTGAGCTGCCTCATTATCCAGCAGGAGCTGCCAAGCCCTCCCACCCCACCATTAAAATCCCTGGCCCCCCAGATGTGGTCTCTTACTGCCCAGGCTCCCTGGGAGAGCTAATTTCAGTTCCTGAGGAGGAAACGCTCAAGATAAGCCTGAAATACCTTTTACGGAAAGCAAGAAAATCTACTCAAGACCACTAAGGCTTGTCAAAGGGATTTAGGGGCCAGTGTGAAACAGCTTCCATGGCTCCTCCTGGCCAAGCTGAGCTAACCTGAACTTCCCATAAGATTAACAGTTTCAGTGGATTGAAACACTGAAAACACTTCGTCCCTGAGTTCATAGTGATAAAAAAGATAAAACTGAATCACCCATTGAAGGATGTTGAGGAGCCAACTCATTCTTTTAAAAACTAGTAAAAAAAAAAAAAAAAAAAAAGAATTGTTAGTCTCAGTGTAGGCCGGTGGCAGGTTGGTGAGAGAAGGTGGAACCTGGCCACTTGGAGGCTGAGCCTGCGTGGAGGTCCCAGGACCTCTGTGTATACAAACAATGTCCTGTCGTTCCGCACACTGGAACCAGAGTAGCTGGGGGAGTTTTCTCTCTGCAGTTCCCCATGAAGAAGGAATGATGGGGGAAAAAGTATCACCATTGCAGTTTCTAATGAAATCCTGGGTCTAGGCAGTGGTCCACAGCTACTCACTTCACACTGGCCCATCCACTGTGTTATGTGAGCCCCGCCTCATGGCAAGGCCAGCGCTCAAGCGAGTCAGATGGTGGCAGACACAGCCACGCGTGGATTCCTTGCCCCCCACCTCGCAACAACCGAGACAAACTGCCTGGGCAAGTCTATTTTGAAGAAGTGGCATTAGAAGCAGCTTAAGTTTTAAAAATGTGGCTCTCAAAAGAAATGTCGATCGTCCTATCATTGATGTTTGGCCTGTGGACGAATGAGTTTGCTGGCCACTGGCCTAGACTATGGGCCGGCGTCCTCCACCAGAGCTGCTCCCAGGGCCCTTTCCCTCCTCCACCTGCCCCCCCCCACACACCTGTCCACCACTCACTGTGCATGATGGCGAGGAGCTCGTACTGGGGCCTCAGGACCAAGGAGCGCCAGGGGAGGGCGGGGCAGGTGAGCAGGAGGTCCCTCAGGGCCAGGGCCTGCAGCAGGGTCCGAGGGGCCCCCGTCTCCAGTTCCCAGAAGGGCCCCTCCGTGGACAGGGGCAGGCGCAGCACCGCCACCTGGGTGTCCGTGCCCAGCACGCAGCGGGCGGAGCAGGTCCCGAGGTACACTTCCACAGACTCCAGCATGAGGGGCTGCTCCTCGGGCACCACCAGGGCCTTCGTGTGCATTCTGCGGGTCGCCATGAACCAGATGGGCAGCTGCTTGGAGCGCTGGGTGACGGCAGCGTACAGCTCCTCCAGGGTCCCATAGCTCTGGGGGCCGGTGAGGGGGCTGAAGAGGCCTGGGGGGCACAGCAGAGGTGTCAGGGGCAGGCCTGGGCTGGGTCCCGGGCTCTATGCACCAGGTCCCAGTCTGGCCAGAGAGAACCCAGATTCCCCGAGGACAGATGCCAAGGCCAGGCCAGTATCTGGGTGCCCGGGCCGTAGGGTTGAGAAAGGGGAGGCAGCAAGTGACCTTGTGTGAATGGACAGCGAGGGGCCGAATGGAGATAGTCCCTCTGACACAGGCACACAGGGGACAGAGACAGAGGACAGTTCCCCATAGACACACTGACAACTGCCACATTGTCCTACCTCCCGACCCCACCTGCCTCTCAGTTTGCCAGCTTTGCCTCCAGAAACCTCACCACTGCTCCAATGCCACACTTCCAGCACCTGCCACCGATCCTGGGCAGCGCCATGTCCCTCTCTCCCACACTAGAGACCCAGGAGCCACTGGCCAAATGAGCTCTGACACCCCTCTCCCCCCACTTAAGTGTCTGCCAGTTCTGGCATCTCTCACCTCCCTGCCCCTCCCCACCCCATCCAATCTTGCCACCTGATTGCCCTAAACCAGTGTTTCCCAAAGTGTGGTATGCGCACCCCCAGGGGTACGGAAAGTTTGGTGGGGGTACGCGTTGCTCCGGAGTTTGGTGGGGATATGCACTGCACCATGCTTAGCTGCGCCTAATTCTACGTTCTCATGAGTACGAGGGGTACTCAGCGTTACGGAAATTACAGAAGGGGTACACATATGTCAAAGGTTTGGGAAACACTGCCCTATACTAACCCCTCATCCGGACATGAGTCCTGAGACTTTCCTGCCCAAACACTCAGCAAGCACCCAAGCCAGGGAACATCGCACAGACCCGGCCTGAGGGCCCTTCTGCAAAAGCACTGGTCTGGATGGCAGGACAAGGAAAGGCTGCAGGGCTCGCCCAGCCCAAAGGAGACTAAGAAACAGGGCGGCTGCCTGCGCTGTGCGAGGTAGGACTGGCTTCGGGACCAAGGGGAAAACCGCTACCGAGGGCTTTATTAGGGCAGCTGGGGAAGGGAATACAGCGCTGGGTTAGGCACTAGTGTTGTATCAATATTAGATTTCCTACATTTGATCATTAAACTAGTTTTGTGGGCCTATGTCCTTTTAGGGGACACACTAAATATTGGGGGTAATATTTAGATGTAAGTGGCATCATTTCTGCCATTTACTCTCAAATGGTTCAAGGAAAATATATACAGAAACATACATATATACTGACATGTTCATATGTGTGTGTGTGAAAAGAGAGAGAAAGCAAATGTAACAAAATGTTTAGCAATGAGTGAATCTGGATAAGGTGTACAGTAGACTAGCAAGTCTTCTGTAAATCTGAAATTATTTCCAAATAAAAGCGGAATCCTCAAATACAACATCACTTTCATATTAAAACCCTCACTGGCTCCTCAGTGTCTTCAAAATAAAGACCTACACGTGTCTGTGCCCCTTCACCAACCCCTCGGTCTGACTCCCCCCACCTCCCTCCCACCCCCACCTGGAGCACACACCTCCCTCACTGTCCAGTGACTCAGACTGAGAAGGGGCTCCGGGCCAGGCTTCACGCACGGCAGCCCATGCAAGCAGCTCATCGCACCCTCCCCCCGCGCCTGAGCGCCCTGCACCGAGGAGGGAGCCGGGGCCCAGAGGTCAGGGAGCTGACCACGCCACCGCTGGTGGCTGCAGAGCGGATTCCAGCCAGGCTGCCCACCGTCCACCACACCACACACTTCCCGAAACTGAGCCACATGGGGCTTCTGGAGCCCCAAGTGTGCACATGGGCCTCCTCCGGCTGCTGCTTCTAGGGAATCCTCCCTCCAGCCCGGGCCACCGCCTCCGGGAAGCCTGCCCGACCCTGAGGCAGAGCCCCCTCCACACTGTGCCTGTTTCTGCTGCTCTTCCTCTCATGCCACCCTGGTAGCTCCCTCTGCCCCCGAGAGGGCGCCCCTGTTCATCCTGAACCCCAGCCCCCAGCAGAGCCGGCCACACACAGGGTCACTAAGAGGAGGTGAAGTAGGAGCGAACACAGAGGGCACGTGGACACGGACCCGGAGCTGAAGAATCCCTGCCCAGACGGGGCCGGGAGATGGGCAAGGGGAGGGCGCGGCCAGGCCCGCTCAGGCTCTGGCCCCGAGCACACCTGAGGCAGAGCCCCCTCCACATGAAGGCGGGTGGCGTGCGCGTCGCATGTGCACACCCGGAGGAGCGGGGTGCGTGCTGCAGGGGGAGTGCCTGCCGCAGGCGCGCCCGGAGGAGGAGGAGGAGGAGGAGGAGGAGGAAGAGGAGGAGGGGGAGGAGGAAGAGGAAGAGGAGGAGGGGAGGAGGGGGAGGAGGAGGAGGAGGAGGAGGAGGAGGGAGGAGGAAAGAGGAAGAGGAGGAGGGGGAGGAGGAGGAGGAGGGGGAGGAGGGGGAGGAGGAGGAGGAAGAGGAGGAGGAGGAGGAGGAGGAGGAGGGGGAGGAGGAGGAGGGGAGGAGGGGGAGGAGGAGGAGGGGGAGGAGGGGGAGGAGGAGGAAGAGGAGGAGGGGGAGGAGGAGGAGGAAGAGGAGGAGGAGGAGGGGGAGGAGGAGGAAGAGGAGGAGGGGGAGAGGAGGAGGAAGAGGAGGAGGAGGAGGAAGAGGAGGAGGAGGAGGAGGAGGGGGAGGAGGAGGAGGAAGAGAAGGAGGAGGAGGGGGAGGAGGAAGAGGAAGAGGAGGAGGGGGAGCAGGAGGAGGAAGAGGA